AGAACCATCCTTCTTTAACACTGGCACAATGGGCGTTGCCCAATCGGAATAGTCTACCTTCTTTATGATGCCATTAGATTCCAATCTACTTAGCTCATTTTCAATTTTATTCCTCATTGCATAAGGTGGAACTCTAGCTTTGCAGTATCTTGGATTTGTGTCTTCAATGCTTAACTTCACTGTTCTATCATTTAGTAATCCAGAGTTACCAAAAACACTTTTATTTTCAGATATAACTTTATCTAGTGAAGTAAGACTAGATTCTTTTACATTCTTCAATGAACAAATACTCTCCCAATTTAACTTAAGATCACTTAACCAGTTCCTGCCTAGTAATGGCGGTCCATTTCCTTCAACCACAAGAAGAGGAAGTTTAACACTTTGACCATTATAACTTACATGAACCATACACTCTCCTATTACCGGAACATTGTCACCAGTGTATGTTGTTAGACACTTGTGACACGGCTGTAGAGGCACTGATCCTCCAGTGATAGCGTCAAAATCTTTCTTTGTTATGACTGTTAGAGATGCTCCAGTGTCAAGTTGGAAGCTGATGCTCTTACCGTTGATATTAACTTGTACATTGATGGGAGCATGACTTATTGATTTAACAGAGAACAAGTTGAAATCCGGCTGCAAATCAATTTGAGCATTTTCACAGGTAGAGTGGTTCATTGGTTGGGTTAGGTAGTCTTGGTGAGAGTTAACATAGTGCTGCTTTTGGTTGCGGTACTGTCTTGACTGGCTAGATTTAGCAACAGACGAAGACTTTGTGAAGCAGGCCTTGGCAATGTGACCTTGCTTACCGCACTTATAACAAGTTGCTAACTTGAACTTGCACCGATGAGATGCATGGGGACCTTTGCATCGATGACATTTTTGATAATTATTACTAGATTTAGATCTAGGATTTGAACGAGCAGGCTGTTTAGCATAAGTTGGAATGCTCTGATGGGGTTGATGTTTATTGACTAACCTGCTGTTTACTGCATGGATCTCTGAAGGTGCTAAAGATCTCGCCGCATCTGATGACTGCTGGAATGACATTGCAAGTTGTATTGCTTTTTCCAATTTTAGATCTGACTCGAGCAGCAACTTTCTTTGAATATCAGGGCTGTTTACACCTGTCACAAACTTTTCACATAGTCTGTCAGACAGCGCTTCTCCGAATTCACAAAATTCACTTAAATGACGTAAAGCAGCAACATATTCTGATATTGACTCGTTTGGTTGACGAGTCCTACTGTCAAATCTAGCTCGACATAGAAACTTTGATGGGGTAGGCGCATGGTGGTCTGTTAGCAATTTGCTCAGCTCGTTAAAGCTCTTGGTAGTTAGATTAGCTGGTGCGCATAAGTCCTTTAGTAGCCTAAATTGTTGAGGCCCTATGACTGTTAACAAAATAGCTCTCTTTTTGGCTTCTATCGTCACGTCGTTAGCTTCTAGGTAAAAGCTTAACCTCTCTAGGTAATCTTGAATGATTTCATCATTCGCATCAAATTCTTTTATTTGGCCATACAGCGCCATAATTCTAGAAATAATTAGCTAATAAGCTCTAGCAAACCTCTTTTTTGCGTAAATAGGTGCTCTTTCTAGTCGATGTTTATCCTTCGTCGCCAGTTATAATAGATTGACGACAGAAGCCTGTGGTTGTATATAACAGTCTTTATTATGTACAGACGCCATGTTGCAAAGAGAGAGAGGAAGTGAGAAGTGGCGAGAGACTTATATACATAACAACATGTAAGGGACATCACTCAAGATAACAATATTATAAATATAACTAATACAGAAGAGTGAGTTCCCTTGACCTCACAATTATTTCAATCTATTACATCTATCCCCTTCTATTACCAGTTAATGAGAATTCACTCACATTTTTAATACCAGCTTATGACAATACCCTTAAACATTTCTATCACAGGCCAGATTTCAACCCTAGGACTTATTCAGCCTCACTGGCTGAGAGTGTCTCAACAGGAACAGCAGTGACACCAGTAACTGCTACAGATGGAGACACCACTGCAGCATATCACACCATAACATACACAATCACCAGTGGTAACACAGGTGGTGTATGGAGGTAATTTGACCATTTTATATTTGGTCTTCTAATTATTGCATTTATTTATTTTTATGGCCTCATAATATTTTAATCTTGAAAACAGTCTTTTATCAGATTTTAAAACATGTTCTAATCAGACATCATATATATAATAAGCAAAAATCACCTGTATTTGTAGTAATCTTAAATTTTGTATTTCAACTTTATTGTTTAAGCTTCCATTATCGTGTTTAAGGTACTACGAGTAAACCTACTAGTGAATCCAATATCTCTTTTTGTAAATTGTTCACCATTATTCCTCCTCAACTTATGTCTCAATCTGTTTCAATGAACTAGCAAAATTAATTCAATTAATATTTAGAGAACTTTACTTTAGAAAAAACAGATTCATCAATGAATATTTATATAATGATGATTGTTGAAACATGCAATATTGTGTTTTTCCAATACACAAATTACCTTTATACACAATTAATACAGTTTTCTACTCATGAGGTGACAAGCTCATCATCATATTTGGGATTATAATTTTATGATGAAACCACCATTTTAAAATAGTTTATAAAATAAAACAGTTTTTATTTTAAATTTTACTCCAGTACTTTGCCAAGTCAAATAATTTGTATTTTTTAGTTCTCTGTTGTCTTAAAAAATATAGTGAATATCTTGTTGGACTCCATTGAAAAAGTCTGTGATAGAACCATATATTTTAGAATAGAGCCAATACAATGTGACATATACATTTTGAAGATAAAGCAGATGAAACTAAAGATGTAAAAATTATCTATTTTATATTTTTCTTAATCTGAAACCAGCATTGACAACACAGGAGCTGTAAAAACTACAGCTGCCTTGGATTATGAAAGTGTGACCTCATACAACCTGGTAATCCAAGCTAGTGATGGGACACATTCTGTCACAGCCAACTATGTTATCAGTGTCACACCTGTGAATGAATATGATCCAGTTTTTTCACCTGCCTCAGATACAAAGTCAATCAATGAAAATGTGGCCTTAGGAACCACTCTTTCTACAGTCAGTATTTGTTTATTTTTTTTTACATTTTAATTCTTTGAAAGGTATTTTAAAGACTAGCACTTGTCACTACAAATAGTTATATGTCAATCTTTGTAAGGACTATGTTTTAATTGACCATAACTTTATGTCAGCTAAAACAGCAAGTATTAAATATATCCAGGTCTCAGCTACAGACAGTGATAAAGGGAATGATGGTGTTGTTGTCTACAGCATAGATACAGGTTTGTTTTTTCATATGTTCAGTTTTTAATAGGGTTGGGGTTGTTTATTAACTACCTATCAGCCATTATTTATATTGTGAATTACAAAAAATTTAATTTACTTTAACTAATGTGAGCGGGTGAATGGATTATTTATTTTGTATTAATTTACTTGGTGCGAATCTGCGAGTGGATGATCCAATGGGGAGCGGCCACGGGGTTCCCCTTTCTGCCCAAAGCGGGTCAGTATATAAATTGACCGCTCGGATAATTTTCTTTCTTTTGACCCGAGGCGAGATATAGATAGGGTCGGTTTCTGCGTGGGCGCGTGGCGCACCTCACGCGTGAAGTGAGGTTGCTTGGGCAACTTGGCTGGGTGTTTTGTTTGGTGTAAAAAATTTATTTGGTATATATTGTTTTGTACGTACTGTTTTCTACGTAATGTCTTTTGTGTGTGCTGAAGTGATGAGGTGAGGGCGAAGGCGTTCCTCTTTCCATCAAGTATAAATCTGTTTTGTTTTGTTTAGTCGTGTTTTGTCCCGTTGAGTTTTTTGTCGTGTTTTGTGTATTCTGTAGTTTATCATCTTTCTTATTTTGATTGGTTCCATGAAATAAATTTAATTAATTGTTAAAAGCTTTTTTTTTAATTCTTTAGACTAAGGTTAAGGTATTAACCAGTCTGGGTTTAGCCGGGCTTGCACTGACCGGACGGATAAGCCTAGGGAAGGGTAGATAGATTTTAAAGTATCCCCCCCCCCCCCTAGCAGGGCTTACACTAAACAAATATTTTCAGGGCCCTTTACCATTGATTCCTCCACTGGTGTTATTACTGTGTCTGGTGACTTAAACAGAGAACTACATACTTCATATACTCTCACTGTACAGGCTGTAGACAAGGGGACACCATCCAAATCTGGCTCACTCATTCTATCAGGTTTCTTTCCCTTTAGCTACAATATTTGTTTTACAAATTAATTTGATACTTTAATTCTTTTGAATTTGTTTTGATTTTAAAAGGTTTTTATGCTTACTGTTTTATACTAACCATTGTAAGTAACTTTTTTAAACTAAACTTTTCAGTCAATATAAATGATGTGAATGACAATACACCATACTGCTCTGCCAGTTTGTACTCTGCTTCTATCCTGGAATCTTCCACTTCTGGAACATCTGTGGCCACCTTGGTTTGTCATGATGATGATCTTGATCCAGCTAACCTAAACAATGCTTTAACTTACACAATTAGTAAGTGCTCACAGTTCATATTCAAGAAAAAATAGAAAACTCTGTTGTTGTTGTTTTTTTTTTTTAAATTAAACAAAACTAAATAAGATGTTTTTACTAAAACTAATTATGTTTTTAGTTTACACACTATGAAATAAAACAATGTAATACTTTATGAAATAATTTTTTAAAATTTTGATCCCAGTATCAGGCTCAAGCTTGTTTGTTGTGGATTCTGCTGGAACCATCACAGTAAAATCAGGAGCCACATTTGACAGAGAAACATCAGCATCAGAAACAATAATTGTTCATGTCATTGACAAGTCTACTTTGTCTAAACTCACTTTCACTGCCACGGTGCTTGTCACTATTTTAGGTAAATACTGGAATAATTTCAGACTGTAGTTATCTCATTTGTTAAATATTATGGTAAAATGCAGTTTGAATTCTTAACTCTTGAATATCCTCAGATGTTAATGACAATGCTCCAACATTTACACCTTTGACAAGTGCAAGTGTGCCAGAAAACTCAGCTATTGGAACAACTGTACAAACTGTTGTGGCTACAGACCAAGATAGTGGTGTTAATAGTAAATTAACTTTTTTCTTATTTCTATTCAGTCAAATTACATTTTGGATATAATCAAATAAAATATAGTTTTCACTGTGTAAACCTTCATTAGTATATAATAAATATAACTTTATTGTAATAACAAATATTCAAGTATAAAATTACAAAACAAGTCACCACATTTACATCATGGAACACCAGATTGTTAAGAGTTTTTAAAACCCTAAATTTGTTCTCAATGGCTAACACTGTTTATATAGAGGAACTGGTGTATGATATAACAAGTGGCAACACAGGCAACAAGTTTTACATTGACCCAGTAAATGGCTATGTTGTTCTTCAGGACAAGCTGGACTATGAGACAACTAACTTGTATACTCTTGTCATCACTGTTAAAGTAGGACATTTTTATTACATTTTTTTAGATACTTGATTCCAGTTAGATTCAATCATATATTGTAAAACTGGCTTTTAATTTCTCTTACACCACATTAACACTTGCATCATATATTCTATATATGCCTAGAAAAAAACTTGCAGCAAGTAAGTATACAAGTTCTGTGGAAAAATCTTTTAACTTGTTGAGAATTTTTTTTAGATGTGTATATAATACATGTAACACCTGTAAATGTCATGTTACATTATATACATTTAAATAAATTGACAAAGTCATCAAAAAGTACACAAGACATATGGAAACCTACTTTTCATAAACATTAGGATAAAGGTACCCCATCACTAAGTGTGACTGGCACACTGACAGTGTCAGTGACAGATGTCAATGACAAGCCTCCAGTGTGTGCATCATCCCTGTACACATCTACCATAGCAGAAAATTCTATCAGCACATCAGTGACTACAGTCTCATGCACAGACACAGAAACTGTTGGAACTGTTTCCTACAGCATTACGTCAGGTACTGGATCAATTCTTTTTGCTGCCATAACATACTGACCTGCTCAATTTTTCCTTTGTTTCTCTACGGTTGTACAAACTCTGTGATTAATTTATTTACCAGGTGATACCAACAGCTACTTTACAATAGATACAGCAGGGGTTGTCTCAACATCAGCTAGTGCTAACATTGATTATGAAACAACTAGGTCTTATGTTCTGGTCATCACTGCATCAGATGGCATTCAGTCAGCAGTTACTAGAGTTCAGGTGAGAAATTTTTCTTTAGATATTACCACTGTACCTTATTTTCTTGACTTTTGTTCCTACCTTTATAATAAAAAAAAGTAAATCTGCCACTATACCAGTTACTTAATTTTCCATTCTTCAACCTGGATTGTAGAAAAAATCATCACAAACTGGAAAAAAAAGTAATTAATAGGCTAAGCACCTTACAGAGTGATCCGCTATTCAAGAATTTTTTTAAACAAAATTTATAAAGTTTTTTTGTTCTTTTAGATTACAGAATGCCTCATTGTTAGTTAAAACACTTAAACTATGATAGATGTTTAAGATACTTATATTATAGTCTGTTGCCTAGGAATGTTTGTGCACTTGTTACAACCATGTACCATGTAATATTTCAACTATAAAAACCATGTCTGGTAACAATTTTTTCCAAATATCTGTTAATGTCCCACCCCCAGGTTACAGTTACAGATGTAAATGAAGCTGACCCACAGTTTAGTCCAGCTGGTCCATACACTGTGACAATGTCTGAATCCTCATCAATAGGAGACTCTGTTAAAACTCTTGCTGCCACTGATGCTGATACTTATGACTCTATCAGAGTTTTTTCCATCACTGCAGGAAATTCTGCTGCCAAATTTATGATAGATGCATCTTCTGGATTGATAAAGGTTTGGTAGGCTCCTAATAACATATACACATTAAGATTTTGTTCACAAGCAAAGGAAATAACTTATTTAAATTTTCAATCAAAATGTAATTAACAGAGAAAAAATGCATGCCGATTATTGTTCATTACATTCTGTTACCATGCAATAAATAATTTTATTTTTAAAAAGCAGCATATAACATAATAGTGTAAAAGTGAGATAGACAGGTCAGGCGTTTTTGAGCATATGGGACTATCACACAAGAAAAATTGCAGGCACTTTTTGCCGTCATGGACTGTAAAGGGTTGCGATTTTGATGAAGTCTAAAGCTCATAAAAAAGTAACCAGTTGTTTTTTATTCTTGTCTTCAGCTACAAGGATTATTGGATCATGAAACTACAAGCTCTTATTCTCTAACTCTTAAAGTTGAAGATTCAGGAGGGAGATCATCCACTACAACATTAACTGTTAGTGTTGGTGATGTAAATGACAACAGTCCTGTGTGCAGTGACCAAACAGCAGCTGTCAGTGTAAATGAGGGAGTTAGCTCAGGAATATTGTACACACCAACCTGTTCTGATCTTGTAAGTTAATGAATTAATATTTGTCAGTGTAAATGAGGGAGTTAGCTCAGGAATATTGTACACACCAACCTGTTCTGATCTTGTAAGTTAATGAATTACTTTATAGTTGTTTTATACTTGTGTGTAGGTCCATATGGGATGTATGAGAAAATTTAGAATTACCAGAAAACTTTTTTTAATCTACCAGGACACAGTGGCCACTCCTACTCTTCTCTACTCCATGTCTACCAGTGATTCATCAATATCAATAGATACTAGCACGGGTATTTTCTTGTAGATTACTTACTGGTTACTTTCTTATTCTACCTAAACAAAATATATTAACCTAAAATATACATACAGTTGTTTTCAATACCAGCATTGATCATCACTTTATTCCTCAGGAAAACTATCACTCAGTTCAGCTATGGACTATGAAACTCAAACAATTCATGACATTGTGATCATTGTTAGTGACCAAGGGTCACCAGCAAAGACAACAACAATCAGTGTAAGAGTAAATGTCCAGCCTGTGAATGAATTTCCACCAGTGTTCACCTCCTCAGCCACCTATGGACCCTACAGTATTGCTGAGGACACAGCTCTTGGTAAACAACTAAGCAAGTAAAAAATATGGAATAAAAGCTTATGGAACAAAACATGTCTAATATGAGATGAATTCAATTTGCTTTCATAGGTACATCAATAGGCAAAGTCTCAGCCACTGATTCAGACATGGGCTTGAAACAAGGGACAGTCAGATACAGCATTGTTGCTGGAGACACACAACAACAATTTGCTGTTGATGAGTCCACTGGTGTTATCAAGGTGGTCAGTTCATTGGACAGAGAGGCTAAAGCTACATATACCCTCACTCTAAGGGCAAAAGATGATGAATCGGGTTCAGGAAATGAAAAAAGTGGTAAGTATATATTATGCTATTGTCTGTCAAATGGAGTATTTAAACAGTGTAGGCCCAATTGTCTGTCTAATCGTCATTTTAATCTGAATAATTCAACTTTTCCATATATTGAGTTTTTGCCTCAAAACATCATTTTTATAAATTCCTTTATATGAATTTACTACTACTTAACCTTACACAATTAATGAGAAAAATTAAATTTATCAAGCGCTTTATCATTGATGGGATCCATTAGATAGTTAGTTATTTGACATTTCAATGTATTATTGTTATGGCTCCTTTTGGCTTGTGAGACAATGAGTGTGTGCCCAGAGATTATGATGTTATCATTGTCTTTTGGTGCTGGCTCTGATGTAACTGATCATGCCAAATCTGAATATTTTCCTTTTTGTCCCCTCGGTGGTAACCTCTGCCCTTTTTCCTTTAGCGATGAGGATGCCAGTCCACATAGTATGCCTCCACAATGCTATGTCTTGTTCTGCTCCCACTTGTGTTTAATTTTGTCAGCTTGCCCTAGGTTCTGTTTGCAGGCACCTCTGTTATTCAGTAGGGGTCATCCCCTGGGTCTTGTGCCATTGGTAATTCCCAACGGAGGATGTGTTTTGGGATTTGGCTATCAGCCATATGACAGATTTGACCCAGCCAACACAGTCTTCTCTGGGTTATCATTTCTTGAGCACTAAGGGGGTTGGCTTGTATCAAGATGTCTTGATTGGAGAATCAGTTTTCCCATGTGAAAACCATGGTGTATCATCGGTAGCACAAATAAAACTATTTCATGGTGCTTTATGTCTGCTTGTTGATTTTTATCTAAGCTCTAAGCACCTATTAGAGTAGTCAGCACCTTACTTTCTGTAGGTTACCCAGATTGAGAATGGGTGGTAGCTGATCAGTGAAGTGAAAGTTCTCTCCCTGAGATGTAATCTCTGGCCTCCTACTTTAAGCCAATCAAGTTGGACTTAAAACCCATGACTGTTGCCTCCCATGTTGTTTTAGTTTCTTGAAGCAGCACCAGATATTTCTCTTCGCGTATCAAATGAAGAGGTCATGGGTAGCCGATTTGTCATGATTTGTATCTCGACCTTGCCAGTATAGTCCAATGGAATGAAAAACAATACATTTGGTACCAATTCAGTTTGTAAGCTTTTAGCAGAGTTGTGATGATTGGACAATCAAGTGTCTTTTGTGTTTATCACTACCACACTAGTGAATGTGTTATACAGATATCCAATGGTGTTCAATTATTGTCTCTTGACTATGCATCATTCTTTATATTTAGGACAGTATTAGCTGATAGACTTCGTATCATCAGAACATGCAGTTGTAATGTAGATTGCCTATTCCTCTCCTGTTTAGGAATATTACTGTCTATATTTTAAAATGTATTATAATTCAGCTTTTGTGTGTTATTCATCATTTTTTTTTAAATTTCTCAGCTGATGCTACAGTGTATTTAACAATAACAGATGTGAATGACAACAGCCCCTTGTTTAACCCATCTGTGTACACAATAAATGTATTAGAGTCAGCTCCCTTTAGTCCAGCAGCTGTATTGAAAACTTTAACAGTTCATGATGATGATGCAGGAACAAATGCTGCCACAACTATAACTATAATCTCAGGCAACAGTGAAAACAAGTTTTCCATTTCTGGTTGGTGCATTTTTTTTATTAAATGATGTAAAGCTAATAATGTTATATTTTTGATTGATATCATGAAAATATCTTTAGTGCTTGCTACCATAATTAACATTTCTCTGACAGTAAAAAACACTTAATCATTATTACAGGCAATGATGTAACATTAGTTGACCAGCTGGACTATGAAACAACAACTTCCTATGAACTGATTGTTCAAGTGGCTGATGGTGGAAGCCCTTCTCTTAAATCTACTGGACGTGTCTTGATTAATGTTCTGCCAGCTAATGACCAGGCACCTCTAATGACCACAGCAGATGCAGTAAAAAATATCCCAGAAGACACTTCAGTTGGGACTTTAGTCTTTAAAGCTGTTGCAACTGGTAGATACAATACATTTTCTTTGTTTCTTATTTGTGATCTATTTTAAATAAATTTAGGTTAAAAGCATCTTGTAATGAGAAAAAGTTACAAAATCTTGTTCAGGGTGAAGCTGTTAGGAATTCATTAGTTTAATTTATTTAAAATACTCATTTTAAATTTTGGCAAACCTTTTTAAAAAAATTTCTCTTTAAAATTCACCAGATCTAGATGCAGGTGTGGATGGTATAATCACTTACAGTATAGCAAGTGGTGTGGCTAACAATGAGTTTGTTATTGATGCCAGCTCTGGTGAGGTCTTTGTTGGATCCCAGCTGGACTATGATACAACACCCAACACCTATGCAATGGTCATCAGAGCTACAGATGGTGCTGGGGCATCTGCTGCTACATCCACTGTGTCACTGAGCATTGTGCTGACAGACATCAATGACCATGTCCCACAGTTTAGTCTGACCATGTTTATTTTCAGCATCAAGGAAAATGTTGCCTCTGGCACATCTGTTGGAAAAGTTGTTGCCACAGACAAAGGTAATAATTAGTTTGGAAGTTCAATGTTATTTTAACTATAATGCTAATTTAAATAATGTAGTAAGATTACTTTTTTTACTAACTTTTTTCTATGGTATATGTTTTGTTTGATCAGATTCTGGAGTAGATGGGGCCATCAGTTTTACCAAACTTGGAGGCAGTGGCCTGACTTACTTCAACATTGACAGCTCTACTGGAGTGGTCTCTACTGCTGCTACCATTGACTATGAAGCTTTTAAGGTATGTTGGCCTCAAACTAAGAAATAAACAGGAGAAATTAAATGACATTTAAATATGCTACAATTCTTTTTTTTTTTTAATGGCATCTTTAAATTATAAAATGGATACCAAACCCCTCAAAAAATGGTATTCCTGGTGTTTTAACCAATTACACACAACATTCTTATATTAAAGTCCAACCACTTGTAAACCTGCTCAGGGTTTTTTTCAAACATCATATGTTTACTCTGTGTGTTGGAAGGGGGGGGGGGGGGGGCAGACACTCATTAGAGATTATATTGTCTATATAAGTTCAATATTTTCTTTTTAATCTGATGGGAATAGGGGTGGGTACACCAGAGAAATGTCTAAAATAAACACAGAACCTGCTGCCTTATGAAGCTGTAATAGCCAGCTTTGTGAAAATATTGATACAACTTTATTTTTTTATATTACAAGGAGTTTTACATATTTTAAAAATTAATTTTTTGAAAGAATTTAGATCTAGCACAGGTTCTACTAATCCATCCCATTTTAAATAGCTCTGACTAAAACTTCCTATTTCAGGTGTTTTATATGAGTTTAACAGCATCTGATGGTGGGAGTCCATCTTTTACATCCACTAGTCTAGTGAAAATCTTGGTGGAAAACATGAATGACAACAAACCAAGCATCGTGCCAGCAGACTTTGCTGTTATCATGTCAGAAAACAGTTTAGTTGGAGCCAGTGTGCTGTCTTACTATGCTAGTGACAGTGACACTACCATTGGTCGCTTTAGTCTAGCGACAGCCAACTCTTACTTTCAGGTAGAATGTTCTTTAGGTTCACTGCTAGATAAATTTCTTTACAAAAAGACCAGCTGGTCATTGAAATTCTATTTAAAATAAACAGTTGCATTTTATATTAAAATTATATCAACACAAACCACAGATGTAGAATCTTGTGTATCAAGACATATCAAAGATTTTGCTACAAGCTTTCAAATGCACTGGAATAAAAATGTGAATATTTTAGGTGAATTCAGCCAGCGGAGAGGTGACAATTAAAGAAAAACTTGACAGAGAACATATAACTAAGTGAGTGAAGCTAATTATTTCAAGAAGACTAAGTCTTGCTGTGGCCTTGTTCAATTATTTTAGTTTTCTAGATGTAAAAAAAGCTAAATGATCTGTTGAACAAACTTATTGCAACCCTTGTTATAATTGAGATTTTATATGGATAGTGTGCTTATATTTCACACTTCACCATGTAGCATGGGATATGTTAAGGGAGAGTGCATTGCAGGCGCCAGGTTATTTAGCGCCCTAGGCAAAACTTAATAAAACGCACCCCCTCACACACACATTTTTTTCGGACCCCAATATCATATATATATATATATATAATGTATGTATGTATATATATATATATATATATATATATATATATATATATATACATGTGTATATGTGTGTGTATTAGAATATTAATTATCTTTTGGATATTGTGGTGCCAACAATTAGTTTAGTTTGAAACTCTAAATCTCTCTCTAGCTAACGAGATTTCTAATTCAAAGTGAGAGAAAATGAGACTTAACCCTATTTAAAAATCAAACTTGCCCAGGCGCAGATCCAAAGAGGGCGCCAAACACTGCAGATAATTAAATAAAATGCTCATTACTGAATTATATACAGTCCAAATAAAGAATGTTGACTGCAAGTTGGCATTATTTAATTGTTTTCTACATCAATTGCTTGACACCAAAATAAAAATGAAAAGTGACTGGTAAAAAGCACGCCGACATTGCCTAGTGAGGGAGGTGGGGGGACGCATTTTCATCAACGCGAATAACTATATATAGCCTTTATTTGAAGATGGGGCGCAAAATTGCTCGTTCGTCTCTGCATCAAAATAGATCGCAATGCCTTTGTATATTACACTAAAGTTGAAACTTTAAATAATGTAATCAAAGTTATTCATTATTAGGTACTTTTTACTTTCTCGTATATACGAAGTATAGAGAAAGTATTGTAATCGTGCAAAAAAAAAATCGAGATTTTTACAAATCTCGACGTTTTACTGATACGGAAAAACATAATTTTGCAATCTTGTCCGTATGTCTGTGTGTGTGTGTGTCTGTGTGTCTGTCTGTCCGTGTGTAAACACGATAACTTGAGTACCGTTACTGCTAGGTTGATGAAATTTCATATATAAGTATTTTATCAAAATCGTAGATCCGTATCAACTTTTGAGCGATTTCCGATAACCGGAAGTGGTACTTTTTCTACTTTGAATTTTTCAAAAGCCTATAACTTGAGTACTATTTCAGATAGATAAATGAAATTTCACATGTAAGTAAAAGATCTAATTCTCTACCTTCTGTTAAATTTTGAGTAATTTCCGTTGACTGGAAGTAGTAATTTACGCTACTTCCGATTTCTCAAAAAACTAATGTAAATTTTAAAAGTACTAATAATATTGCGCACTATTATGCGCTTTTTTATTTCGCGTTCACTTGGTGTGCAATTAATTTGTCTACGAGATTTTATTCTATTTTTAAAACTTTAAGTATTTAAAATGGATTAAAAATCATGTCTATAGCCCGAGTTCCCATCCCCTGTTATTTTATATAAGAATATTCGAGAAAGTTTAGGGGAGATCACTCCCGGTTTATTTACTATTGGAGATTAGACATTTGCACCCCCCTATGGATAGCGCCCGAGGCGACCGCCTAGTTCGTCTTATATATAGCGCCGGCCCTGGAAGAGTAAGATTGAGAGATCTTATACACGAATCTGACCTGATGATTTACTCTATATAATCTGTAAACAAATTTCTTGAATGACCACAACAATTCAACTCTGGTTATCCAGCACTTTGTTCTGAAAGTGCTAACCAATGATCATACTCACAGCACTGCTTTGAATAGTTGGTGTTCAACAAAGCATTCAACAACAGCAAACATCTTATACTTTCACTATATCTTTACTTAATAGTAAAACATGATTACTGTTTCTTGCTTTCAAGCCATGTGATTCGCATCAGAGTAACCGACAAAGGCACCTCAAGTGATCCCATTACTCGAACGTCTACAGCTACCCTGACTATTATAGTTGATGACATAAATGATAACCCCCCTGTCATCACTGGCACTTATTCTGTCTCTGTCCTTGAAAACTCTGTCATCAACACCTTGGTGCTGACCGTCACTGCCACTGACCTAGATGCTAATCAGAATGGACAATTGACCTACTCCATCACAGCAGGCAATACAGGCTCAGCTTTTAAAATTGATTCTACTGGAAGAGTTCAGGTGAGTCACTATAGAAGATAGGTGAGAGTTTTAACCTCGCTTGAGTCATTGTAGATTATAGGTGAGATATTTGACCTCAAGTAGTCTATAATTTAAATACATAATTTTTTTCTCTTTTCTCAGGTAGCAGCTGCTTTAGACAGAGAAACCACAGCAACTTACACGATAACAATTCGTGTCAGTGACAAGGGGACACCATCTTTGTCTGATCAAATAGATGCTGTCATTACAATAACAGATGTGAATGATAATGACCCAGTATTCTCCCTTGCTGCTTACACTTTTAATGTGAATGAAAACTCCAACACAGGCACAGCAGTTGGAACAGTCACAGCAACAGATGCTGACTCAGGTGTTAATGGAGCCTTGACCTACAGTTTTGACACCTTCACACTGGGGACATCTTCTCATTTTGCCATCAGTGGCTCTACGGGAGCCATAACTGTGGCCACAGCTGCTTTAGATAGGGAAACAATGTCTACTTATAGCATTTCGGTCAAGGTAAAAGATAATTTACTTTCAAAATATGTTTATTTCAAAAATTCACGTCATTGTAGTTGACTACTTAAAGCTAAGCTTTCCTTATCCAAAATCCATTCTGTTTTTATTGAAGCTGTTATAGATTGACGATAGAAGCATGTGGTTGTATATAACACGTTTATTGGGTCTAACTACATGATGGTACCAGAGAGAGGAAGGAAGTACAATGCACAAGGGACATCACTCATAATAATATAAATATAATACTAATACAGAAGAGTGAGTTCCCTTGACCTCACAATTATCTCAATCTATTACATCCCTTTACCCTTAGAACACAATAACACATCTCTCAATAGAACAATTGATGGTATCCTAAAATCACCAATTATATTGTAACATGAACACTATGGTAGATTACATCCTTACAAACAATGCACAATATGCTACAACATAATCAAGATACAAAACAATGATGTCAAAGTCCTTTTGACCTTTAAAATCATAGGTCTAACTTATTGGGAACTTTGATTGTCCTGTTTGACCTTCTCAGTGGCTTTTGATTTGGTGACTCAATATTCTGACCATTTGGATTCTCTATCTCAGGAGGTCTAGGATTTAAATCATTAACTCCAGAATTTACATTTTCTGACTCCAGACAACTTGGTTCACTCATATCAACAGAACTTGGTTGTGGAACAAACTGAGTTGGTGTGAACTGTTCAGATTTGGTGGGATTGACAGATTCACACTTATTATCTGCACAAGTTATTTTTAACTGGTCTGCATGTCTACGGACAATAAGTCCATCATTTGTTTTTACTTTATAAGACACAGGTCCTGTACATTGAACAATTTGACCTGGTATCCATTTTTCCCTTCTCCCATAATTTCTTAGATACACATTATCATTACATCCAAATTCTCTTCAATGGATGTTTGTCATGATTTACTTTTTGTGTATGTTGATGTTGGGAAACAGACCTTTGAACAGTTGGATGTAGTAGATCAAGGTGGGTTTTAATTTTCCTACCACATAGCAATTCACATGGTGCAACATCTGTTGTTATATGAGGAGTTGTGCGGTATTTGGCTAATAACCTGTTTACTCTTTCATTGTCACATTTAGCTTCTTCTGTTTGGTATTTACTTTTGATGTTACCCTTTTAGTTTCTTTTAGTTCCTGTAAGTGCTAATGATGTTAGCAAAGTTGTTTGATGATCACATTCCTTCTTACTTAAAGCATTTGAAATTGCCATATCACCATAATCATTTATTAAGTTACAAATACTTTGTTTAGGCAACTCTGACTGATAATGGACTGCATCTTCTCCATCTTTTATATTATCTTCACAAAGGTTTTTATTTCTTATTTTATATGGCATTAAGTCATCATTCACAGACTCTTCAGGCCAACCATTCTTACAGTACTCATATACTTTTATTAAGCACTCATGTTTTTGTGTTTCTCTTTTAATGGCTTTTGTTTTCTCAGGTTGAGGTCTGATACCTTGCTTGCTCAATATATAACCAAGAAAACTAATTTCTGTCAGCATGAATTGACATTTATCTTTGTTTATCTTTAAACCTTTTTCACCAACTATTTTCAAGACTTTATCAAGTGTTTTAAGATGTTCAGTGTCATTCTTACCAGTTATGTACACATTGTCAAAGTACACACAAACATTTGGAATATCCTTAAAAATACTGTCCATGACAGCTTGGAAAATTCCAGGGCTGGATGATATGCCAAAACATAGTCTTTCAAATTGGTAGAGTCCTTTATGTGTGTTTATTGTCGTATAGACTTTTGAATCTGGATGCAGTTCTAGTTGAGTGTAAGCATGACTAAAGTCTAATTCAGTGAATTTGTCTCCTCCTGCCAAATTCAAAGAAATTTCCTCAATGTTAGGTATAGGGTACCTATTTAGCTCTATTTGCTTATTCAGTGTAGTTTTATAATCTCCACAAATTCTTATAGAACCATCCTTCTTTAACACTGGCACAATGGGCGTTGCCCAATCGGAATAGTCTACCTTCTTTATGATGCCATTAGATTCCAATCTACTTAGCTCATTTTCAATTTTATTCCTCATTGCATAAGGTGGAACTCTAGCTTTGCAGTATCTTGGATTTGTGTCTTTAATGCTTAACTTCACTGTTCTATCATTTAGTAAACCTGAATTGCCAAAAACACTTTTATTTTCAGATATTACTTTATCTAGTGAAGTAAGACTAGATTCTTTTCCATTGTTCAATGAACAAATACTCTCCCAATTTAACTTAAGATTACTTAACCAGTTCCTACCTAGTAATGGTGGTCCATTTCCTTCAACCACAAGAAGAGGAAGTTTAACACTTTGACCATTATAACTTACATGAACCATACACTCTCCTATTACCGGAACATTGTCACCAGTGTATGTTGTTAGGCACTTGTGACATGGCTGTAGAGGCACTGATCCTCCTGTGACAGCGTCAAAATCTTTCTTTGTTATGACTGTTAGAGATGCTCCAGTGTCAAGTTGGAAGCTTATGCTCTTACCGTTGATATTAACTAGTACATTGATGGGAGCATGACTTATTGATTTCACAGAGAACAGGCTGAAATCCGGCTGCGAATCAGTTTGAGCATTTTCACTGGTAGAGTGGTTCATTGGTTGGGTTAGGTAGTCTTGGTGAGAGTTAACATAGTGCTGCCTTTGGTTGCGGTACTGTCTTGACTGGCTAGATTTAGCAACAGACGAAGACTTTGCAAAGCAGGCCTTGGCAATGTGACCTTGCTTACTGCACTTATAACAAGTTGCTAACTTGAACTTGCACCGATGAGATGCATGGGGACCTTTGCATCGATGACATTTTTTATAATTATTACTAGATTTAGATCTAGGATTTGAACGAGCAGGCTGTTTAGCATAAGTTGGAATGCTCTGATAGGGTTGATGTTTGTTGACTAACCTGCTGTTTACTGCATGGATCTCTGAAGGTGCTAGAGATTTCGCCGCCTCGGATGACTGCTGGAATGAAGTTGCTAGTTGTATTGCTTTTTCTAATGTTAGATCTGACTCGAGCAGCAACTTTCTTTGAATATCAGGGCTGTTTACACCTGTCACAAACTTTTCACATAGTCTGTCAGACAGCGTATCGCCGAATTCACAAAATTTACTTAGATGACGTAAAGCAGCAACATATTCTGATATTGACTCGTTTGGTTGACGAGTCCTACTGTCAAATCTAGCTCGACATAGAAACTTTGATGGGGTAGGCGCATGGTGGTCTGTTAGCAATTTGCTCAGCTCGTTAAAGCTCTTGGTAGTTAGACTAGCTGGTGCGCATAAGTCCTTTAGTAGCCTAAATTGTTGAGGCCCTATGACTGTTAACAAAACAGCTCTCTTTTTGGCTTCTATCGTCACGTCGTTTGCTTCAAGGTAAAAGCTTAACCTATCTAGGTAATCTTGAATGATTTCATTATTCGAATCAAATTCTTTTATTTGGCCATACAGCGCCATTATTCTAGAAATACTTAGCTAATAAGCTCTAGCAAACCTCTTTTTTGCGTAAGTAGGTGCTCTTTCTAGTAGATTTTTATCCTCGTCGCCAAAATGTGATGGATTGACGATAGAAGCATGTGGTTGTATATAACACGTTTATTGGGTCTAACTACATGATGGTACCAGAGAGAGGAAGGAAGTACAATGCACAAGGGACATCACTCATAATAATATAAATATAATACTAATACAGAAGAGTGAGTTCCCTTGACCTCACAATTATCTCAATCTATTACAGAAGCTATTTTGAAAATACTCTTACTAAACCTATATACATGATTTATTTTCCCAAACTTTTATATTCAAAATATTCTTTTTATATTTGACCGTTTGTAAATCCCCATCCTATGAGTCAATTAATTTTTCTTTGCTCTCTTAGTTTGATTTTCTAACTCATTTGGACATTGGTTTAAAAAAATTAAATTCTATATAGCTTGTATAAAGCATTTAGATAAATACTATTTCACTAAAGTAAGTTAAAAAAAGTGTCAGTTGCAGTGAATGGTGTAGTATCAGTCTGAGTAACTTCTCTGGCAAATTTTCATCTAGCCTAAATATAAAAATCACTACTTCAAGTATACCTTGTACATTTATGTACAAATACTGCATGCTGTTTTTGCAGGTGGTAGATTCAGGGACACCACTGTCCAGAACATCCTACACTGTTGTTACTGTCTACATTGATGACCTGAATGATAATGCCCCCATCTTTACCAAGACATCTTACAGTGGTAGTGTTAATGAGAACAGTGCCACATCAACTTCTATACTCAAGGTGTCAGCCACTGATGCTGATATCAACACCAATGCTGCCATCACTTACAGCATCAATACAGTTCTGTTGGATGGGGCTAATGCTAACACTTATCTTCAGGTTGGTCAAACTACACAATTTATTGCTTCTGTTAATATGGTTAAAATTATAAATCAGACCTTTGGGTCTCCACCACATTTAACAACTTTGTTTTTGTTCTCAGATTTCTTCATCAACTGGTGTGATCACACCAAAAACTTCCATTGACTATGAGACTATACAAAAAATAACATGCGTTGTGGTAGCAACAGATGGTGGGACCCCATCTTTAACTGGGACAACAACTGTAACAATAACAATAATAGACACCAATGATAATAGCCCTGTCTTTAGGTCAGTAAAATTATTTTATTTTTTTGTCTTTTACTTTTACTTAACATCATTAGCCAACACAAGAGTGGAACATCATTTAAATATCACAGTGACTGATGTTTTTTTCTTCTCCAGTCCAACATTTTACAACACTGAAGTAGCCTACAGTGGTGACTGTGAGAGCACCATCACAACAGTAACAGCCACAGATGCTGACTCTGGCAATAATGGCTTGATCTCTTACTCCCTACAGACCTCACTTTACAACTATTTGTTTACTGTAAACTCAAGCACAGGTAGTAAACATTTCAGTCATTATTAACATTTTAAAAAAAAATAATAAATCTAATTTGATTATTAATATTTGTCAAAACAGTTGTGAGACCATGAACAGAAACAAATTAAATAACACAGTGCTGAGTAATTCATTAGATGTTTATATGTCCTCTTTGATTTTTCAGGTAAAGTGAGTCTGTCCAGTATAGCTGAGGCAGACACCACTTACTCACTGGACATTCAGGCCAGTGATGCAGGAAATCCTATCAAAACAGCAACATCACCTGCTAAAGTTAGGGTAGATTCTTATGTGCCAAATAACCATGTTGTTACTTTTAGGCTCAAGATAAGCAGGTAAATATTTTCATCTACAGCTGGTTTTAAGAACAGTTCAAAAGATATACTATTTAAAATATTTAACCGACTTGTTGTTTAACAACGTATTTTTGAAAGTCTAATTATGCATCAGTAAGCATAGGAGTGCATTGCCTTTGGTCTATTTGTTTGGTGTTGTTTGTTTGTAGGTAAAACATTTCAATCTGTACTGTACTTCTTGTACAGGTCAAGTTTCTTGGGTCAGCACAACACATTTCTGACCAACCTTCAGACTGTTGTCAGAAACACCTATCCCACTGCCCTGGTGCGACTGACGTGTGTACAAGAGTATGATGGTGTGGCACAACTTCCTCCCAGTGGAAGACGAAGGCTTTTGGCAACTCAGTAATTTTAAAGTTTTTAGATAAATGAAAATTGGCTCATTTCATTACAGTTTAATGTTTATGAATTTAACTATCAATTCATATCTTAGGTTTAAAAAATGTATGTCTCTGTGTTGCAGTTGACTTTCATTTGATTGGATCTCCTTTCTACAGGCCTGTAGATGCTTTCTTGTATGTGGTCAAAGATGATACCACCAACAGCTTGAGCAACATCAACACAGAAAAACAATTTCTCACCCAAGATGAATTTTTATCTCTGGTGGCTGCAAACCCTGAGGGGGACCCTGGCACTAGTATACAAGGTTCAAATATTTTTTGACCATTTAAAATTTTCAAGGATCAAGTTTAAAATTCTGGAGTTTAAATTTCTTGATTTAAAATAATTATTTAGTTGGTAGGTTAAGAGTGGTGTAACAGAAAATGAAATTATTTCACACACTTTGACCTTACAACATTTATAATTGCATTCTTTCTTAGGCCCTGCATGGGATTATTACAGAATAGAAAGTGTAAATCCCTACTACCAGACCTCAGAGAGTTGGTGGGACACGGACTATGGAAAGATAATTACAGCAATTGCTTGTCTACTTGGGTTGTGTTTGTTTGCCCTGTTCTCCTACCTTGTTGCACCTTACTGTTGCTACAAGCAAGTTAGGTAACTTACTGTTGCTACAAGCAAGTCAGGTAACTTACTGTTGCTACAATCAAGTCAGGTAACTTACTGTTGCTACAAGCAAGTCAGGTAACTTACTGTTGCTACAAGCAAGTCAGGTAACTTACTGTTGCTACAAGCAAGTCAGGTAACTTACTGTTGCTACAATCAAGTCAGGTAACTTACTGTTGCTACAAGCAAGTCAGGTAACTAAATAAATATAACAAATATATAATAATAAATCATTATGTTTAAATAATTTGAAAACCTTTACTAAAATTTAAGTAGTGACCCCCCCCCCCCTCCCACCCCTTTTGTTTTTAGTTATATAAATTGTAATTCATATTAAATATATTTAAAGAAAATCATTTAATTTCTACTTTTTAGTATTGTATAAAATCATGTTATTAAAAGATATGTATTACTTACATATGGTATTTTTGATTGCAGATCTTTAAAAAAGTCAGTAAAGGAGTTAGACATGGATTCATCAAGAAAAAAAAAAGTAGAAAGGTCAACATGGGCATTTTGTTTCAAGTCCAAAGGAGGTAAATCAAGGGCAGTAATTGTTTGTCTACGTGAAATATTTTCATTTAATTTCCCAGTTTTCAGGCTGCACTGGCCATCAAGATGGTAATGTACAATCATTATGCTAAATTTACAGAGTTCAGCTTGCCACAGGGATAAACTGTACCTCTATTGTATTTCTTAGAGCACTACTACTTGTTTGTATGTAGCTTTGAACTTTAAAGCACACAGATATCTAGTACATTTGTATGTAGCTTTGAACTTGAAAGGACACAGATATCTAATTAACTATCAAATTGATTCCTTCACTTTCAGGTCACTCTGGAGGTCATCCTAAGCAACTTTTACACCTTCAAAATCCAACAGTTAGTCATTTAAAAAATTAGTTCTTTCATTTATGTTTTCCAAATCATCTTTATATAATATCGGCCATGTAAAGAGAAAAGTACTTTAAAGCTTCAAGAAATAGTTTTACAATTATAAACAAGGTTGAAACAGAATGCACAATTTTTTATTTCTTAAACACAAACTTAGCAGACCTGCATTTAAATCAAAACTCTAACAGTGTAGTGTAACTAGTCCTAGTGATTTCAATATGGAGAATGCAATCTTGTTGATGATAAAATGTTTAATTGACATTCATTAAAAATATATTTAGTTCAAAGATTTTTTTTGCTTTTTATTTTTTTTATTTTTAAAATCCTAGATTTTCAACCCCCCATGGACAGCCAGTACCAGTAGCAGTACAGGGTCTACTTTAGAATTTAAAGCTGCACCGCCATTTATTCTAGAGACAAATGACGATGTCCTGTCTGGGTACAAAATTAACAACAGATACTTTGATGGCAAAGCAATGGAACACGGTACACATTTGGGGTTTAAGGAATTGCTTTTACAAGCTTTTATTTAACTTGCTTCCTCTATCTATCTGTTGTTGTAGATCTAAATGGGCAAATAAAATTTCAGGCACTTCTGACAGATTTGTTCAAAGTTGGCATGTGGGTCAAGACTTGAAGACCATGCAACATGACATTAAATTTTACTTAATTGGATGCCTAATGAATTAATTAAAGTTTTTGAAATTAGTAGGCAGTCTTGTACTACTTTTTTTGCACTATTTTACAGGCATTTTCATGTTCATTTGGTGCGCAAAAGTTTTTAGTCATGCAACTCTATTGTCAATAAATATTTTAAAGTACTGAACACAAATTGCATAAAAATTTTTTCATAAAAACCGTTTTAATAACAAGCTTTAATGTAATAATGCACTAAAAAGGAGGAAATAAATAATTTTTTAAAAATATTTAATAATACACTGCTATTTAAATTACTATAAAGAAAAGCATGGGTCGCTTCCTAAATATTAGTAATAGTATCCAATACATATTATAGCGACCCATGCTGTTATTTATTAAAACACTGTTCTTTATAGTAATTTAAATAGTAGTGTATTAAATATTTAAACAAAGTTATTTAATTCTCTCCTTTTAAGTGCATTATTAAATAAAAGCTTGTTATAAAAACGGTTTTTCTGCAATTTTTTATATTTATATTTACATTGTCTTTTTTTTTTAATTTTCAATGTATTTGTCTGTTACAGCAACTGGCAAGGTATTTGAATACAACACAAAGACCAATCTGCACAACTGGGTCAACTAGAATGGCATCTGTTATCTCAAGCCATTAGAAAGATTTGCTTTATATGGTGACATGATTTCCTGTGAAATAATTAAAATTAACAGTTCACTTTATAACTTATTCAAGCTTGTTTTAAATTTTAATATCATGTTGTACAAGTTGTTTTATGAGACCTATGGTGGTATGATTTCTAAAGTTATATGCTAGATATTTCCTAATTTTCCTTATTTGACAATTTATTCCTTCAAAAATGTCTTAGCGCTATGATTTAATATTTTCTGTACTATTTGATGACTTAGAAGAAAAATAAGGTATAACAATTCATTAAGTTTATCACCACACAGCTGGTTCAGATATTCTGTTTACAATACAAAGCCTAGATTTATTAACAGCACTATGTTGATCTTGAAGCTTGTTAGTACACCATCAGGCTAGTGTATAAAGACACTTTTAGTAGTAGTGACTATTGTGGCAGTTGCTTGGCCTTTTTTTAAAATTAAAACATGAAACGTAATCTTGTGGTAGTATACTATTATTATTAACACCTTGTAAAAATGTGTTAATGTTAGTTAACAAATAAAGAAAACTAGAGCAAAATAGTAGAAGTTACTTTTAATAATAGTCCTTGCAAAATATGTTGGGATGAATTAAACATTGAAATTGAATATAATCATAGAAACTTCAACATCAAAACTTCTATACTGTGACTCTCACATCTTCAATGTTACTCAGGCACATCATAATCAATCATTCAATGCTTCACACTAATTACTAACAGAAACCTCCAAAGAAATGGCTTGAATAAGTAAGGAACATATTTAATTTGACCAGTGAGAAAAGAGGGCAGTAGCTACATCACAGTCACCTACAGCTGGGTGATGAGAACTGACTAGCTCTGGCCTGGTTTGCTAAACAGATGGTCAGGGAATGTCCACTGACACACATACACAACTACTCTCTTTTTACCAGTTGTTACTACATATAAACAAAAAATGATAAATTAGGATAAAACTCAATTTTTTGGCCTCAAATAAATAGTTTCAGGCTGCACCACTCCCCCTGTGAGTTCCTCCTCTACCCCCTCCAGAGCCCAGTCATGGGTGGCCACTTCCAGCGCCTCCCATTCAGCTTTAAATGCCTTCATGGGGTCAGGTGGAGCCATCATAGCAGAGCCAGACATCTGATCTTGCATGGCCCTTGTTTGATCTGCAGCTGTAGATGTAATGTAAGGATTTCAATTGCCAATATTTCATCTCTTCAATGCTATCATTACTGTTAAATTAAAAACTACAATTTCTTTTAATTTTAAGAAGTTAAAACTAATGGTTACATTATTGCAAAAATGCATGTGTATAATTTTTAAATTATATTTATGGGTAATGTTAAGATGACTGAATTTTCTTGGGCCAGTAAAAGTCTTAAATATTTTATAAAATGGATAGAATCTAAACACAATTGTCTACAGCATTTCAATATCAAGGGTAGGAGTAGATATAATAAAAATCAAGGGTAGGAGTAGGTGTAATAAAATCAAGGGTAGGAGTAGATATAATAAAAATCAAGGGTAGGAGTAGGTGTAATAAAATCAAGGGTAGGAGTAGGTGTAATAAAATCAAGAGTAGGAGTAGGTGTAATAAAATCAAGGGTAGGAGTAGGTGTAATAAAATCAAGGGTAGGAGTAGGTGTAATAAAATCAAGGGTAGGAGTAGGTGTAATAAAATCAAGGGTAGGAGTAGGTGTAATAAAATCAAGGGTAGGAGTAGGTGTAATAAAATCAAGGGTAGGAGTAGGTGTAATAAAATCAAGGATAGGAGTAGGTGTAATAAAATCAAGGGTAGGAGTAGGTGTAATAAAATCAAAGGTAGGAGTAGGTGTAATAAAATCAAGGGTAGGAGTAGGTGTAATAAAATCAAGGGTAGGAGTAGGTGTAATAAAATCAAGGGTAGGAGTAGGTGTAATAAAATCAAGGGTAGGAGTAGGTGTAATAAAATCAAGGGTAGGAGTAGGTGTAATAAAAACATTTACCATTGTCTTGACCCAGTATCAAAGTGTACATACTACGCAGACCAAAGACATTAAGAAAATACCAGGATGCAGAGCTAACCCTGGTAAATTAGAAATTTGAGAAAGGATTAATTAGGATTTAGTTATCCACAACATAATGAACCTTCTTCTTCAATCTTAATTTTAGTGTTGGAAAGGGATCCCCTCCAATACAATTAAGTATACGTGTCAACTTGTTATGTGCCATTGAGGCCATTGACTCCGATTTAAGCCAGCTTTTCTTTTTGGATTTGCTTCCATAGCCTTTGTCCAACCAAGAACAAACTACAAGGCAACAGTTGTTTGATTTTGGAGTTGTCTCTACTAGAAGAGTGGCTGTCCCCAGTTTACGAGCCTCATCTGCCTGAGGGTTCGAACTCGAGACTTTTTGGTTTAGCAACCAAAAAAACCAATAATTAACATAGCCCAGATGATGATAATATTTACAAAACAGAAACTCTAACTACTTTCATGTGTATCATTTTCAAATAAAAATTACCTGATGCATAAAACATTACTTATATTGGTATAATAAGAACAGGTTTCATGCTCACATCCCATTAAAACATTGCTCCAGTACCCACTAAATATGGACCAATAATTGCATATTTGCTTGCAAAATCATCCAAGGTGCCAACATTAGGACTAAACTGTGTGGTGTATTATTAATATTATCAAGAAAACAGTAAAAATATAACTATAAATAATAAAGACAGGTTTTTACCAAGAAGCATCTAATGTAATGAGTTCCACACCTCTCTGAAGCATTGGCTTGAATCGAAATGTCAAAGGAAATGGAACTTTGGCTGAAAAATTATATCAAGATAGAGAGGACCACACAAACCAATAACAAATCATATTAGAATCAAGTTTAGGGCCTTAGATCTATGACTTAATTTCAAATCAACCTACTGGTTAAGGCCTTATATCAATGAGTAATTTTTATTTAAATCAACCTACTGGTTAGATCTATGACTTAATTTCAAATCAACCTACTGGTTAAGAATCCAGAAAATGCCCAGTTAATCCAGCCACCAATTATGATCATAGGCAGGACATTAGTAACATTGCCCTTCATCATGTCAGTCATCATTGAGGGATCTAAAGAGAGAACATAATTTAACAGTACAAAGGAAGTAAAACAATACTGATTGAAACTGTAGGCCAATTCTATAACTATGATATTAACAATATTAAAGGCTGCGGCTATTAGTAGTTCACTACAAATAGCCATCAGGCTATTCATACTCTTAGTGAGGCATTTTAATGTGATTATTTAATTCCAATATTTGTGCAATATGTACTGTTGTGTAGAACTACTGCTTTTAGATCTAACTTTATAACTAACCCTGAACCCTAACCCCTATTCTTAACCCTAAACCAACCCTAATGCCTAACACTAAAACCAAATGCTAAACCCCTAACCCTAAAGTAAAATAGAAAAAAAGAAAAATAAAAACTCCAAGCCAAAGGAATAGATCCCACACAGCAAAAACAAACTGACTGATACACAATCAATTCGACCACCCGAACGGATATCAAATGGTTGGAAAGTCATACAAAAATAATATGCACACATGCAAAGGACAATAAATTTTAAAATAAAAGAGCCGATCCGCGGCATATCATATGTCGCTATTTAGTTGTTTTATTTTCTACTTTTCAGTAATTCATAATTTGTGAATTAGACAGTACCAATGCTGCCACTGAAAATATTTGCTTTAAAACACTATCAGTAGGTCGTTAAAGATAATACTACCCCCACCCTCCTTTCCCCCAACCACTACCCTACACCCCCCCCCCCCCCCGTGAAAGCAGCCTCCCCTTAGTTACCTCCCCTAAGTTTAAAATTGTTTCAAACTAAATTATCTGCCCCTAATAGCCGTCACTAAACCCGGCTCTATGATTGTAAACATTTAGCGTGAACCACATCTCACCAGACCATTTAGGGGTGGGGTGGTAGGGAGCGCGCTTACAACTTGGTGTTTTCTAGCGTCTCCAAGAAGAGAATTATATATATAGATTTGATTGGTCGGCTAAAAATAGCAAACTGCGAATAACCTTCGGAGAGCTATTTGTAGTTAACTACGAATAGACACTCTCAGTCTCATTTTAAACTACACTCCATTTTAAATTTTTTACTCAACTTAGTCTTTTTACCTGTCATTGGATTTTTAGCTTGAGATTCTCTTTTTTCCACCTTGAAAAATCCCCTCTCTTCATTATTGAAGTAACTTTTTCTTACTAAAAAAGAGGGTTTGGGTATGTATTTTCCATTTTCCCGCAATATACGGCTGCGAATCAAGGCATGGCTGAAAATATAAATTATAAAATTAAAAAAAAAAAGAATTATTTTTTATGTAGCCGAGGCCTAACTAACTAAATTTAATGTTATTTTTAAGTTGGATCTAGATCTAGATCTAAATCTACTACAATCTAGTAGGCAGTTTGATGAAAAATTAATTTTTTTTTATTTTATTTTAAAAGTATCAGTAATAGCTAGGACAATGGTAAACTAAGTCAATTTAGCATATATAAACTTTCTGTGCAAAGTCATTATGACTGAAAAAAAATTCCAAAGTCATGGGTCTGTGTGGCATAGCTAATGAAGAAAAAACTCCTAGACCTGTGACCTGATTTCATGAGTGGATATCTGGATTATTTTTTAACATTTTTCAATGAAACTTAACAGAAGCATATTAAAATAGCTTAGAAATGAATGTAGATAGCTAAAAGTAACCAAGATTGATTAATAACTTTAAAAAAAAATATTAATGAATAAGGTTGGCAGATATTGGTAACACAAAAAAATGGTCTTATAGTTCCAATTTTAAAATCATCCATATTTATTATTTTAATTACTTAGACTGTGCACACTTATTATTTAGGCAGTTTACAATGGGAGTCAGTATTTGAAGATCTAAAGTAGGATCTATTTTATGAAATTATGTGGGACATTTAATGGGAGTTTCCTTTCTATAGAAACTAAAAATCTTAAATGAAGCTATGTTCTAAAGCACACTAAATTGACTACATATTTTTTAGGTACAGAACAGTCTGCCTAAAGATAAGACATACTATATCAGATTAGATTTAAGCAATTGTGACTGTCCTCTTCTCTTTTTTCATCCTTGATTTGGGACCAGGCTATGCCGGTGTTACACAACACAATACATACAGGCATAATAACAAACTAGTTTTACAATCATCAAATAAGGCTATGTAATATGTATGTACATATTTACACAAACAAGACAATAAATTGTAATTAATGTACCTGTCATTGAAGTTGAAAAATTGAAAATAAAAAAATATACATGACCCACCAGTTTTGTGTTTTTTTAACAGTGTACAAATATTTTATTGTATTGCAATACCAAACATACATCTCACTTAATATTTTTTAAACTCCTGATGGTTTTAGCCAGACAAATTACTTCTGACAATGTAACATGTCAGTGGTGTATTGACAAATTCTGACTATGATGTTCAGAATCAATGTAATATAGAATAGAACATAATTAACATTTTGTGAGAAAAAAGGATTGACAAAATTTAATAATACTGAATATTATCTATAAAAGACATCATAATTACACTCACCAACCACTAATAATGTCACAAAACCACCACCAAAAACCTCACAAAGTCCCACCCCACGACAAAAAACACAATTTCCCAAAAGAATGACAAAATAACGTACTATGTGACATTTTTTAAGCCCCCACCCTCCCCACCCCCTTCCAGAAGACGGCCCGTGCCATGATCATATTGGCTCAGAAACAATTAGCAAATTATTAATTAAGGTATGAATTACTCAAGTAATAATAATATAAGAACTGTTTGAAGTGGTATTTAATTAACTACCTAAGAGTTATGATCACTATTATGAGTTCTTGGCATCTAACTAAGCCATCGGCATCTGCATTCCTAACTAGAACAGCACTTGAAGGTCAAGGACACACTCAGTCACACACCATAAACAAAAAAAAACTGTCGATATCTTAACAATCCAGTTTTTAAATAAGTAAATAAAACATATCTGTCTCTTAATGGCTAAGTTATCAAAACTTTATTTCAAATTGTAAGCACGAATAAAGTTTTTTCATTCAAGTTAAGTGTTTTTCACTCTAACAGTCCGTCAATGCCAACCCCACCCCTTCACCTCTTCCGGAATTGGTGATTAGATTATTATAAAATGGCGTCTTGAGAGGTTTTTAGTATGGTCATTTATTCTTAAAAATGTACTGTTCGGATGATAAAATTATTACACAATTCTATTTTTATTTGATAGTGAAGATATTATAGAAAGGGAAAATAATAATAAAGTTAGGGAAATACGCTCCTGCTTTAGTTTATTCAACTTGAAACACACGCTAAATAAGCGTGACTTTCTCTCGACGGCCTCGTTAAAGACAAAGAACGAAATTAGGTCAAGCTGCCATTATTAAAATGTTAATTATTCGCCCCGTAAATACATGGGCAGTTTCGAGTACAAATGTTTCCGATTACAATATAATCCTTATTTTTAACTATTGTGTACTTCATGAGAAAGAAATGATTCGATATTTTATATGTCCGCCCAAAACACGGTAGCCACGAAACCGCGAGAACGAGACTTGACGAATCGAAAAGCCTAAATCATACTAGTTAGTACAACTAGAATAGATTGGATCTAGATCTAGATTTCTAGATCTTCTAGACATCACCTAATGAATCTAATCTAATTTTCTAAGATTCTAAATAGTAGGCCTAAATAGTACTAAATAGTAAATATTGTAGTGTGCGTGTAGTCACGGTTTAGAGTTTAGTGTAGTCAGTGGAGAGTAGTGGATCTTACCTATCTGAAACTTGTCTTAATTCTGATTTCTTCTCTGAAGATAATAGTATTGTTACATAATGTCTCAATATTCCTATAAGAAATGTTATTAAGACAATTGGTAAGAAAACCCACACACGAATGTTCGAATCGAGTAGTAGTTCTGCCATAGTTAATTTTTATTACCTGAAATTACCTTGCCAGATAAAACATAAAGAATTTGCCAAATATCTTTGGCAAATCTAAAAATTAGTGTGCTGCAAATTGATCGCGATAAAAATGTGCGACCCTTTATTTTTACATCTCACGTGTAAAACATTGTTAGATGCGGAAACGTTTTTTTTACATTATAAGCAATGGTTTGTGTGCTTATAGTATAGATCTAGAATCTACTTCTGGTGGTGTATATTTAATTAATCACAAAAGCATTTGGTCTAAGGGACATAAACATGTTAATATTTTTTTTAATGAGTATGAAAATAGTTATTTCTCCTGTTAATATTTTAAATTGTATTGTTCTCATTAAAATTGTTTTTTGTTTTTTTTTTCAATATAAAAATGGTTTTTTAAACATAAGTAAAGAAATGTACACAATGATTTCGCAGAATTGTGCTTTAAAAAAAAAACCATTGATATCTGCAAAAAATCAAGTGTGCATTAATTTTTGGATGTTTACACTTGTGGTCTAAGGGAAATAAATATGTAAACGTTTATTTATTCTAGCATGGTAAGAGTTGTATTTCTTGTAGGTAAGTGTAAATTATTGTTGTTTTTTTTTTACATTTTATCTCACTGAAAATGAAATTGTTTTTTGCTTTTGCTTGCTCCTACCCCTTTTACATGTATAGAAAAATAGTTTTTAAAAAATTGACGGTTCTTAAATTCTTAAAACATGTATACTTTATATAAATAAAATATTATGATTTCTTAGCTTTTCGAATTTTTTTTCTTCTTTTTTTAAAAAGTTAACTATGGAAAAATACAAATACAAGTAACTGATAAGTGACAGATCTATAATAATCTATATATAATAAAATGCTTATTCTAAGGGATGTAACAATGTGATTATTTACGTCGTTTTAATTAATTTAGAGTTTATCCCTCTTAATTTGTATTCTTAACTTTTAATATTTAATAGTTTATAATTTTTAACGCTTGGTTTTGAAAACAAATACATTTATTTAGGCAGAGGCGTAACGACCTATTCTGAGGCTCAGTGCGAACTATCGGTTTTTCGACCCCCCCCCCCCCCCCCCCCTTATTAATATATAGCTATTCAAATTGCTGAAAAAGCATTTGTTCTGGACAACTCGGTATTTTATTATACTTCCCTTCAATTAACTGAATACTTTTATTTTTACAAGCTTTTATTTAACTTGCTTCTTCTGTCTGTCTTAATTCTGTCTGTCTAGATCGAAATGGGATAGCGAAATTGCGGGCACTTCTAGCCGATCAATTTCTTTGAAATTCTGCATGTGGGTCATGAAATTAAATTTTACTTACTTCATTGAATGCCTTATTACTGTTTCAGTGTTTCTTTCAGACTTTTTTCTCGGGGGGGGGGGGGGCTTGAAATTTTAGTGGGGCGGACAAAAATTTCTGGGGGAGGGGGGGGGGGGGAGGAAAATGTTAAAAGTATATATTTACTATATACATTCAATTTTGTTCGGGGGGGGGGGGGCGGTAGACTTTCTTCGTGGGGGGGGGGGGGGGGGGGCTCCGTCCCCCAAACGAAATGCCTGCAAGAACCACTTAATTTTTTATGAATTAATTACAAATTTCTGAAGTTAGTAGACAGTCTTATCCAACTATTCTGCACGCTTTTCTTTTTAGTTATTTAAATAGCAGTGTATTATTATATATCTAAAGAAAATCATTTCTTTTCTCCTTTTCAAATGCATTATTACATAAAAGCTTGTTATTAGAATGTTTTTGTGCATTTTTAGTATATCTAGATCTACATCTAGGTTAGGCCTAGGCATACCTGCCTAACTTTCATGGGTAGAAGATTTATTTAGACCTTCTTTGAGTTCACAAGTCATGCGCAGTCAACTGCCGGCCATGTTGTCAACAAAATGTTAAAGTACGTTGCAATGTAAAATTAAAGGAACATTTACTCGAATTTATTTCTTTTATAATCATAAGTATCAAAAATGGATCTGTCTTATCGTATATAGAGTCTAAACTTCAGATCTATTACTATCGTTTAGCCTTGAAATGGCATCTTTGAGCTCAGGGTCATCCAGAGAAAATAAGGCAGGATTTTGGAAAAAGAGCTCAAGTGTACCCGGAAGGTGAGTTTTTAATTTTTAAAATATTTTTATATTGAGGCCCTTATTTGATCTGTAGGCCTATTGAGATTCTGTATGTTTAAATAAGGTCTAGACTATATAGTAGTAGAGTAAAGTTCCACCTGTGGTCACACATAGCGAAAAATTCCGAACTCCCGATTTTCATCGGGCGCTATTTTTAGTATTTTATAACCGTTTCACACAGAAACAAACCAAAAGTACTTTATTACTCCACTGCCATTCTACTCTAATATGCATGAGTTATTTTGTATTCATACGCATAGTATTTGAGATATTCATGTTTTAGTGACGAACCTCCTTGTGATCTATTTTTCCCCCCTTTTTTTTTGCCTGTGGTCACCTGTCCCTGCTTGTGATCACTAGCGTATTTTTACATTTTGATCCAATTTTAATAATTGAAATAAACATTTTACTCATTTAAACATGTTGATGATTGTATAATTAATTAATAGATTTGCAAAACCAAATAATAACACGTTAATTAAATTTATTAACTACAAATTACGGATGACCCAGTGATGACTCAAGGGACGCAACCATAATAATCATATCAAAGGGACGTAACAATCACTAACAAGACAAAACGTAACATTTGCTTCGATTGGATTGTATGTAGAGACACAAACTAGTTTTAGAAGAAGTAGATGATTGAAATAATTTAAAACAACAGAAAAAATCAGAAATTATACAGGTTCTAGACTTAGCTTGAAATATAGAGCATCTAGATCTAGGCTAGTCTAGCTCAAGTCGTTGGTGACCACAGCGAGGGTAAAACACAAAAATCGTTACCCCAGCTGTGGTCACCCCCATTTCACCACTAAGATTCTTTTAATAGCCTTAACTACAGTATTTTCAGTGTCCCGCACATACATAGAAGCTATTTATAGTTAACCTAGTTATAAAAAGCTTTGATTGGTTGGTTTTATTCATCTCATCCGGGACCTAGTGCTTTTCATACGGGGGAACTAGAGTCGCCTACGACGTCATACCTCGAAACTTGAAAATTTAAAAACTCATCTTTCAGAAGGAGGGAAACAAAAGAATTTGACCTGGATATATTTAGAAATGGACATGTTTACAGCAGATATTGGTAGTTTCGTATAAAACATCCAAACAAATATTATATGAAGCCATAAACAGGAATGTGACCACACCGTGGTTTTGACCACACGAGGAACTTTACTCTATATAGGTCTAGATTCTAGACTACATTTAAGTCGGAGATATCTTACTGAACAGTTGGCCTATCTAAACCTTTTGTCGTTAACTTAAAGTTAAACTTTTAAAGTTTTAAAGTCACACTCACAGATGTGTTATGCAGGGCCTGGGTCTGATCAGTGATCAAACTACCAGCTCTCTTTTCTGTGTGTTGGGGTCCAGGTAGGCTAGCTCTAGATCTAGATCAAGACCAGTGGTTCTTCTTAAATTCTTAACCATTTTGGAGGTACCAAACCTCACCCGCTTCTTATGCACATTATCAAACCTTTATATTATTATTAACGAGCCGACCCGCGGCATATCATACGCCGCTATTTAGTTGTTTTATTTTCTACTTTTCAGTAATTCATAATTTGTGGATTCGACAGTACCAATGCTGCCACTGAAAATATTTGCTTTAAAACACCATCAGTAGGTCGTTAAGGACGATACTACCCCCACCCTCCTTTCCCCCGACCCTACACCCCCCCCCCCCCCGTGAAAGCAGCCTACTCTTAGTTACCTCCCCTAAGTTTAAAATCGTTTCAAACTAAATTATCTGCCCCTAATAGCCGTCACTAAACCTGGCTCTACGAATGTAAACATTTAGCGTGAACCACAGCTCACCAGACCATGTAGGGGTGGGGTGGTAGGGAGCGCGCTTACAGCTTGTTTTATAGTGTCTCCCAGAAGAGAATTATATATATAGATAAGAAAGTAAAAAAATATGATTTTTCAAATTCAGAACATAGGTATTTATTAATTTAAGGTATGGTATAGCACTGTAGCTAGTAGGTAGGCCTAGGCTAAAGGCCCTATATTTTTAATTATTTTTGAAGTGACTACTCCAGTTGCTAGTCTGGCAGACAGAAGATTCACAAAACAATGACCGTAGCCTAATTATTTTTAGTAGCTGTGCATTGGGCTCAAATTACCCGTAATACTATTAAAATAACTGTGCATTGGGCTCAAATTACCCGTAATACTATTAAAATAGCTGTGCATTGGGCTCAAATTACCCGTAATACTATTAAAATAGCTGTGCAATGGGCTCAAAATACTCAAATTACCCTTAATTTTATTAAAATTTAAAATTGCTCTGCGATAGGACCAAATCATCCTCTTACAGTTGCGCTTGGCAATGGGATAAAATACACTTTTAGCCATATTCTTCATACAAAACTATCTGTACGGTGTGGTCAAGCGGTTGCGCTTTAGTGGGTCATCAAGGGTTGAAGGTTCATAATATAGTTATAGTTTATCTAGTAAAGAGATCAAGTCTATAAGTTGAATTTAACTATTTATTTTTTAAAATTTATTGTTATAGGCTATTTAAATCTACTATTTAAGTATTAATCCCTGCCCCATCAAGAAAACACATGTGCCTAAATAAAGAACATTTAGATAAGAAAAACCAGGTCCTTGTAGCGCTATGCGCATCTTCTTCTGGGTAGAATCAGCCATATACTGGTGTTCAAAATGAACTGTGAATCAACACCACTGAGTTCAAAGAACAAATCCAATCAAATATGATTTCCATACCAAAACTTAATATGGAATATTTACTGAAAATCAGTGTGACTTCTGCTGTTGCCTTTCAGAAATGTACGGCTTTACCTTGAATTCAGCAAGTGTTGTGTTCTTGTATTTTCCATCTTAATGCAGCTTAAGAAAGTTTTAGTGTACTTTTAGTTTTGCTGGTGCAAAGTTGCTCACCTTGGCATCGCAAATCATGCAGTGAGGACACTGACTCCAATAAGTTCTGCTGTACTTTCAATCCATTATGTACATATTTGTCTGTAGGGATTAAAACATTAATTGAGAATGAAATCGTACAAGGTACCATCATGACAGTCACAAGTTGACTTCTGGTCCACAATAAAGATGTAAAAAGTATGTTTGACACAACACATAAATACAAAATCAACGCATGCATGCCTAGGTTGCATTGACACAATTTATGACATCAGTGTTACTTTTAAATTTGGAAAAAATAATATTTAATCTTAGCATATTGTAATAGTTTTTTACTCTTTTTATTCAATTCAACAGTATTAAGCCAGTCTATGGAGCACAGCATCCTCCACCTCAATCAAATGTCAATTTGTGAGTTCATTTTTTTTTTTATAACTCTAATTAGGCATTTAAAGCTCCTTTTGATTCTTTAGAGGTTTTTTGTTTGTTTGTTTTTGGCAATAAAAAAGCTTTATAAAAATCAAAAGTTTTTTTTTTTTAATGTTTAAAATATACAGGCCAGGTTGGCCTCAGAAAAAAGAAGATAAGGGCAAGAACAACAAAAGAGATGCATTCCATGAATTTGAAAACAAAACTTCTGACGCCTGGGATGATGGGGATGATGATCTCATCCATATGGCCAACCTGAAGCTGTCTCTCAAAGATGTGCAGACATCAGCCAAGCTTGTGCTAGACAATCATAGTAAAAAAGCTTTACAGAAACAACAAGATAATCAGCCTAATCTCAAAAGTAAATATCACAGATCTATTAACTATTACATATTTATTACATATTAAATTTAAAAATAACAAATTTCATTAAACGTTGCAACTCTGTAATTGAAAAGATCATAATTGTAAATGTATCATCTGTTTATATAATAAAACCAAACAGGAAAAATAGGAATATAAACATTATTAGCAATTTGATTTTTACGGTAATGGTAGTAAGTTTTATGAAGTTTGATGTTTCCTTGAAGGTTCCTCACCACCTCAGTCATACCAGCCTCAACACTCTCATCATTATCATCAAGGTGGGCCTGGTCTGGGGGTCAGGCTTAACAGTGGAGGCTATCAGCCACCAAAGATGACTTCTATCAGATATGTAAGAAACACAGTCCCAGATAGGGAGGCAGCACGCAATGAGAAGTTTCAAGCCCTTTTTTCTGTGTCATCTTTAGATCTCAGTAGGTAGTGCTGCGTAGTACATTACATGCCATACATTCTCTTTCTATCATAAATATGTTTTAAGTGTCAGTTTTACCTCAGGTTAACATGCTGTTTATTAATTTTTGTGATAGTAAAACAAATTCTTTATTTCAAATTAGATGAACTCCGTACACTTTGTTGGTCAGGGATTCCTAAGGCTGTCCGCCCGACAGCTTGGAAGATTTTGTCTGTGAGTAAACATTTGAAGCATCTTTTAAGTTCAATCTTTTTAAAGTAAAATAAGATGAGTTTTATCCAATTCTTAATTACAATTTCAACCTGGTTAAAGTATATGATAAGATAAGTTGATACAATTTTCAGGGATATCTACCCACTGCAGCAGATAGACGTCAGGAGACATTAGAGAGAAAGCGCAAGGAGTATTTTGGTTACATTGATCAATACTATGAAACCAGATACCAAGATCTCCATGAGGAAACATTTAGACAGGTAAGATGTTATCTCTAAGAGCTCAGTGCTCCAGGTTACACTGGTGGGGGGGGGGGGTGTAGAGATCAGTTTATTTTTCCATCATTCATTGCCCCATACAACAGTTCACTTTTTAAAATTAAAATGTTTACTTTTTCTTGTCCAGAATTTCCAATGAGAAAAAGCTTTTTTGATGTACAGATAACCCATTTTTCAGGCTGCAATATACTTGCCTGAACATGGTCATTTCTTTATTTTTGAAGAACATCCAAATACAATTCTAAGCATTTTTTGTGAGAGTAAAATTATGATGTAGCCAATTTTGTGTGTAATCTTATTGATGCTATAAACTGTTGCATACATAGCATTTGTTGAATTAGATCTGAAATAAAGTTCAATGGGTTCCTCAACACTAACCCAACCAAGTTATATCTCAAACCAACATGGTTTCATTCTGTTACTTATTATATAATCTCAGTTCATTCAATTATACAGCCGTATCTGTCTAAATGATGAACAGATGTTCAGATCATTCCTTTCCCAAACATTTGGTTTTTCTCATGATTTTATGAGCGTTTTTATATGGAATTATAAGAACACTTTCATAAAAATAATTTTGTCTCTTTAGTACAGGATCACATTTGAACATGTGAATAGCAATAGACAACTTCAATTGAATCAAGGCATATGATGGCCATAAAGAAAATTGAATGAATGTTGATGAAATTGTAGACCATCAAGTACAGGAAGAACACTAAATTTTTTATAGTGTTCATCTGCCATAGATTTTGGTCTGCTGTAATCACTGTATTCTTGCTCTATTGGTTATTAAACCAAGTTTCAGTGATTGACCTAGGGGGTTTCTTTGTGTTGTATATGGTACATGCCTATTTTGTGCACACATTGTTTAATATTTGTGGACAGCCAAATATTTTTTTTTATGAGCTGCCATTTCAAGTTGTGCTTACTTATTGCAGTTTTTTAAAATAGTTAAATATAGTGTCTCTTAGAAATTATTTTGTGATAAGTACTAGCTAAACTGCATTTATTTAAGTAACAATGCAAAACTCCATTTATTTAAGTAACATTACAAAACTGCATTTATTTAAGTAACATTACAAAACTGCATTTATTTAAGTAACATTACAAAACTGCATTTATTTAAGTAACATTACAAAACTGCATTTATTTAAGTAACATTACAAAACTGCATTTATTTAAGTAACATTACAAAACTGCATTTATTTAAGTAACATTACAAAACTGCATTTATTTAAGTAACATTACAAAACTGCATTCAGCTGCCTGGCCTAAACCGTCACATTGGTTCATTAAATAGATAATGTACAAAATATCTATGATAGTCCTGATCTAGTAGCCTGTTACACAATCCTTGATTTGAGTTTTGTTTTCTAAGAATAAACAATTATTTTGATTTTTCTTTTTCCACTCTAAAGTATTTTTTAAATATTGCAAATTTTTTCATTATTTTTCTTTGTCGTCTAGAAATCAAAGTATATTTCCCTTTTTTTTCAATTAAAAAATCATTACTTAAAATGATGTTGAGCATTCAATTTGCTATTATTTTATATATATATATAGTGTGTAGGTATTAAATAAACAGGTAAAATAATCATGGGATGGTTATTCTGTGAAGCCATGGACAGGAAACTGAATAATCCAATTTAACAGCTTTAACCCTTTTGGTTCAGTTTCCAGTTGCAGGATGAGGCCATAGTTTACCTTCTGATTATGACTTTGACTTGGCTATTTCAGATTCACATCGACATCCCTCGCATGAACCCACTAATCCCAATCTTTCAGCAGCTAATAGTGCAGGAAGTGAGTAGTTACTGCCCTACATGCAGTTTTTACTAGGGTCAAGGTTACCCCCACCTTCTGTGCTTTTGTTTAGTTCTCTGCTGTTCACTCTCAAACCCTTTAACCACTTGTTGAAGCAGTCATTATTGTAACTTTTTTTTTTTTAAATATAATAGTCCAAAACGTTTTATACTTTTGGAATCCGCAAGTTATTCTGCATGTATGTATGGACAAGCCTTTGTGCTTGTTGTCATGTTTTTGTTGTTGAGATCAGCATTTGTGCATAGTTTTTAACTGCTCATGTCTGTGCTCAATGTGTTTTTAAGCATGATAATTGACCCATATTTAAAGGGCTAGCGCTATCTACACACATTTTAGGGAAATGGAAAATATATGTGGTTAAGGGCTGTATGGACATTGGTTTCAGGGCTATTTATCATTCCTACTTTTTTCTTCACCAAATAACCAATCTCCAGCTCCTTTCCATCTCCTAGTGCACCTGCTTTATTAACAATCAAATCTTTTGGCTTGACTAAATTGTGTGTCAGCATCATCAGCAGGCTTACGTTGTAGCACTAAAATATTTTCTTTAAGCCAGGTTCATGTCAGCATCACTGGAAGAGCAGAGAGAGACTTCATCTGTATCATTTTGTCTTCTTAAAACCAATTGGAGCACTTTCATTATAGGATTAGTCCCTAAACTTAATGTGTTTCTGCAGATACTAAAAGATATCCCTCGCATGACCTCGTTAGCTCACTTGTTTCAAGAGAAGGCTGTCCAGGAAGTAAGTATACATCCCACCTTGCAGCAAGAAGATACTAACCATCACTAAATCATACTTAGGGGAGTAGCTTGTACACCAACTAAAGCATGCATGTCCTATAGAGGCCTTAGTCTCAAACAACTCCTCACTTCTTTAACAGTAACAAACTAAAAATTCTGTTTGTTTTAAGGCAATCAAGTGCTAAAGTTTATTTGTTTCTTAGCTTGCCAGTGCATGAAATATGTTGTTACCATAGTAGTTGTGAGTAAAACAAATCTATAAAACCGCCTTTTTTGTGTTTCTACATTAAAAATTATTTGAGTTAAATAGCCACAACACTCATTAATCATTTGTTTGGTAAAGTGTTATACATTAAAAATTATTTGAATAAAATAGCCACAACACGTTGAATAATTTCTTTGGTAAAGTGTTACCAGATGTGCAGTTTGACACAAGTTTAAGCCTTGCTTAGTTTGTGTGTTAACTTGTTCCATGTTTAAGATTTGCTGATGTGGTTTAACTCCCCCTAACTGTAACAGGCAATGGGTCTTCTGTTCTCTGGTGCATGTATTTACTTGTGTGCATGATCCAATGCATATCCTGTGTTATGTATTTTTGCTGGTACTTATAAATACAGACCATTAATAAGCTATTTTTTTACAGTAGTTAAATTTTTGCTAATTATATATACAATTAAGGTGTTTTTACAGATTAATTATTACTTATTAAAAATGTAATTCTATTTAATGAAAATGAATAAAGCAATACCATTTAAAGCAACACATAATGAATGAAGCATGTAAATGTCCATAGAACAAAGCTGTCAGACCAAGCTGGTGTGTCTAGTTGCATGACGTGAATTAATGAGAGGCCATATTGTCTTCTTGGCAGCTTTCCATTACCATTACATTTTTTATTCATGCTAGATAGCAACCTGAGTTTAAATTTGCTAAATGCAAAAAATAGCTCTAATATTAACTTAAATATCTGCTCAATTTATTTTGTTCTAGCTATTAAAAAATTAGTTAAAATTATAATTGAGTTCTAACTTGTTAGCTAAAAAATGTTTAAATAAAATTTAACACCCACTGCTACATTTGTTAATGAATTTTCTAATTGCATTATTTGTCAGATATTTGAAAGAATATTGTACATATGGGCAATACGTCACCCAGCTAGTGGCTATGTACAGGGCATCAATGACCTGGTCACTCCATTCTTTGTTGTCTTTCTTTCAGAATATATTGAAAATGGTAAGAGCTTTGTACTACGTACCAGGATGATATTATTGTTCTTATGATTTCCTTTCCTTCAAAATAAGTGTGTATTTGCATCACTTTTTAGATTTAACACCAAAACAAAATTGTGACTGTTATTTTTTGTTCTAAAACACAATTTTTTACCTGTTGAGCAGACATTGAGGTAGAAAACTGTGATCTAACTGAGCTGTCACAAGAAACACGTAACTTGATTGAGGCAGATAGTTTCTGGTGCATGTCTAAATTGTTGGATGGGATCCAGGACAACTACACTTTTGCACAACCAGGCATCCAGATGAAAGTTAATGCACTAAGAGAACTTATTAAAAGAATTGATGGTGAGAAATGTTTGTTATCTAACTCGTAACTGATAGTATTGTGTAAACAATTAATAATGGTCATAAATACTGGGAACAAATTGTTTATAATAACCAGATTCATTAAATGGTAATAAAATATTTAAATGTTAGCCCTTATTAAGGATTTGTTTTTGTAAATGTTAATTTTTGAAAAAACTCACAATTGTTTAGAAAAATTGTGTACTAAAAATGACTAAACTTTTAATCAGCTCCCTTGTTCAACCACCTTGATCGACATGGAGTTGAGTTCCTACAGTTCTCCTTCAGATGGATGAACAACCTGCTGATGCGTGAAATACCTTTAAGGTGTACAATACGACTCTGGGACACCTATCAGTCAGAAATCAATGGTTTTGCTGACTTTCATCTCTATGTTTGTGCTGCCTTCTTGAAGCGTTTTTCAGAAGATGCTCTTAGAGAGCAAGATTTTCAGGTTAGTTCTAGATTATACTATTCCAACAAACCCCTCCACAGTTGAGAGGTAAAATGTTTTTTCCTGACAAATGGTCCTTACCAAAGTGTTTTTGTTTTGGCAGGGAATATTGATGCTACTCCAAAATTTACCCACTCTTCATTGGAAAGACAAAGAAATGAGTGAACTTCTAGCCGAAGCTTACAAACTCAAATATATGTTTGCTGATGCACCGAGGCACCTGCTACTCAAATCTTGACCTTAGTTTTGTTGTTTTTAGTAGAGGCTGTAAATTTGTGAAGTTGTTGGATTACAAAATTTTATAGCATGGATTTAAATGGAATACTTAATCTCTGTATGCAACATTAAATTTGTTCTGTAAATACTTTCAGTACACTTTTTTTATGATTGCTTTTATGTCCTATTTTAAAATCTGGTTTATTTTAGTTGGGCAGTAGTTGAATTTTATAACTTGTGTTTACCTAAGCTTCTTTGAAAAAAAACTGTCAGTGTGTACATTCAAAAGCTGTGCAATAAACTCATCCGATTTTATTGTGTATTGTCCCAAAACTTGAATTTACATATTTATTTGTTAAATTGCTTATTCTTATTGTTTAAATTACATCTACTTGGTAAAATAATTTTTTTACAGGTGTAGGTTTTTTGTTTACTATTTGATTGATTATAAAAACTATCACTTCATTTTTCCAATGGTTGTTTCCTCTTTGTTCAAAACCTATAGATGTAGTGATTTTCAGTGGCCAGTGAATGTAAAATTAGGATATGTGAATGAGCATGCAGCAGTCTAAGCAGTTTGTTGTTTTGGTGCAGCACTAACACTGTTGGTAGAACTAACCAGTTGTCTCCACTTGATGTTCTACAGCCATCACCCATCAACATGCATCTACTCAACAAAGCTAGTTTTATTACCTTGAGATCACATAAGCAAGCCTTAAAGATAGCCAAAATGTGCCCTTATGCCCTCTTTACCTAAACAAAAACAAAACAAAAAAGCAATGTTTCATGTAACTAGTGACCTGACTTTTAATCACCCAACTACTTTTTTTATAGAGTTGTGTGAAAAGTTTTGAAAGTTTGACTCTTTGTTACGCCATGGCTTTAATCAGCATAAGAACTTCTACCTACCAAATCTGAAACAGTCATTTAGATCACTTCTCTTAGCTTTGATGAATTAGGGTAATTGATTGCTACTTTGCTCAATATCTAAGACATGATCTTCTATGTCAGGAATGTTCTTTTTAATATGTAAAGGATTGTTTCATCGAAATTACCCTCATCTGTATTTTAATTTCATATTAGCACATTTGATTACTATTTGAGTATATTACTCAGTATGTTATAATGTTTTTCTTCTAATTGTTGAAACCATTGTTATTTTAGGGCTAATTTGTTTCAATATTAATGCTTCACCTGTTTACATGTATTTGTTGTATTTTAAAAGTAAATACAAGGACTGTTGAGTGATGGTATTGCGACTAAGGCACCAGAGTTGTCAATGTTTTAATATCATGTTAGTTTTAAATTAATTTTTTGTCTTTTCAGTGTTACTAGTCACATGTGCATTAAAAAAAAAAATCAGATTTCTTTCAAATCATAAATGTGAACTGGCTAGATGCACTCAAGTGGATGAACATTCCTGTTTTGTAGGAACGCCCTACAGAATTATGCCCTATAAATTATATGCCAGTATCATTGCTGTTTTTTGTCTGGTTGAATGCTAGTATGTTGTTCTTCACTTTAAAATGATGTTATAAGGGTTCCATGTATGTCAGCCTGTGTACTGTGGGTAAAATGATGTTATAAGGGTTCCATGTATGTCAGCCTGTGTACTGTGGGTGCCGCTACTTGTACAGACCTGTAAATACTTGTTGGGAGACCTGGGTTACTGTGTACATACTAAAGATATAATGAATATTACTAGATGGCTGTGTTTTCTAACATTGTTAGTAGCTATTTATGTGTAAATGCATTAGAGTGTATGGCAATCAAATAAAACAAATTCTTGTGAATGCTCATGGATCAATTCACACAAAAATAAAAATTATTGTTTAGTGTTACATCCAATTTGTTGTAATATATACCATTTGTAATATAATCTTTTTGGGTAAATTTTTTAGTTTTCCTTTTTTTTTTTTCAAATCAAAGGTAGTATAATTTAATCAGTATAATCAACACTATAAATATTGATTATAAAATAATCTGATTTCACAGAAGTGTTTTTATTTACTTAACAAATGTTTTTTAAATTATTTTAATAGGCTATATGCCACTATTCAATCCAAGGCACAAATCATGGCTGTTAGCAATAAAATAAAAATATTGGTTCTTATGAAAATAAAGTGAAACACTTTCTGTTAAAGTAAGACTTTAATTATGCAAATTTTTTTTTACTGTAAAGAAAAATAAATATCTTAACAACACTTTTTTGTTACGTTATCGTAAAAAGTCTCTTATTATAAATACAGTCAACCATACTAGCACCACTGATTCTGCAAAAAATACTGCACTAAACTATGTACAGATGCTTCAAACTAGTTTATAAATTTAACAAAAAGGGGTGGTTGAAAAATACTAGATAGTGCACAGTAAAATATGTTTGGTAAAATGTGTTGATCTACATAGAAAATTTATTTTACCAGAGGTTTGTGGTCAACAGCTTTATGTATATTATAGAAGACTTAGTTTCTGTAGACCATTTGTAATCAAAATGTATGTAGTTATTAGCTATTATGTATTAATAATTTAGATTTCTCAGCACACGAAGTATAAATATACATTTAAAGAATTAGCAATAGAATACTGCAGTCATACAATCTTTATATTTACAACAAAACTTTTTAAAAAATTCATTTTCCCGTCTACCAAGTATTAAAAAGTGCTAAAAAAGTTGTAATGAAGTACAAAATAATAATTAGCAGCTGTTATAACAAGTATAATAAAGTATACGTAACATGGAAGGATGTTTAAAGTATAATAGAAAAATTAAATTTACAAAGATAAAAATAAATATCTGCTTGAAAACCAAGCAGATAAAAATAGGTATAAAGAACTTTGTTGTATGTAAGTTTTGAAATCCTTTTTAAAAAGTGGATGGTAAAAATGATTTAAATTAAAAAATTAACATTGTTAGCAAGTTAGACCAATTTTCTCTTGTTCTATGCATTAGTTTTACAAGTTAGCTTTCTTTGTAAGCTCATAAAAAAAGATTTATATTCACTTATTAATATTCAAACTTTTTGTCAGTTTACTAACAAATTGTTGATTATATTGAAAAACATTATTTTGCTTACTATTACTACATTCAAAATGTAACTAGTTAGTTTGGAAAGTTACAGTTTTTGTCTGAATATATATTTATGAATACATGATTATAAAAATTATAGATGTAAAACTTTGATCTGGAATAAAGATCTCACTTTGTTCTTTGACAGTCATGATACAGATAAGCTGCCCCTCACCCCTTAGCAACAGAAACAAAAACATGCACTAGGGGTGTGAGAGTCCCTGATTGAACTGTTAGAATAAATTACATAATCAAACCATTCCACACTTAAAAATGAAAAATCTGATTTTTTTTTCACACATTTAAAACAATTTTGCGCACTAGCACCCAACATCAAAACCATTTTTTTCATACACACTTTCATAAGTTCATATTCTCACAGATTTAAATTAAACCATCCTTTAGTTAGAAATTGTATAAATAATATTTTTGTCTTTACAAATGGTGGTTTGCTGCCTTGGTAATGGTATTTACATTTTAGATTCTTGGTGTGGCCATTTGTAGGTTCCTGTGTAGAGGAAGTCAAAGTCTTGGCACAAACGATCACTTTCTCTTGGCCCTCGACTGGTTCGAATACAAAGAAACAAAAATTTAAATGGGATTTTAAAATTTTTACTGGGAGATACTTACACTAATTGTTAATTTAGTATTGTGTTAGTTATTCAAATTTTTAATAACTGAGTAATATGAACAGTTTCTTTTAATAAATTAAGGAACAGAGTGTATAATTTCTACAATGAATTTTATATTCATTAAATAAAGGTAGGTCAGTAATAGGTTATCATATCATGCTTCCATTACAATCAAACACCAGACATTATTTTGAATGAGTTGCTAAAATTGTTTTTAATTAAACACTTTAAAATACACAGAACAGACCTCAACAGCTCTGAATGAAAATGTGCTAAGTATTTAATACATAATAATTAATGCATAATACCTATAAAAATAACAACAAAAAGCTTTTTAATAAAATCTAAGTTTATTAAAGTACAAGAGATGAGAAACACAGCTGTGCCAACAGAAAACAAGTCCAGCACACCCCACCCCCATCAGTTTCAGTCCAGATTAATAATAGCAAACCATTCTTTTATCACTACCAGTTTTCATATTTGTGACCCACCACAATGGCAACTTAGTTAGTCTTAAAGCATTTTTAAAGTTGATTTCAAAAGTGAAAACTTGAGATTTTGGACCAGGAATCACTGAGTATCGACAGTTTAAATGCTAACTATCCAAAATCAATCTCAGGAAACTGCAAATTTACAATCTGGTAACTTTATACTAAGCATATTAGTTCGCTACTTTAAAGACAATTTGTGCATGTAAATAAATAATTAGAAAAGAATAAAATTTTAAAAATGTATAACCTAACACCCATCCTCCTCCTATTTTTAGATCTAACTTAAACAACTAAAGTGCAAGCTTGCACTTTAGTTGTTTAAGTTAGATCTAAAAATAGGAGGAGGATGGGTGTGGAGCTTAACATTTAAATGTTAAACACAAGAAACTGAGAATAAGCATTTTAGTGATGGAAAACAAAAAGACCGTGATATACTAAAGATGTTATGAGAATATTGGTAAAACAATTCTATGTTTATAAATTATATAAAAAAATAATCGGTTGTGTTAATAATGAGAATATTGGTGATAGGCTACTCAAATTTAAAAGATCTGCTGCTTTTGGGGAACCCAATACAAAAACTTTTGTACAATATATTGTTAGACAAAATGTACAAAACAAAATTAATTACATGAGATACGATTACCATCAATTCACATGTGAATATTGGTCTCAAAGAGGGGGAGTGGAGTACTTTTATGTATGCTTTATATTAACATATTATTCATTTGAGATATAAAACTAAAACAGTTAAAAAATTTTGACATAAAAGGTGATCCCTTAAATAAACAAGATGTGATGTTTGGAGTGCACAAAGCCGAGAGTGGTTAGGGAATGTAAAGGTCATGTAATTTTATATAATAGTACTTTTAAAATGTATTATTTTATTACATTCATTAAGATGATACTTTTCTATTTTTTAAAGTTTAGATCAAAGGTCTTTTTAAAATATTTAACCATCTTTGGCACAACAAAGTAAGTAATAAACACACAAAAAATGTAAAATTATTATTGTTGTTAATGAAACTCCAAAACACTTCTACAATTTTGAATTTGTGTCAATTTTCAAAAACCTTTTGGCTTTTTTTTAAGTTCCAACCATCACATTTAACATATTTACGATCCATGTTGTTTAAAACTTCATAAAAATATAAGTAAAACCCCGTGTTTTTCAGTGATGAAAGCCTATATAAAGTTCAAGTTAGATAGTGAACAGAAGATGCAATAATCTTACATTGGAAAAGCTTTCAAACAATACTAGTTAGTTTTGGATATTGTTATCAGTTGGGGTAATTGCCAAGTATATTGTTATAAATGGTTCAATAAGGTTGATAGGATTAGAGAAAAATTCTTTTACAATTATTTTTTAAGAAAAATATTTAATATTCTTGTATATTTTTCAATCACAGAAATGGTTTAAACATAAAAAATAATTAAATTCAATTATGTTGAAAGTCTGGATTTCCAACCTGTTCTCCAGTACATTTCCCTTTCAGTAGTGTGAAAACAAATAAAACTATTTGCCAATTATTAGCCATGACACATGGCAGCTGGATGCTTTTATACAACATTTTGCAACACTTACACAAAGTTTAAGTGAAATCATGACGAATAGAACTAAATAATATTTGATTCAATTTTTTTGACAACCTTCAATTAGAAGAAAAAAAAATTTTATTTAACAATGAAATATTTTTTTTAAAATTTTGTTTTAAAAGCAATCAATAACTCATGAGTAAAACCACATTGAAACAACTCTGAGGTTTTATACAGACACTATCTATGACGGGCTGTTTAGTGGCATGCTGGTCGATTTCCATATGTAAGATCCAGTATAACGGAAGTCATTTTTTATCATCAGGTCATCTGACTCTTTAGGTCCACGGCTGTTAAAGGGGAGAAAGCAGGGAACAAATAGGAACATGCAAAAAAAAAACCCATGTAAACCTAGGGTTAAGTTAAGCTAAGCTTGTAATCAATATAAAGGTTTCGATTAGAAAATCATGAAGGCATTTATATCTTGTTAAATGATGAAGTGTCAGGAAGTTGCACCTTTATGTCTCAGTACTTTCGTAATCAATCATTTGTACATTTTATAAAATTTAATGTATTGAATGGGCCTAAGGTAATTTATCAAAATTCACTAGCCCAAAAACCCTTTAAAGGCGAGTTGTCTGCAGAAAATCTAAAAGAACATTTTCCAGAAATGTGTTTAATTAAAATACACAGTAATGTGTTTACCTTATATTAAAAAGCCAGAAGATTATTTTTTTATGTTTAGCTATTCATCAGATGGCAAATAAATAGTATTTTATCTCAGATTTAATGAAATCTATTTGAATCCCCCAAATTATTTTGAGAAGCTGCTTAAGAAAATAGAAGGTGCCTATTCATTTAGTTTTAAAACACCCAGAGTAACACTGTGAATGGACACCAAAATAAATTGTCTAGATATTCTGCTTTAAACAAACATTAACATAATGTTTATTAAATTTTTAGAAAGCAATGAATCTTTTCAATGAGAGCTATGGTTTGTGTAAATACGAGTTTAAATTTTTATTGATTACACAATTACGTCATGGCCTTTCAGTCTATGGCTTTCAGTCAATTGGATGTCACCAGTTTTCTATGTTAATGCAAAATTGGATTTTTTTAAAGCCCTTCACAAGAAGCTTATTTAAACAAAAAATTGAACTGCAGTGTTTGACTTCATTCAGCTTGAAAATATTAACAACCTTTCAGCAAAGCTTATTAATTGAGTAAATTATTTATCATCTAGTATAGACAAAAAGAGTTAATTTTAAGATTTTTCTTTTTAACCCTATAACACATGTGTTAATTTTAACTGCAAAAAATGATCAGCTTACATTTTTTCTTTAAAACAAAAAACATGGGAAAATATTTTTAAACATTACTAGTCATTCTAATCATTATCAAATCATTATAGGGTTAAAACATGTATTAGCAAAAACAAAATTTAAATATCTCTCACTGTTATATTATTACAAATTTTTAAAATTCCAATGTATTATGACTGTTAATTGATTAAATTAAAAAGTTAATTGATTTTCAGAATTAATGCTACAAACAAATTAAACAAGTTTTTAAATTGTATGACAGCTGCCTTCTTGCAGAAGGAAAAGCAAGCAATGAGCAATGAAGATGGTGATACTAACCTGCCATATTTATAAGGGATTGGTGTAGGCTTCTCCTTCTCAATGTGGTGCAATAAAGGTGTGAAGATGCGCCACGCTTCATAAAGCTCATCAGATCTGACAAAGTGGATCTGTGAGCCCATGAACACATCCAGTATGAGACGTTCGTAAGCATCAGGCATGTTCACTCCCTGAAAACAAGGTCTCATTATGAAAATTTACCAGTTATATCAGAAGCTACTTAAATCAATTCTCCTCTACTTTAAATTTTATTAACATGTTAAGAAATTTTTGGTCTGTCAATTAGAAGTTATGTACTTTAGTTTTTGCACCATTTAAATTTATATCTTTACAAAAGAAGTTTTAAAACTTTCCTTACATAATTCTACTAGTCTGAAACTTGGATAAAATAATATTAAAGTAGAGTAAATAAGATCCTCAAACTCACTCTATAGCGACTACCATAAGTCAGATCTAGCTCACTCTCTTCACAGCTCAAACTCATCCCAGGTGTCTTAGCCATCATCTTCATATAAATAGCCTCACTGGGCTGAACTCTTATGACCAGCTCATTGCGTTTCACTGCTCCAGGTGCAAAGATGTCCCCTGCCACATCTTTGAACTGGACTCTTACCTCTGCCTTGCGTTCATTTAAAGCTGCATTAAAATAGGAGGGTAAAGTTTTAACAAGGTTCATTTAAAGCTGCATTAAAATAGGAGGGTAAAGTTTTAAAAAGTTAACTCACAAATTGCATTCATTAAAAGAAAAGCATTAGATTTACCTTTTCCACACCTTAGGATGAAGGGTACCCCATCCCATCTTTCATTCTTCACAAAAAGTGCAACTGTAGCAAAAGTTGGTGTCACTGAACCTAGAAATGAAAGTAACAATTGTTTTTCATTTTTGTTACTTAGAAATCTAAGACCATTTTTGAAGATAACTTTTTAAAAATACCTTATACCTTTTGGAACAGTGGGATCATCCAAATAGCCAAGTTTTTCTTCCCCTTTCCCTTCAGGATTACCAACATACTGCCCCAGGACAACATTCTTTAATTCTGGTGGTGGAATGCTCTTTAATACTTTTACCTGAAGGTTATACAAGGATATAGTTATGGCAATTTGATATAAAGGAATCAGGGTAAAGCATCTTAGAGTGCTTTAAAGCAGAAACACAATAAAAGTTCACCTTTTCATTGCGAATATCTTCCGCATGTGTAGATGGTGGTTTTTCCATAGCAACCAGTGTCAAGATTTGAAGTAAATGATTCTGCATTACATCCCTGTCATTTTTTAAAATTACTTTATTAAGAAGGGGACAAATGTTTACATGCACTACTATGTACACTGGTTAAGTTTGAAAATGGTACCAAAAACTAGAAAACAAAACCTTAGGATTCCAAACTCATCAAAATAGCCTCCTCTTCCCTGAGTGCCAAAAGGCTCTTTAAAAGATATAACAATACTAGCTATATTGTCACGATTCCAAATAGGACTGAAGATTCTGTTTCCAAATCTGAAATGAATTACACAAGTGACAAACAAAGTCTCAACAATAAATTTAACATAGCATTATAATTTACACACCATTTGTTTTTAGTACCTTACACCCCAACTCACAGATAGAGGTTACATGTTATACACATCTTATTAAGCATTCTTGTTTTGTAAAAGTTGCATTTTTTTTTTAAAGTTCAGTGAAAAAATATTTGATTTGAATATATTTAATAAATGTAATACTTTTTAGCTTACCTAAATATTTATTTTAAATGTAAACAGCAGCATATGGCATCTATTACCATACCTTAAAACCATGAGATTTTGAACCATTTCTTTGCCCAAATAATGATCTATACGATAAAGTTCTTCCTCTTTGAACAGGGCAGATAAATGGTGAGAGAGCTGGTTGGAACTTTCCAAGTCTTTGCCAAAAGGTTTTTCCACCACAATCCGAGTCCACTTGTCACTGAAAAGCAAATAATACATTTGTATGAAAAAAAAGAAACAATATTTTTTCAGTTTCTTTCAGTATAGGTAATGTAAACTTGTTAAGACTATCAAAAATTAATATAAAATTAATATTGTTAAGAATCTCACCCTTTAGACATGCAGACAGCCTTAATGTTAAGCGTCACTTGCTCAAAGACAGATGGTGGCAAAGCCATGTAAAACAATCTATTTGAGCTTCCTTTTTGCTCTATAGCAGTATTTAAATTTTTAAAATCCTGGGTTTTGTCATAACTGCCAGCCACATAGTCATTTAACTTAAAGAACGCTTTCACTTTTTCTTCTTCACTATCCTTCACCTTTAAAATGAAAATATAAACTGTTTGAAATTTTATTTTCGTACTGTTTCTTTGTAAAGTCAATTGCATCAAAACCTCAATTTAAAATTTCTATTTAATTCCTATAGAAATATATTTATACCTTCATGTAGGGGAGGCAGCTTTTCTGAATGTCTGCCATAGTGAGTTTGCTTCTTGCATATCCAATGAAGTGAGTCTTAGGTGGGATGAGTCCATCTTTAAAAAGCCACCTTTGATAGAGTCAACAAGAGGTCATAAGAATAATATATACACAGCATTCATTTATTACTAGTATCATTAAGTTATAAAAGTGACTTTTTAAAAAGCTTTTCTAAACAAAGTAAAAGTATTAGATTGTAATAAAAGGTCAAAACTAATGTAATCAACTTTTTAAAGAATATATTTAAAAGGTTGTATTCAAATATTCTTTCGAATCTGGGTTCAAGTCAGTAGAGTGTCCCTGAGTCCACCCAACTCTGATGGGTACCTAACTCGTGTTAGCAAAAGTAAAGGCGGCTGGGCATAGTGCTGACCACTTAATACCTTTAAATGCTGAGGTCAAGAAACATATAAACTCTACTTTATCTGCCCAATAGACTGTCAGTCTAAAGAGGAATCTTTTTTTTTTACTTTATTCTTTTATTAAAAGCTTACCATAAAGTAGGATAAATTTTCTTTTTTGCCAGATCACCCTGCAAAACAATTTTTTATACTGTATTATCTCAGAGATCATACACATTTTCAAGTTCACATCAGGTTTAGGGTGCATGTATTTATTTTAGTTAATTTAGTTGGATAATCTACTATTATCTACTAGGTGCACTGTTTAAAACATCAGGACTAAGAGGATAAGTCTTGCATATATCTTTAAATAGAACACAAAATTAATTATACATGATTCCAAGAGACAAGATTAATTTTTAAATCTATTCTATTTTTGTAAAATAAGGTTAGTAATAATTAGAGTATTATTTTCAATCATTTTATTTTAGTTATTTGAACACATTTTGTCATATATGGGAACACTGCATAAATTAATTAAATTTCATTTCGTTTGGTGGGGGGGGGGGGCGGTTCCACCCCCCCCCCCCCCCCCCCCCCAAGAGATGCCTGGAAGAAACTCTGGTTATGAGTTTCAGTTATGAGTCAAAAGCTGCAGCAATGGTCAATGAGCAGGATGGGGGGGGGGAGAACTTATCATTGACAATGTAAAACCAGTTAATTAATGTAAACTTACGGAAGCCCCTAGAATTACAAAAACATGTGAAGCTCCATGTCCTTCGTGTTCGACTTCGTCTCGAATTTTTGCTAAGACTTCATCCACAGAAACAGTTTGATGTTGTGTAGAATCGTCTTGATGTGATGCCATTTTGCTGTTTGAGATAACTTGCCCCGGAAATGACCTCAAATCGAAAGGTGGGTGTTGCCCTACAAAAATTGCAGTGTCACCCTTGCCTTTTGTAGAAATTGTCCCTCTTTCAGTTTCAAATATTTTTAAATACTTTTTGTACATGAAACCAAGTAGACTGTATGAACCTCTTTCTAGTTATTTCTCAGTGATCTGGAAATAAAAAATTGTACAGATAAACACAATGTTCATGCTGGCTATGCTAAATAAATATTAGAATAAGGCCTATGTGATTTTAGCCTATGCCAATGCATTGGCATTTGCCATTTAGACTAGGTCTTAAAATTTTTAGACTACAAATTCCCTTACTGTGTGTATGTAAGCAAACTGAAAAATGCTTGATTGAACAGGGCATAAACGTACTGCGCGTATTAAGTCCAGAGTGTCTACAGTCTACACTAGTCTACAGTGTGTCAAGTGCAGGCTACGCACTGTGGCGGATATGTGCGTTAACGCAGATTAAAAAAAAAAGTCAACCGCAGTCTACAGTCGTGCCCCAAGTACGCGGATTTGTGATGGTGGTTTATTTGTACCACTTTAAAGCAAAACATCCGTATAACATCCTGTATTTTGCGTCGATTTTAGTACATAAAGCTTGGAGAAACATTGATGTTTTAAATTCTAAGTATAAAAAGGCTCAGGCTTAGCCTAAAACAGCTTACTTATAGATGCTACATGCAGTGTTTCTTCCAGGCATCTCTTCGGGAGGGGGGATGGGGGGGGGGGGGGGGGGGCAGCCGGAAACTTTAGTCCGCCCCCCCCCCCAGAAAATTTTAAGTGCCCCCCCCCCCCTCCCAGAGAAAAAAAGTCTGGAAGAAACACTGGCCATAGTCTTCGCTACACTGAATCAGATCCGTTCTACTGATGATGTCACCCCAAACTTTGTGTATGTATGTGTGTGGTGGTCCACAACTGACGTCACACTCCCAATGGGGGGGGGGTGGGATTCGGACGATTGTACCCGGGGCGCGGCTCAGACAGTGTGACATAAAAAATCGGTTTTTAAAAATTAACATTTGTTTCGCTGTTTCAAAGACATAATTTTTAATCGAAAGTATTATCACACCATCTCAGTTAATATTACTAGAGAAAAAAAGTGCTGGTGACAGCAACTCTTCTAGGAGAGACAACTCCAAAATCAAACAACTGCTGCCTTGTAGTTTGTTCTTTGTTGGACAAAGGCTATGGGAGCAAATCCAAAAAGAAAAACAGGCTGAAATCGAAGTCAACGGCTTATTTGCGCATAACAAGTTGACACGAGTGCTGTCATAAGTTGACGGAGGTGGACGCGTAAAGAAAAAGTATGCTATAGATGTAAATTATTGTGAACTGTGGACAAACTACACGCAAACAGACATGTGTGCTTAATAAAGTATAAGCTTAGAGCGACGTAGCAAAAAATGTAAAAGCAAGCCTGTCAAGTTTTAACTGAGATTAGGATGGATGGGTAAAGGCGGCTATAATAGGGGTGTTAAGAAACCAATGTAGGGCAGAGTTTTTTCCAGGCATCTCTTCGGAAGAAAGTCTACCCCCCCCCCCCCCCCGAAAGAAATGGAATTTATTTAGAAAACATACTTTTATCAGTGTCCGCCCCCCCCCCCGGAAAATGTTGTTTCTAACCCCCCCCCCCCCCCCCCCCGAAAATATCAAGCCCCCCCCCCACCCCCCTCCCCCGGAGAAAAAAGTCTGGAAGAAACACTGATGTAGGGAGGGGAAAAGGCGGCGATAATATTAATAAGGATGTTAACAAGCCAATGTAGGGAGGGGTAAAGGCGGTGTGACGTCACACTTTTGCATTATAAAAAAGCAAAGTTAGAAAACTAGTTTTAGCCGTTATTTTGCGTTTTAGAAAACGGTTTTAATAAATTGCAATAGGAATTTATTAAAATACTTTATGTTGACAGAGTTCAGACAAGATTTTGGAAAAATATCGATATTTTAAAAAAATATAACCTTGGGTGATACCCAAGCTAGTGACGCCACTGTCTAATTGTAGGTCTATTAGAGGAGTACGTAATCTTTTAGGTCTAGTACGTGGGGTGCCTGCATAGGACCTTCATTGAGAAGTTGTAGAGAAGACGCTTTAATTCATAGCTTCATAGCTTCAAGAATTATTCAAGATAAGAAGAGTGGTATAGAGTAGTCTAAATATAAACAACAATGACACTGCCATTTCCTTTTGTGGAGTGTAGACAGCCCAGGCTGAATATTACACTCGTAATTTAGCCGGCATGGTAAAACGCTAAGTCATGCTGATCTTGTCAGCTGCTCCCGTGTCATCCTTCACCTTTTAATACACTTTGCTTAACATGGACATTTATCATACCGTAGTTTAAACCAATAGTAGCGTGTAGGATGATTTATATAGGCCTATATATCTAATATATAAAGTTCAATTCTGTATGTTTGTTTGTAAAATGTTTGTAATCGAGGATTACAAAGGAATATATGAAAAAACTATACTTATATGGATTCAAGTGTTAGATTATTAAAGTACTCTTGGTATAAATTGATGAGTTAAAATTTTAAAAAATTTAATATTGAAAGTGTTTTAAAACAATTTTCATTTTACACACTTAAAGTAATAATTTTCAATATGAACATTACATAAAAATTTATAAAAAAAAATATGTATCAACTTTTATAAAAATTTCTAATTGTGTCTGAAAATTATTTGCATTTAGTCCTTTAGCGCTCATTACTTCCCTTGATTAAGAAAACACAGTTACTTCCCTTTAAAAAACACACTACATGGGGGGGGGGATAATTTACTTTTTATTACTTTGTTTTCCGTTGCGGATAAGCTTGGAGTATTATAATTGTTCACTAAATTGAAACAGGCGCGTCCGCTGGCGCCCCGGCAGGGTTCGATTTGGCGCCCTGGGCTATCTTGTGAGCGCTATGGTCCATAATTTCGCTTTAAACAGTGCGATAGACTATGGATAAGAAAGTTTACTATAGTCTTAAGTGAATCGAATCCGGGCGTCCTCCGGCGCCCAGACATGGTGCTATTTGGGGCCCCGGGCCTTCCCGTGTTCGCTTTAGCGCCTACATTCGTTTAAGTGAGTGTAAATGACTATGAATAAGTTGGGGTACTATAGTCGTTAACTAAGCTGAAACAGGAGGTTCCGCCGTCGCCCCAGCATGGTGCGATTTGGCGTCCCGGGATAGACTGTGAGCACTTTGCGTTTATTTTTACGTTTGTGTTTTCTTTGGGTTTGTGTTTGTTTTTGTGTTTGTGGTTGGGTTTGTGTTTTCGTTTGTGTTTCTGTTTGTGGTTGGGTTTGACTTTGCGTTTGTGTTATCGTTTGTATTTGTGTTCACGTTTATGTTATGTTTGCTTTTTTTGTGTTTTGGTTTTGGTTGGTTGTGGTTAGGGTGGGCAATGCCGGGTATATGCTGATTACAAAACACACATGTCATGGTCATTTACAGATAGGTTTTTAACAGAGGCCAGTGCAGGGTCCAGACAAATCGGCCCCGACATAAGAGCCCCGTCAACTCGACCCCGTCAAAAGGGCCAATGACATATGGACTCCGTCATATAGGCTCCCGACAAATAGGCTCCCGTCATTTAGGCTACCGACAAATAGGCTCCCGTTATATAGGCTCCCGACAAAAGGGCTCCGGTCAATAAGGCTCAAGACAAATAGGCTCCCGTAGAGTTTCTGTAGAGACTAAATCTCCCGATAAAACAGTCTCACTGAAAGACCCCTTCATCAATATTCTTTGGAGTTAGCTTATCCAACACTAATGCATCTCTTGTTCGACAGGCCTTATTTTTATAACAAATTATCTATTATAAGAAATAGTATTTTTAATTTAAGGGTCATCTATCTATGACTTCCATAAATGAGTCGGTTATAGACTTTTCCAACTCAGTGTGTGGGGAGAGTGGTCCACGCTGTATATTCCTAACTGCAGTATGTTTGTAGGTTATCAAAACAAAATGCCGTTATTCTGAAAACATCATTTATATCATACAATTACACTTTTGTGCTCGCTTTTAAGCAACAGACCTTTACTGTTGTAAATTAAATATTATCAAAAATTAAGAATTGGTGAAATTTAGCTGTTAAGGGCTAGATTTGTTTGTGAATTGATGTTGGTTCATGAAAAACAATTTCATTCAGGCATTTAAAAGAGGTTATAGTGATATTGGAGGAAGGACAAAATGGTTACTTTTATGTCAATAGTGCCATAGTGGTCATGCCATTCATTTGTCTGGAGCCAATATGTCCTGAGTCAATTTGTCGGAAGCCAATATGTCGCGTGCCCAATTGTCGGGATCCCATTTGTCGGGAGCCAATATGTCCTGAGCCTATTTGTCGGGAGCCAATATATCGGGAGTCCATTTATCGGGAGCCTAAATATCGGGAGCCCATTTGACGGGAGCCTATATGTCGCGAGTCAATATGACGGGAGCCCATATGACGGGAGCCAATAAGTCGGGGCCCTTTAAAGGGGCTATTTTGACTGGGTCGCTTCGTCGGGGGTCGATTTGACGGGGTCGTATTAACGGGGCCAATTTGACGGGGCCGATTTGTACTAGACTACCCGTCATCTAGTTAGATAACTGTGGGTTTCGGGGGTCATCCATAAATCACTTGGTCTGACAGCACTTTTGGTCCATGTCGCATTGCATATAGAATGCCATACAAACAATACGTTACTCACAATGAAACCGCACCCAGAATAATGAAAACGCGATTAAAACTTAGCCTGTGCGCACATTGGTCGACCAATGTAGGAAATACGCTGTCAAGTTTATGGTCTTCGGACTTTGGCCAGTACGTCCCGGACAGTGCGCGCATTGGCCCGCCAATGTACAAAATACACGCTTAGTGCTAAGCTCTTCGGGCTTTGGCCAAGAGAGCCGGCCAATGTGCACATTGGCCGCACTTTGGGCTTTGAACGTAACATATACATTTAATTTCACTCATACGATCAATTGTGTATCGTTAGCTGTAGGTCTAGTACCCAGCTGAAAACAAAACTCTTAATACCTAGCATGACGATTTTGTGTATCAAACATTACATAATTATGGCAGGCTATCAAACACGATATAATCGTGGTAGAATAAAAAGGGTTTTATTAACCATTCCATGACACTTTTTGTTGCTTACAAATAAAGCGAATGAGACGGAAGCTTTTCTAACTCAAGCTAACACACACATGATACTCGCTTATGTAAGTGTATATAATTTGCTTGAAATAAATGCTATTGACAGTATAAGTGTGGACGCCAGAAAATCTAACCACGCTAAGGGCTATACACCATGTCCTACATACAGCGTCCTGTACTACAACAGTGTGTCCTGTACTACACACTGTTGTGTCCTGTACTGCACACCGTGTTTCCTGCACTACCAATGAGTCCTGTAGGCCCTAGTAAACACACTGTACTACAAAAACTGGACCTTGTTGTCCACACAGCCGTAATATCTCATCAAATTATGTCTACTTACCTCCCGTTGGGAGTTGTACAAGTCGGGTGTCGAATACAGTAGACCGCTTCTATGAGCAGGAGGCTTGACACATTATAGGACGGTGAGAAGCAACCGTAGCCTGTCCGTAGCCACCCAAAAGTGACTGTTTCTTAACGTCAATATACACGGTGACACAGCATTACTGACATGATCGATATGGCAGTCGATACGCTCTTCAACTCCATTCAAGTCCGATAACTAGACCTACATACAGGCACAAGCATATATATATATATATATATATATATATATATATATATATATATATATATATATATATATACATACTACTTTACTACATTCACTATGTAGGCCTAACCACACCATATGTCTAACTAATAGGGGACTGACTGCAGTGTTTTACGTGACCCTACTCCGTCTTGTAAGCAAAAACAATATAATGGAATCAATGTTTTGTGTGGATAGAGCAAATACAAGCTTTACATAATTAATAAACCGGGAGTGATCTCCCCTAAACTTTCTCGAATATTCTAATATAACACTACGGGGGATGGCAACTCGGGATATAGACTTCTAGACATGATTTTTAATCCATTTCAAATACTCAAATTTTTTAACATAGAATATAATCTCGTAGAAAAAAGAAATGCACACCAAGTGAACGCTAAATAAAGATGTGCATAATAGTGCGAAATATTATTAGTACTTTATAAATTTACATGCTTTTTTTTTTTAAGAAATCGGAAATAGCGTAAATAAGTACTTCCGGTCAACGGAAATTACTCAAAATTTGACAGAAGGTAGATAATTAGATCTTTTACTTACATATCAAATTTCATTTATCTATATGAAATAGTACTTAAGTTATAGGCTTTTGAAAAATTCAAAGTAGAAAAAGTACCACTTCCGGTTATCGGAAATCGCTCAAAAGTTGATACGGATCTACGATTTTGATAAAATACTTATATATGAAATTTCATCAACCTAGCTGTAACGGTACTCAAGTTATCGTGTTTACACACGGACACACACACAGACAAGATTGCAAAATTATGTTTTTCCGTATCAGTGAGATGTAAAACGTCGAGATTTGCAAAAATCTCGATTTTTTTTGCACGATTACAAGACTTTCTCTATATTTCGTATATACGAGAAAGTAAAAAGCATGAATAATAAATATTGTTGGAAATAGGGAGAGGGTAGACCAGCAAAACTAAGTCCAGCCTAGCATAAACTGTAACAGACAAAGCACAATTACAACTATTGATAATATACTTAATTAAGCCCAGGTCGTGTAATCATTAAGCCTAACACTGGCAGCTTTTATCCGCTTTAATCGACTTAGACAACACATATATTCCTACTTCACATTTTTATTCCGCAATGTTTATTTAAATAAAAAGTGTTTATTAATGAAAGGTCGGATCAACATCATAAAATGTAACTAGTCTATAGGCCTATATATATAAATGAAATTATATTTTTTGGTCCTTTATGCATTACTATGGCGCTTACATTCTTATTTAAGGGCACTTTGCAATAGGGAAACTAATCACACGGCATTAGACGATTAAGGGGTCATCCATAATAACTGATATACGGCTTTAGTATTTTCTATGTTTATTATTAGGCCTAAATATCAAAAGTAGAATCTGGAGGTGTCTTTATTTAACACGAGCAATGTCCAGTGTTTCACAGGCATCTCTCTGGCAGAGCCCCCCAGAAGAAAGTCTACCCCCCCCCCCCCCCCAATGTTATTGTTTGCAGACTGTGACCAAAGGATCTATATTGTATTTGAGGTATGATGTAAGGAGCATAAAGTACAAAGAAACATACAAAATAAAGGGAACATAATAAAACATCTACCAACTCATTAAAGCATAAAGTAAACAAAAAAAAAAGTAAAACACTAGCAAGTACAAGTAGAAGAAAAATCCATATAATAATTTTTAATAGTTTTAAAATTGATATCAACATTGTTTTATTAAAACCAAAAATAATTGTATGTGTACAAAACTGATCAACATATGGCACATCACATTACACATACAACTTTGCTTATATGACACATACCCTATGGGTTCAGGGGTCATCCATACATTACATCACATACCTAGAGGAGAGGGTTGTGGTATAAGTATGGAACCAAGAAATGAGACAAAAACATTTTGTAACAAATAAGAATGGTGAAATCATGCTAATTTCACGAGAATACATGTATTTTAATGTTGTAACATAATTCTGGCGTTTTTGTTATGTGATGATGTGGGTGAGGGTAAATATTGGCTGACATACCATTTACGGACAACCATCCGGACAAATTTTTAAACTATGGAACAGATGTAATGAGGTTAGCACCTTCGAAAGTCATGCCTTAATGATTGCACTTTTACTTCAATAAAATAACATTGAAATTACAGGCTGTTTTATCTTTGGAAGTTTACTATGTCAAACCATATTTAAAAAAATAAAATTAGTCTAGTTTTGATAATTTACAAATTAATAAATTTTTTAAAAATATACAGACGTTGTAACTGTAAAACTATGAACAACCCCTCCCCCCCACCCCAGTTGTATCATCACCTCAACAGAAATCTAATAAGCTGTACCTACAGTAAAGTTAAAGTGCTCTATGCAGATAATAGCTTACTAGTCTAATCTATTATTTTATTAAATGGTAAATCACATGACTAGAAATAATATCAAACCAGAATACGCTGTATACATACAACATCATAGTTATATACACATTTATATTATTTAACAAGGAGCCCTATTCTTACAATAGTTATATATACAGTTAAAGGTAAAAATTTATTTTAAAAAATAGATTTATTAAGACTAAAAAAAAAAGCAATAGAGAATGTTTTATGTTAACTGTGCGAATATTCGTGATACAACAGTAGAAATGTCCTGAATGATTTGATTTCGTTTGTTTTTTTGTTTTAAGAATAGAAACAACAATGTTGTGAGAGGGTTAACTTAGGATTTGGACTATAAACAAATCTTAACTACTGTACAGTGTACTAAACTGGGACACTTCACTCATTAATTTAAATATAATTAATTAAAAGTAAACATTTTAAAGGTGAGATAATGAAACACTGCAGAAACGTTCTTTAACAGTTTAAGTAAATTTTGTGCATTAAAGAGAAACATGTAAAAAGAGGTAAGTAGTTAAAGCTGAAAGAACAAGCATAATACTATGTGGCTAAAAAAATCCAAGCTTACACTCATCACATCCTATACAAGATAGTAACAATATTTAATACAGGAGGGTGGCAACACAAAGTATCAATCAAGCTTATTCTCATCACATCCTACAAGAGAGGAACAATATTTAATACAGGAGGGTGGCAACACAAAGTACCAATCAAGCTTATTCTCATCACATCCTACAAGAGAGTAACAATATTTAATACAGGAGGGTGGCAACACAAAGTACCAATCAAGCTTATTCTCATCACATCCTACAAGAGAGGAACAATATTTAATACAGGAGGGTGGCAACACAAAGTACCAATCAAGCTTATTCTCATCACATCCTACAAGAGAGGAACAATATTCTATAAAGGCGGGTGGCAACACAAGATAATATACATAGTGACAGTTCTCAGCCAAAGGGAATTAGACAACAGACAAGTTCATTCAGATCTCTTTCATGATATGTTATGGAAAGGAATGATTTTTTTGCTTAGACTTACATGATTAGAGTATTAACTGTTTTTCCATTACCTCAAGATAACAGCTAATATAATATAAAAAAACAACCTCTGTTCCATCCAAAATTAATAACAACAAGATAATAACAAGCACTTGAAAAAAAATATTTTTATGGGACATTCACGTTAGTATCATCTTTATTCCCCTTAGACTAAGTCATGTTCTGTTAACTTAGATTACATCCAGCGCTTTTTCCCTAACAGAATTATATATTTTTAACTAATGGTTTGAACTGAGGTAGCCTGCTAAGCCTGAGTATGAACCTAGGTAGCATGTTGAGACAGCATTTCAACCTTGGTAGCATGTTGAGACAGCATTTCAACCTTGGTAGCATGTTGAGACAGCATTTCAACCTAGGTAGCATGTTGAGACAGCATTTCAACCTAGGTAGCATGTTGAGACAGCATTTCAACCTAGGTAGCATGCTGAAGATTTATTCTACAAATGCATAATCAAATGAGCAACAGAACAAAACTACATTTCCATAGGTGGCAAAGGTATTGTTTACGTGATACAGTACAAGGATAAAACTAAACTAGACTACAAAACAAAATATGTCATATTTTTCTTCTAAATTTTAATTACTTAAGCACTAAAACGGACCTGAGGGGAAGACCTTTGGTTACACTAATTAACTACAAGAAAGTAACACATGAATTTGTAGTATGGTGTCAAAAATATTTGAAGCATTAACTATACAAGAGACTAAATGTAAGTTTATAGGCAGATGACTCTATGTGTATGACTGGTCTTCCTTAATTATCAAAGTGAGTGCAATGACAGCTGCAATGAACTATGCCATTTAGTTTGTGAGCTGCACTGTAAGGTTTCTGTTTACTTACTGTAATTTACAATTTAAAACATAAAAACATCATTGTATAAATTCATTTTACAAATGACTGGCAATTAAAAACAAAATATATACATTGTCACAACATCACTAATGTGGGAGCAGGACATTACCAACTGTTCATTTAAAAATCCAGTAGGACATTACCTCACTGTTAATTACAAGTTGACACCAAACCTTATATTTAACATATCTCTAATCAAAAGGTAATGTTAGGGTTAGGAAATGTTTTGAGGGAATAAGATTACTCCACGTTACAAATTACCCTGTTTTGTGTTCTATAGAATTCTTGTGAAAGCACTTAATATAATTTATTTCAGGCAATTTATAGAATGTTGAGTTAACCTATAATGTGTGTAGTATAATATGTATTGTCAAGCTGTAGAATGTTGAGTTTCTCACTTAATCTATAAGTATTGTCAAGCTGTAGAGAAAAGTAGACAGGGAGGTAATGATCTGGCGGGGTGGGGTATGTGTCCCATACTCTACTTATGTACATATTAATGTTCTTTGTGGAAACACATTATTGACTTTGGTAAGTAAAACACTGAATCATCACCAGAAAATGAAATCATTTGAAGGAATAATAATAATGATTTTCACTGTATAGAAGTTCCACATTACTTTGTCTATAAATCCTTAGTTTATGAATGGACAGCTTTTATTTCACATGTGGCAAGAGCCTCAAATACCAGAAGCACCATTCCCAATACTGCAACACATCTCTTCAAACAAGACCTCCTTCCTATACGAAAGAAACATCCCTGAGTGCAGAAAGTGAGAGAACTGCTATGTTTTGATAACACTCTGCAAGTCATCAGGGAGAGTGGAGACAATATCCTCCAACTGTTTTTGTAGGCGAGACACACTCTCCTTGCCAACTATGCCATGGTTACGGTGGGCAAAAGTCTGAAACAAAATCAAAACAAAATTGTTAGGTTTGTTGTAAAGTTATAAATGTGCAACTCACATCAGTTTAAAAAGAAAAAAACTTGTGTTTGTAGTACCAGCTTTTCTTTAATCTTGAGGATCAAATCAACAATTTCTACTTCTTCTTTGTCCACAATCCACTCAGACAGGTTCTGAAAGTATTTGTAAACATTTTTTCTGTTTGACAACACTAAAGTATGTTTGAAGGTTTCCTATGTTGGTTTAATCATTGTTTAAAATTAGTGTCACATATCCATTTTTAAGAGTTTAGTCAATAAAAGAAAAAATGTAAGCCTTCCTTTTTAAAAGAAATATTTTAAATTTGCTTTGCTACAAAACTTACAGCATTACTTAAGGCTTCAAGATGTAGCAACTGCAACTTCTGGTTCATTTCTTTCTGTCTTTGATAATACCATCCTTCAAAGTTTGGTGATCGAAAGAAACGTCTGTAAAAAAAAAAGATTAGTAAAAAGATTTTGTTTTACTCCTGAAATAAAATTTGGCCAACCAAAGTTGGTTACTGTTAAGATTACATATTAAAAAAGAAACAATCTAACCTGTATAATGACTCCCAATCTCCTTTGATACCAGATGTCAACTGAGGTCCTGAATGTTCAACTGTTTCTAAAAACTTATCTGAGTCAAAAGGTCCTAGTCTAGGAGAGCCCTGATTACAAAGAATAGCCAAAATGAAGCGTTTTAAATCTTTTAATTAAGGATGGGTGCAGCACCAAGAGACTTTTTCCTTCCTAGTCAATCAAATATATTGAAACTTTACCCAACTTATAGGTCAAAGACATTTGTAAAAAAGGTAAAAAAACAAACTATACTTATTTGTGGTTGCCATGGATTTTTTTTTATCATTTTCAAAATGTTAAGGCTATATAGCCCCAAGTGCTCAATACACAGAAATGCAAGCTTTAAATGTAGGTCAAAAATAGTAAAATAGTAGCCTAAAACTTTCTAAATTGCATATTTTAGGAAAGCAATGCAAACAACTTTCAAAAAATTTTCACTCGGCTAAAATTTGCTCAAAGTTAGCATATTTTAGGCTACAAAATAAAAATTACAAAAGGTTTCATAAGAAATAAACATAGAAGTTAAGTGTAAAATTTTTATCTGAAGAATAATCAGGTAAAGTTTCATCAAGATTCAAACTAACTGAGGAGTAGCAATTTGAAGAGCAAAATTTATCTTTTTCAGAAAAAAAGGCAAACAAGATACAAAATAATCAAAACATTCATAATAACAGACATCACAATAAAATTATTTTAAAATAGAAAAAAAAAACATTTCTAGCAATAAATAATGTAATTTTATTTCCAGAAATGAGTATATTTTAAAAATTAGGTCAAAACTGAAATTCAACATAGGTCAACCGCAACAACTAAATCCGGTGCTGCACCCAGACTTAAGAGAAATTGTCTTGGAATATGATATGTCCCTTCTGAAAATCTAGCTAAGATTTTTAATTACGCTTTAAAATCTGTATAGGCCTACTTTCCTCTAAAGCCCAAAGCTAACAAAAATGATATTGTTTTCTTTCAAAGTTATTACTGATTTAATTTGCATCTCATAGAAACATGGAAGTATCTTTTATTTTCAACTTTTATATACAATTTTTTAGTATCTGGAATCATCAGAATTAAATAGCCATGTTATTTACAATGCGTAGAAACCACTTTGTCTCTTAGCATTTTTTTAAAAAACAACAAGTGTTTTCATTTTACCATAAAAAAATAATTTAAAGGTTTAAATACTAAATAAAAAGTCATGCCAATTAAACTTTCTTAGTTTAAATTAGTCATAAACCAAAACATGCTAGACAAGAATTAGTTTTACCAAACCTTGTGAGGTGAAATATTTCTTTGCAAAGGCATCAAACTTGCCATGTATCTCTCCTGTGAACATAAAGACAAAAGGTTTCAAAATATGTAGGGTGTGCTTGTGGAAACTGAACTATAAAAAAAAAAATACTAGCTTTAAAGTGGTCATATTTATGTACAATAAACTATTTTCATCACTTGAGTAAATCAGTACTTACCAGAGGAATCATAAAGCTTTGAGTAAGTTCGAGTAAGTGCCTCCTTAATATTGCATTCTGTGCTTCAACTGGTCGTTTTAGTTGAGCTCCCTGTAAAAAAGATTGAAGCTATCAATATATATTAAGCTGCCATCTTTTAACTATGGTTACTAGTAGTACTCACTCTCTGATGTCCAACATACTTAATTTTAAAAATTTACCTTCATCAACCTTTTTAGAATCATTTTGTCTTTGGTAAGAAATGCCTTGAATCGAGTATACACACCTGTGGAGGAACATAGTGTTGGGGTGAACACAAACACCAAATTATGGTCAAACAATTTTTCAAAGTCATATGAAATTCATTTAGGAATATTAAGATAACATTAAATAACTTTAACATTAAGTACTGTTATAAAAATTTGTTCTGAATTTAAAAAAATAAATTACAGATATTATATGGCAAAAAGTAAATATTAGAGCTGTTTATGTAAAGTTATTCTTATTAATATTTTTTCCAATCACTAGTTTGTGACAAGAATGCACTAAAGAAACCAAAATGTTTAAAAAACACAAAATTTAGTAATAATGCAAGACAAACTGCTGGGAAAAACATTAAAATTATCAAGAGGTAACATGATTTTTGGATCACCAAAAGTAAAATAAGAAAATCTAAATTTGAAATTAACAAAACAATGCAAACATTAAACAGTTAGTAACCATTGTAGTGAGAAATATAATAAGCTTGAAGTAATTAAACACTACAACCAAAGGAAATGTTATCATAACATGCAATTAGTTACATGAAAATAATGGTAGAGATAAAAAAAATAGTTAATTACAATTTTAAATTGTAGGTACAATAATTAATTTAATCCTAATTCAAAATTAAATAATGTTTAAAAGAGCGGACTATTAAGAATTTAACTTTAAAATCATTTGAGGTTTATGTAGTTAAAATGTAGTAACATGTTTTTATTGAACAGGTGAAAATTCTGTAACTTTAAAGTCAAGGTTATTGAAAGCATGGGAGATAAGCATGTTTCCCTCTTGTCATTGCCACTTGATATTTTCTCACTTATCTCCAATGCTTTGGGTTGGGTGACACACTATGTATTCTAATGATACTCAAGTAGGTAATACAGTGGTGGAAGGTACAACAGAGAATAACAGTTTGTAAAGGTATTATTACACATCCATTAGTAAACAGTCAAACTATCACAATCTACGGTCTGTAAAAAAATAACCACTGTGCTAGGATTAGCAAAACAGAAATGTGCAATGTCATATCTATTGCTTCAACAACAGCAGACTTGAGTGAGCAATGGTGACAGCACATGCACCATGGAGAGAAAGGGACAAACCTGGGTTTGAATCCAATGTCTTTAGTGCTGTTGCTTTCTTTACTTTGTTGGCAAGCTTAGGTGAGCTTCCTTTAAAATATTTCAATATCAAAACAAACTCTAGTGCAAGTGTGTAGGAAATTCTTACTTAAAAAGCTGGTTTCATTAGCACAGCTACAGCCATTAGATTTAGAAGAAAAGTACAAAAACATTGCAAATAAAAAAGGGCTAAAAATACTAAATGAAAAACAATTTTTATCATTTGCAAATTGGAGAAAAATAAGTGTCAGCAGTCCAATCAGAACATTTTTTAAAAATATTATATTCAAATAAAAGTGAATGAAACAATAGATTGCTGGTAGGAAAAATTTAAGAAGTATGTTTCATAAAAACAAACAAATATGACTACATTAAAGAATAATTTTTGTCAGCGATTATGTAAATTTATTACATTATCTTCTTGATGCATCTGAAACAGCTTTCCCTTTCATTTTTTAAATAAAACTTGGTGTAAAACCAAAGAGGAGTAACCCTAAACCACACCCAAGTTTTTAAAATACAATGGAAAGTTGCAATTTTCTGATGAAAATAAAATAAAACTGTATGGGTTACAATATCACCAAAAACAATGTAACAAAAGTTGTTCTTTGCCTACCTGCAGACCCCATTTCACCAATTCGAATAATGTGTGGCCAGTGTTGCAATGTTTTGGCAAAAAATGGATTGGTCACACCAAGGATGACAGGAGGCCTAAAGGAATATATAGTTTTTTTTTTTATATTTTTATCAAGAGGAGTTTTTACACCTTAAGTTATAAAGACTGTCTTTTAAGTGTACTTACGGTGCTTGAGTTCTTGTGGTATATTCTTTAAATTCACTGTCATGAATTGTAAAATAAGGCCTAAAGTCGCTGCAAAACTTGAGTGGTGCTATCATGCTAAAAAAAAAATTAAAATATTAAGAAGATTATTATTTGTAATTGTCCACATTATGTTATTTATTTTTTAAATTTAATTATTTAATTATAAGTAGCTAAATTAATACTAAAATTTTAAAAAATTCAAGTTGATCCAACAGCAAAACAAAAAATGTGGAAAGTAGAATAGGGAGTGGGCTCTTCTGTTAACTTGAAATGTTTTAGAATATCCTTTTCCTTATAAAAGTATACAAAGAAATTAAATATCACTTGTATAGGTAACTAAATAGTTTAGTTACAGTTTAACTGTTTAGTTATCTGTTTCTTTTATTAAGACTAACCCAAAAATTTACTATTAATTGTAAACCTCTAGACATGAAAATTTACATTAAAAAATTCCCAACAATTGCTATGAAAAATAAAAATCCTTACTTGACTAGAGCTTGGACTGTATTACAAGTAATAGTGGGCGAGGATGCCATGACAACAATTGGCTGTTTGATAAATAATTAGTTTTTTAGCTTGTCATATATTAATATTTAAATAAGTAATGCTATCAACTTCTGCTTTATCTGTTTCTGCAGCCACAACTCAAGACCCATACATCTTTACATTCCTCGACAATCTAAACTACCCATGACCTCACACAGCTCTCTATCATAAATGGGTTAGGTTACCAGTCAGAGATTTAACTGTAACAATCTTAAAAAAACAAATCTAAGACATGATGAGAAAAAAAATACACACCTCTCCTATCAATACAAGTTCCCAGAGAAGCTGCACATGTGGTAAAATACTAAGTACTGAGCTGCAGACAAAACAATTTCTGTACTTAGGAAATAAGTGCAAGTATCTACATGTAATGATGGAACAATGTTAAAATTATGTAGCTGTTTATTGAATGTTCCTTTATTTTTCTAAGCAATGTTTTATGCCTTAATATTTACCTGTATATATCAACTTCATGAAGTGAGGGTAAGATGGTGTGGGCTGGAATGGTATGCTGAGAAGGTTTTGAAATAGAAACTATAGAAAATTGGGCATTGCAAATACAATGATTAAAATGAGCACATTTTACAATAATTACAATATGGCTCTCAATATATTGCATAATTTCTACCAGTTTTTAAAAAACAATATGCTCCCAATCATTTTCTCTTTTATTTAGTAACAAATGCAGATAGCAACTACAGTATCTAAATAACCACAGTTTACAACAGATTGTAGTTTACACACAGGATTTAATTAGCTATAAGACTAAGCTAAAGTGAACCAAAACAATTATCAATTTTATTTGTTAAGTAATTTTAATATCAGAGGCTTTAAAACTAAAATTAAATGTGTGTTACTTTGAATCTCTGTTTAAATTTATTTATGAACTTGAAGATGCACATATAAAGTGCTCATTAAGTAAAATATGTTCCATTAAAAATTCTAAAAACTGACTCTGATGTTTCAATGAAAAGTTAGAAAGCAAAGAGCAATAGTTATTACATAGTGCCTTTTTAAAAAACTAAAGAATTTGATATTTAACTAAATAAAAACAAAGTCTTGCAGTCATGCTTTAAAATACATACAAAATAAACCAATACCCAATATAAAACATAATGACCAAAAGAAAACATAAGAGCTGCACCTTTTGTCTGCATTTATTTCCTTATATTGCTCAGTAATAGACTACACTATTTGCCCTTTTATCAACTACACCTAGGAAATTATCTAGCCTACAGCATATTACCATTTGCCTGTTCTTGATAAAAAGATATTTTGTCTAGCCTACACTATATTACTACTTGCGCTGTTATAGACTAAACTTAGTAAATCTGTCTAGCCTCAAGTATTACTACTTGCATTTTAAACAACTACACCTAGGAAATATATAGCCTACAGCATATTACCATTTGACCTGTTCTCAATAAAACATATTAAATTTGCCTAGCCAATATTTTCTTCCAAATGCCCTCTTCTAGATAATATTTTGTAAACTGTGTAGCTGATATTTCCCTAAAGATTATACCAAGCATATTGTCTAGTCTTTATTTCCTTACCATTTGCCCTGTTCTAGGCTGAGTTACACCTATTAACTTGTCCAACCTACATGGAACACGAACCTGATTCGCCAAAATAAATATGCAAACAAAACAATAATGATAAAAATAATAAACGTCAAGCCCAGTGATGATCATATAAATAAACATGATAGTGATTGTTACTTGTCAGCTTTAGGGTAAATTTGTATATAAAGCGTCAATAGTTTAAGCAGATCACTACATTTAAATTAAAAATGGGGATCACATGTCTTTGATAACTTCTAAATGACAATATTTTCAATGCAGTAACAATCACTAAGAAATGCTAAAACTGCCTTTTCAAAGGGTAAAAAAAAAACTTTGAAAAAAAAAAAAACCAAAAGTAAAAAGACACAAGCTCAAAACAAAGTAAGTCTCCAGCGGCTACTCACTTTAAAAAATGTTTACAATCTGATTGAGAAATAGTCAGACATAATGTTACAACCTTAGATTTTAAGATTACAGAGTGTTGTTTTTTTAAATACTCATGAAAACTGAACATTGGTGTTTAAAAACATCAGTGACATTTTAATTTACATTAATACTAGCACATTGTTTGGAAAAATTGTCTCATATATTTGCTTGAAGAGTAAAAATTAAAAGTTTTAAATTATAACCAAGCACTTTTGAAACTGCTAATATAAATGTTCAAATGAAAGACTGAAGCAGAGAAACCAGAAGAAAAGATGTTTACACCCTGGGTAAGGATGGGGTACTTCAAAAACCAAAATCAAAACATTGTAACGCCATGTAAAGAAACAAATAAGGAAGCATGTGGCAATTCAGCATACCTGCAATACAGTACCCATAATTGGCAGATTTAGAGTGTCTCCTGGTACAGGCATTGGCCATTGATCAATATCATGACAAGCTAAAAAAAAGATTGATCTGGTTATAAGAATATATAACTTTAGTTCTGTAGGGTAAAAGTTAACATTTTGTATGGAAATAACTTGCCTGCTTCAAGACTAGGTTCACCATTATCAAAGTATTCAGGGGCAACAATACTGATGACTTGGTTAAATAAGGCAACAAAAGGTAGCTTAGTGACAAGTACTACAGACTGTGGATGTAGAGAAAAAACATTCAACTCTATACAATGTCTTTTGAACTGGAAAAATAAATACATAACATGTTATTACATAACAACATATTTTAAAAAATACAATAGTATAAAAATTGCATATAATCAAAACACATCTCTTAGAAAAATGTATATAATTTTAAAAAAAAGATAACTGTTTACCTTTTGAAAGTAGCCTCTTCGTATAGACCTGTCTTTTGTCTGTCTAAAATATACAAAACCATAATAGTGTGCATCATCTAGCTGTGAAAAAAAATCTCCATTAAATTACTGTATAACAGTAAGATTTTTTTTTTAAAAAGGTCTAGTACTTAATAAGCAGATTGGAAACAATGAGCATGGGAAAACTAAAAGTGGTACAAAACTACAACTATATAATCGTTAGCTCTTTATTGTATCTATTTTAATATTTTTTAATGTCCAGCCAATGGTAGAGTAAGAAAAAACCTGCCTGCAGAGCAACAGGACAATCTCTGTTGTATTGACTGTGGGCACGGACTAGAGGTTTTCTACCAGGGCATTGACGAATGCGAAAGTGGAACTGAGTGTCACCCATACAGCCTGATTTTTAACAAAAGAAAAATGTCAGGGGTTTTCTCTATGTTGGCATTGCTTATATTTTTTTCAGGTCACCTTATGTTCAATCAGCGAAATAGGCATCTGTTAATGGAAGTCTGTAGTTTGTTATTAGCACAACTGATAAAACAGATTAAATTGTGAATATCAATGACAGAAATGCATATCTATGACAGAACTTTATGGACTTTCTAGTACCAATTATCTGAATCACTAAGACATACCAATTTGCACAGCAAAAACAAGAATAATTAGTAATTATCCAAACTGTTGGTTCACAACGCCTATAACATTGACAGATAAATCTTCAGTATAGGCATAATTTTTTTTAAATTATTTAGTTATATAAAATTGAAGAGAGAACATTACAAATAAAAAGACAAAATACTAATGAGTAAATTATCATTACCTGAATTAGAGTCTGGAAATGAAAGATAGCAGATATTCATTTTCTGATGATTAAAAAATGGTGTTTTTAGTTAAAATATATAGGCATGATTATTTTTAAGAAAATCAACTTCAGATAATTATTCTTATAGTTTCAGCAATTTTAAACTACAAAAATTTACAGATAAATTTGATAGCCTAAATAAATAAATGTATGTTCCAAATAAATAGCATAGATCCTGGATACAAAGAAAGACTTGTCAAAATTCGATCAACAAGTTTTTACCTCTTTATCCGTTAATTTAACATGGCCTGGATAGATAAGCTGCAAAAAATAAAAATAAATAAATTTGTTACTTGGGACTACAGAAGTAAAAAAAAAAAGTTTCCAATCAAACTTAGATCTACCTGATTTAGTTATTATTCTTCAATAAGTGTTGTGAGTAGTCTTAGCTAAGCTAATGCCACTGACGACAAAATCAGACAAATTGCCTTTTCCCTCTACCCCTTGCATGTTCAATACTATTTTTTTTCATGCTTTCATTGTGTTTGTTTATATTTACATGTTATACATCATTTATTCTTAATTGAATATCCTTTTAAACAGTATAGGCCTAAGTTTGACTTCTGTATTATTTCAGACGTTGAAGAAATGTCTGATTGAATCACATAGTATACATTCCACAAAAATGTGCCGATTAGGGGGAGGCTTTTCACATTTTTAAAAGGGGGGTTGTTACTGTTACACTGAGTCTATAGACTCTTCAAGTTTTCATACTAGAATGGTGAAACTTGGTAGAAGAATAGATTAAACGAGCCGACCCGCGGCATATCAAACAACGCTATTTAGTTGTTTTATTTTCTACTTTTTAGTGATTCATAATTTGTGAATTCGACAGTACCACTGCTGTCACTGAAAATATTTGCTTTAAAACACTAGTATAACTAGTAGATCTCTAGACATATGTCGTTACCTAACGGTTAAGGACCATAGTATTTGTAACTGTCTTTAAATGTGAGGTAACGAACACTACTGTATCTGTTTTATTACAGAGTGTACTGTAGAGTGTAGTGAGTGAAAGTGTGTACTAGATCTAGATTTTAGATTCTACTTCTTAAAGTTAAGTTCTTAGGTTAGGGCTTTTGCCAGGCTATGAATTTATGAAATTATGATGTGAATGGTGAATGTCAATGTGATTTGTGACACTAGAAATTTTTTTTTATAATAAAACCTCCATAGCTTGACCAAGTTCCAAATCAAATGTAACAACACATGCACAATGAATCCAGTTGTAAAATCTGTCCCATGGGAGAATTGCAATAGTTTTGCCCATAAGATCATCTTCATTCAGTTGAGGGCTTTCAACAGATTCTGAATGTTTGGTATCCATATTTCTTCGCACTAAAAATAGAATAAGGTTACTCTCTACTCTTCTCTCTGATTTTACATTTTGCTTTATGTGAAGTTAGATCGAAGATACAATAAGTTTTTTTTTAATGGAAAAAACATGGTCTAAATTTATTGTGCTCCTTCATAGATATTATGAAAATAAAATACGAATTGTGAAATCACAAGAATAATATTTTATTAAAGGCTATACGATATTCAACAAGATGGCCGTCTCGTAGAGGAAGAAAATAATGTAGGGCAACATAAAATGGTAAGTTACCACTTGGGCTACTGAATTTCAGCATTATTCAAATAGATTGTGCCATAGATGTACGTTGTATTTAGAATCTAGATCTATTACATTTTAAGAGCTTGTACATACAAGTAGACTTTAATAACCATGACATAGACTCTAGATTCTAGATCTAGATCCAAAATAAAAATATTCAGGGTATTTTTCTAATAATTTTATAACTTCCACTGTTTTTGACTGTTTAGTTTAGTTATTTAGATTCTAGATCTAGATCTAGATCTAGAATCTAGATTCTAGTACAGTAGTTTTAACTTTACAAATGTCAAATTCAAATAGTCAAATACTAGATCTAGTAAAAAATAGGCTAAAATAAATATGAAATAGATCTTTGTCTATGACTGCTTTTTCTTTCTTACTTGACAGTTTTTACTTCATTTTTAAGTTCATTTGACTCAAATTTACACTGATAGAGTATAGAGCTAGACCTAGATCTAGATCTAGATCTATTTGTTGAGTATTATTCCTAATACTGTTGTCAGTTACAGTACTCAATTACTATTTTTTAAATTTGTTTTGAGAACTTAAGCCTACTGGTGCACTTAGAATGTTCAAAGCGTAATTTTATTATAGGGCCTATAGTCCTATAGCCAAGGCGTCTTGCCACCCCTTATCATTTCCCCAGAGTCATAGGAGTCATACCATCACTTGGCATTCAAAATAACACTGGTCACTATGCACTCACGTGTTTCACACCCAATAATTGACCGCTATAGATCTTCTCATTGTCTCTAGTATAACAATCGTGTTATGCGCAGCTCGAGCTTATATATAGCGACTTCAAAATATCACTGGTGACTATGCACTCACGTGTTTCACACCCTTCTTTCTTCTTTTTTCTTCTTCGTTCTTAATTTTTAGTGTTGGGAGGGATCGAGCCTTATCTGCCAGAGGGTTTGAACTCGAGACTTTTTTTTCGAATTTATCAACCATGAGCTTTGCTGACTCGACCATGCTTCCATCACAATTAAGGATTACATGTCAACTGGTTATGCGCCATTGAGGCCATTCACTCCGATTTCAGCCTGCTTTTCTTTTTGGATTTGCTTCCATAGCCTTTGTCCAACCAAGAACAAACTACAAGGCAGCAGTTGTTTCACACCTAATAATTGACCGCTATAGATCTTCTCATTGTCTCTAGTATAACAATCGTGTTATGCGCAGCTCGAGCTTATATATGGCGACTTCAAAATATCACTGGTCACTATGGACTCACGTGTTTCACACCCAATAATTGACCGCTATAGATCTTCTCATTGTCTCTAGTATAACAATCGTGTTATGCGCAGCTCGAGCTTATGTATGGCTACTTGGTACTCCTGACACATATCACACCTGACAACTGACCACTTCTGAAGAGATGTAAAACTAAATACTCTCACTTGAAATCTAGATCTAGACTACACTAGAATAGTAGTATAATAGTAAAATTATACTTTAGTTTATTATTAGATTTAGACTTATAAGAATCTAGGGCTATGGCCAATAATATTCAGGTGAAGTAATTTCATAGGGACATTGACTGATATGAACACTATGAAAATACAAAAGAACCAATCAGATTCTGTCAGGAAAACTGTAACTTAAAATTACTGAATTTTGGCTACTTGATTTGATTGTAAATTTATAATTTAGATTTAAGAATGTAAGAACAATAAATGAGAATTTTTAAAAACTGATCAGTTTAAATGCTTAGGCTTAGATTTTATTGTTTTATAGTTGTGATTATCATGCCTAGTGCAAAATTTGTTTTATCAATTAATATTTGCCAGTAGACAGGAGAAAGACCTCTTATTTCTACCCCCTTCCATTGTCAAAAATAGTCAGACATTCCAACCTAAAATGATGTGAAACCTTGGCCTAGCACTTCTCAACACCCCCCCCCCCCTCTAGGATAGTGATGTTGCTTATGGGTGATTCATAAACTTGATTCACTTTTGCACCATATAATTTTAGATAACTATTGGTGTAGTAATTAATTTGACCTGATTTCTTTGATCAGTACCTACAATTTAATCTGACCTAGCTGACAGCTGACTATGTGTTTGATAATTTAGCTACAATTTATAACATTAATTCAAAATTTTCATTGTAATACATTAGTAGTTCATTTCTTGCTAAAACTGCATATACTTATAGTTATAGACTGAATGTAAGCTCTTGCTTGAATCTCTGTGATAAGGAGGGGAATAGCATTATATTATTTAAAATAAGTAACATCTAATGATGAAATAAGTTAGTAACCGCATTGAAATTGTATCTATATTTTTATTTTATAGTGCTACAACACACTCAGGGGCTAAGGTGCTCTTCTATGATTTTTCTCACAATTTTAAAATTGTTTTCATAATCTAGAGCAGTGGTTTCTTCTCAAACTTTGCGCCCCCCCCCCCCACCCCCCTAATTTATCTGCTTTGTTTTCTACTCCTACAAATTATGAAGTAAAAAATTACAAATAATTTAATGTTAATATTTGTCTGACTAGAAATCTCAACTGACATGTTTATTTTAAACTGAGTTTTTATTGAGATTAAAATCTCAATGTTGGTGCGTTGTTGCATTCAACTGAACAAACTTCATATTCATTGAAACTTTTTTTACAGCTGAACACAAAGCTGAAAACCACTGATCTAGACACATACATGTTCATTTTAAGTAAAGATAGAGACACTGATGAAAGAATATTTTCCCCTAATTTTTAAGAGCAGGTTAGGATCAACCTTGACTAATTAGAATCTGGGTGTTATGTTATGCTAATGATTGAAACAGAATGAATGAACACCAATGAGCTGAAATTGTGCAGTTGTTTGTTAAACAGTTTGATGTGAGGTACGCCACATTCTTTACTTGTGCATTTCATTGTCTGAGTGTTCTTGATTTTCAGTAAATATTCCAGCATGAAAAAGGGCAATACTAATTACCTAAACTTTCTGCAGGTGGAAGGGGAGGAAAAAATTCGTCCAACTATGTCGGCACTGGCAATTTTGTCATGTCGTCCAAACTCACATCCATTCCAAGAGAGGCAGATCTCTCTGCATGAGGCAGTTAAAATTGGTCGTTCTGTAGCAAGGGCTCGGCCATCTGCCAATAATGGAATCTTTGACTGCAAGGTTCTGTCACGGCATCATGCCATGCTTTGGTATGAGACTGGCAAGGTATGTATGCTCAAACTTGGTGTGAAATTACTTAAATACAATGAAAATACACTGTTTCAATGTTCTGCTGGATGAGACATGTTGCTTGTTCTGCTGGCATTGATTGAGAAAACATAATGATTTCTGCCTAAAATTAGCTTCAAATGAAAAATTAGATTACTACTAAAAAAATTGAGTAAGTTACATCTCTGGTAGCGAATGAAAATAATATGATGGGCTTCAACTAAGGCACCCAAAGCTGTTTAGAATGTGGGAAAGGAATGGGATTGAATACAGAAGATAAAAGCATCTTACCTTTACTCTTGGACTAACCACATACTACAGAAGAGTAGCTTTAGTGCAGTATTATGACAACATGTTGAGATGCTTGTACTGTGAGTGGAGCCTGGAATTACTGAGCTAACAGCTTATAGGCTTGCAGTGAATACCAATAAAGTATGGGTAACAACACACACACACACCCACACCCATCTTCATGCTCTATGAAGGCTGTCAAAAATTCCCAGGAATTTGATAGCTTCAATTATTAATTAAACTTTTAAAAGGTTGGTGCTCTAGTAACATTGTTTTGATCAATTTTTGTATAACATTGGTTTTTAAATTAAATCTGCTCTGTTCTGTAAAACCTGCGTTGTATTTAAGGGAAAAGTAGATTCAAAAAGGTTAAATTAGCACCAGTGCAAAACTTAGTGTCAGGTTATAGTATGGGATAGGTTTGGGCCTACCAACTTTAACAAAAGTATATTTGAAGCTAGGAAGTATGTCTAATGTAGGTGAATATGTGTGCATGCATTCCCTACTATCTAGAGCAGGGGTGTGGTAGCGGATTTTTTGTTGTTTAAAATGATTGTATTAAATACTTCATTTTTTAAAATAAAACTAGAAATCAAGTTTTAAAAATTATAATTTCTGTTTACTAGACCATATCCTCTCCCTGACCTTCATTTGTTACAAAACTACCAAAAAGTCTAAAATATCTTTGTGCTGTACGTGAGTAGGAGGGGGGGGGGTGCAGTTTTAGTGTGCTCTTTTGTGGACATGTGCTGTTCTGCAATGTTTTGTTCTGTTTGGTTGAAAAATAAAAACTAGTCTACATTTCAATTTGTAGACATACTGTTTTGCTCTATCTATCTATATATATAATTCTCTTCTTGGAGCGCTAGAAAACACCAAGCTGTAAGCGCGCTCCCAACCACCCCACCCCTACATGGTCTGGTGAGCTGTGGTTCACGCTAAATGTTTACAATCGTAGAGCCGGGTTTAGTGACGGCTATTACACAGTATTAGGGGCAGATAATTTAGTTTAAAACGATTTTAAACTTATGGGAGGTAACTAAGAGGAGGCTACTTTCACGGAAGGGGCGGGGGGGGGGGGGTGTAGGGTAGTAGGGGTTGGGGGAAAGGAGGGTGGGGGTAGTATAGTCCTTAACAACCTACTGATAGTGTTGTAAAGCAAATATTTTCAGTGGCAGCATTGGTACTGTCGAATTCACAAATTATGAATGACTGAAAAGTAGAAAGTAAAACAACTAAATAGCGGCGTATGATATGCCGCGGGTCGGCTCGTATTTTATAAAATTCATCAAAAGAAAGTGTATTCATCTTGTACAAATTTAAAATTCGGTTATTGCCTGCTTTCTGTTTAATTTCTATAAGAATGTTTGAGAAAAAAAAAACAAGTAAGAAATGTAGCGCTTAAGCTTGAAAGGATGGATCAAGCGATATTGATAGGGTCCGTGTATTAGGGAGGGGACACACTACAAGAGGTCCTTTTGTAGTGAGAGGTACTGACTGTAGGCCATTTCTGCAGGTCCTTCCTTTGTGGTTGTATAATACATACTAATATCTTTCTAGCATTATACATAACTGTTAAGTACAGACGCTTGTATACTAGTCTAAAAATACGTATGGGGCTCAAGCACGTGAAATAAAAGTCCGCCCCAAATGTTGGTTTAAAATGACAACAGTTCGGCCTACTGGATGCTCTCTGCCATCTCTAGCTGTTGACTGCTTGGGTGTCGGAATGTGAAGCTCGTCTCTTACTTAACACGTATTTTAATATCAGCAACAATAGTTTTTGTATTTCTGGAATACAATAGTGTCCTCTTTATTGCTAGGCTAGTCAATTTTTTCCCGTCGGTTTTTTGAGGAGGTGGAATGCACATATACAGCTTAATCCCGCTGATATGCTGGTCTGGTTGTACACTGCCGTGTAGCAAATAGAAGCGTTTGTTTACTACAGGATTCTCCATACACTCGTCGTTTTGCTGTCACCCCAGTAGGACGGCTGGTCACTTCACTCAAATTGTTTCTTGACAGAGCCGATGTGTCTTGTGTTAGATCTAAACACCCGTGTGTCTGGCATCTGTTGCTGACAGAGCCGATGTGTCTTTTGTTAGATCTAAACACCAGTGTGTCTGACATCTGTTGTTGACAGAGCCGATGTGTCTTGTGTTAGATCTAAACACCCGTGTGTCTGTAATGGCATCTGTTGTTGACAGAGCCGATGTGTCTTGTGTTAGATCTAAACACCCGTGTGTCTGTAATGGCATCTGTTGTTGACAGAGCCGATGTGTCTTGTGTTAGATCTAAACACCCGTGTGTCTGACATCTGTTGTTGATAGAGCCGATGTGTCTTGTGTTAGATCTAAACACCCGTGTGTCTGTAATGGCATCTGTTGCTGACAGTGGCGATGTGCCTTGTGTTAGATCTAAACACCCGTGTGTCTGACATCTGTTGTTGACAGAGCCGATGTGCCTTGTGTTAGATCTAAACACCCGTGTGTCTGACATCTGTTGCTGACAGAGCCGATGTGTCTTGTGTTAGATCTAAACACCCGTGTGTCTGACATCTGTTGTTGACAGAGCCGATGTGTCTTGTGTTAGATCTAAACACCCGTGTGTCTGTAATGGCATCTGTTGTTGACAGAGCCGATGTGTCTTGTGTTAGATCTAAACACCCGTGTGTCTGTAATGGCATCTGTTGTTGACAGAGCCGATGTGTCTTGTGTTAGATCTAAACACCCGTGTGTCTGTAATGGCATCTGTTGTTGACAGAGCCGATGTGTCTTGTGTTAGATCTAAACACCCGTGTGTCTGTAATGGCACCTGTTGTTGACAGAGCCGATGTGTCTTGTGTTAGATCTAAACACCCGTGTGTCGATGTGTCTTGTGTTAGATCTAAACACCCGTGTGTCTGTAATGGCATCTGTTGCTGACAGAGCCGATGTGTCTTGTGTTAGGTCTAAACACCCGTGTGTCTGACATCTGTTGCTGACAGAGCCGATGTGTCTTGTGTTAGATCTAAACACCCGTGTGTCTGACATCTGTTGCTGACAGAGGCGATGTGTCTTGTGTTAGATCTAAACACCCGTGTGTCTGTAATGACATCTGTTGCTGACAGAGGCGATGTGTCTTTTGTTAGATCTAAACACCCGTGTGTCTGTAATGGCATCTGTTGTTGACAGAGCCGATGTGTCTTTTGTTAGATCTAAACACCCGTGTGTCGATGTGTCTTTTGTTAGATCTAAACACCCGTGTGTCTGTAATGACATCTGTTGTTGACAGAGCCGATGTGTCTTTTGTTAGATCTAAACACCCGTGTGTCTGTAATGGCATCTGTTGCTGACAGAGCCGATGTGTCTTGTGTTAGATCTAAACACCCGTGTGTCTGTAATGGCATCTGTTGCTGACAGAGCCGATGTGTCTTGTGTTAGATCTAAACACCCGTGTGTCTGTAATGGCATCTGTTGCTGACAGAGCCGATGTGTCTTTTGTTAGATCTAAACACCCGAGTGTCTGAAATGACATCTGTTGCTGACAGAGCCGATGTGTCTTGTGTTAGATCTAAACACCCGTGTGTCTGTAATGGCATCTGTTGTTGATAGAGCCGATGTGTCTTGTGTTAGATCTAAACACCCGTGTGTCTGACATCTGTTGTTGATAGAGCCGATGTGTCTTGTGTTAGATCTAAACACCCGTGTGTCTGACATCTGTTGTTGACAGAGCCGATGTGTCTTGTGTTAGATCTAAACACCCGTGTGTCGATGTGTCTTGTGTTAGATCTAAACACTCGTGTGTCTGTAATGACATCTGTTGTTGACAGAGCCGATGTGTCTTGTGTTAGATCTAAACACCCGTGTGTCTGTAATGGCATCTGTTGTTGACAGAGCCGATGTGTCTTGTGTTAGATCTAAACACCCGTGTGTCGATGTGTCTTGTGTTAGATCTAAACACTCGTGTGTCTGTAATGACATCTGTTGTTGACAGAGCCGATGTGTCTTTTGTTAGATCTAAACACCCGTGTGTCTGACATCTGTTGTTGACAGAGCCGATGTGTCTTTTGTTAGATCTAAACTCCCGTGTGTCTGTAATGACATCTGTTGTTGATAGAGCCGATGTGTCTTGTGTTAGATCTAAACACCCGTGTGTCTGACATCTGTTGTTGACAGAGCCGATGTGTCTTTTGTTAGATCTAAACACCCGTGTGTCTGACATCTGTTGTTGACAGAGCCGATGTGTCTTGTGTTAGATCTAAACACCCGTGTGTCTAACATCTGTTGTTGACAGAGCCGATGTGTCTTGTGTTAGATATAAACACCCGTGTGTCTGTAATGGCATCTGTTGCTGACAGAGCCGATGTGTCTTGTGTTAGATCTAAACACCCGTGTGTCTGTAATGGCATCTGTTGCTGACAGAGCCGATGTGTCTTGTGTTAGATCTAAACACCCGTGTGTCTGTAATGGCATCTGTTGCTGACAGAGCCGATGTGTCTTTTGTTAAATCTAAACACCCGTGTGTCTGTAATGGCATCTGTTGCTGACAGAGCCGATGTGTCTTGTGTTAGATCTAAACACCCGTGTGTCTGTAATGGCATCTGTTGCTGACAGAGCCGATGTGTCTTTTGTTAGATCTAAACACCCGTGTGTCTGAAATGACATCTGTTGCTGACAGAGCCGATGTGTCTTGTGTTAGATCTAAACACCCGTGTGTCTGTAATGACATCTGTTGCTGACAGAGCCGATGTGTCTTTTGTTAGATCTAAACACCCGTGTGTCTGACATCTGTTGTTGACAGAGCCGATGTGTCTTTTGTTAGATCTAAACACCCGTGTGTCTGTAATGACATCTGTTGCTGACAGAGCCGATGTGTCTTGTGTTAGATCTAAACACCCGTGTGTCTGACATCTGTTGCCGACAGAGCCGATGTGTCTTGTGTTAGATCTAAACACCCGTGTGTCTGACATCTGTTGCCGACAGAGCCGATGTGTCTTGTGTTAGATCTAAACACCCGTGTGTCTGACATCTGTTGCCGACAGAGCCGATGTGTCTTGTGTTAGATCTAAACACCCGTGTGTCTGTAATGGCATCTGTTGTTGACAGAGCCGATGTGTCTTTTGTTAGATCTAAACTCCCGTGTGTCTGTAATGGCATCTGTTGCTGACAGAGGCGATGTGTCTTTTGTTAGATCTAAACACCCGTGTGTCTGTAATAACATCTGTTGCTGACAGAGCCGATGTGTCTTGTGTTAGATCTAAACACCCGTGTGTCTGACATCTGTTGCCGACAGAGCCGATGTGTCTTGTGTTAGATCTAAACACCCGTGTGTCTGACATCTGTTGCCGACAGAGCCGATGTGTCTTGTGTTAGATCTAAACACCCGTGTGTCTGTAATGGCATCTGTTGTTGACAGAGCCGATGTGTCTTGTGTTAGATCTAAACACCCGTGTGTCTGTAATGGCATCTGTTGTTGACAGAGCCGATGTGTCTTGTGTTAGATCTAAACACCCGTGTGTCTGACATCTGTTGTTGACAGAGCCGATGTGTCTTGTGTTAGATCTAAACACCCGTGTGTCTGTAATGGCATCTGTTGTTGACAGAGCCGATGTGTCTTGTGTTAGATCTAAACACCCGTGTGTCTGACATCTGTTGTTGATAGAGCCGATGTGTCTTGTGTTAGATCTAAACACCCGTGTGTCTGACATCTGTTGTTGACAGAGCCGATGTGTCTTGTGTTAGATCTAAACACCCGTGTGTCTGACATCTGTTGTTGATAGAGCCGATGTGTCTTGTGTTAGATCTAAACACCCGTGTGTCTGACATCTGTTGTTGACAGAGCCGATGTGTCTTTTGTTAGATCTAAACACCCGTGTGTCGATGTGTCTTGTGTTAGATCTAAACACACGTGTGTCTGTAATGACATATGTTGTTGACAGAGCCGATGTGTCTTGTGTTAGATCTAAACACTCGTGTGTCTGTAATGACATCTGTTGTTGACAGAGCCGATGTGTCTTGTGTTAAATCTAAACACCCGTGTGTCTGTAATGGCATCTGTTGCTGACAGAGCCGATGTGTCTTGTGTTAGATCTAAACACCCGTGTGTCTGTAATGACATCTGTTGCCGACAGAGCCGATGTGTCTTTTGTTAGATCTAAACACCCGTGTGTCTGACATCTGTTGTTGATAGAGCCGATGTGTCTTTTGTTAGATCTAAACACCCGTGTGTCTGGCATCTGTTGCCGACAGAGCCGATGTGTCTTGTGTTAGATCTAAACACCCGTGTGTCTGTAATGGCATCTGTTGTTGACAGAGCCGATGTGTCTTTTGTTAGATCTAAACACCCGTGTGTCTGTAATGGCATCTGTTGTTGACAGAGCCGATGTGTCTTTTGTTAGATCTAAACACCCGTGTGTCTGACATCTGTTGCCGACAGAGCCGATGTGTCTTGTGTTAGATCTAAACACCCGTGTGTCTGTAATAACATCCGTTGCTGACAGAGCCGATGTGTCTTGTGTTAGATCTAAACACCCGTGTGTCTGACATCTGTTGTTGATAGAGCCGATGTGTCTTGTGTTAGATCTAAACACCCGTGTGTCTGACATCTGTTGCCGACAGAGCCGATGTGTCTTTTGTTAGATCTAAACACCCGTGTGTCTGTAATAACATCCGTTGCTGACAGAGCCGATGTGTCTTGTGTTAGATCTAAACACCCGTGTGTCTGTAATAACATCCGTTGCTGACAGAGCCGATGTGTCTTGTGTTAGATCTAAACACCCGTGTGTCTGGCATCTGTTGCCGGCTGTGTCCACTAGTCTGGTTGGTATAGACTTGTACCGAGCACACTGCCGGAGAAGTGCCTTGTGTAGAGTGACCCCTGCAGTTGTAGTGTCAATTGATCTAGGGTCATCGATAAACGGCGCCCACTTTTTAAATAATTTTCGCATTATCCCCACATTACTATCGCCACATAAGCCTGACCCCCCCCTATTATCGCCACATTAGCCTGACCCCCCCCCCCCCTCCAAAATGACATTGCACGTCTGCCTCTCACCTTCATCAAAAATACAAATCCATATGCGTCCACAAAAGTCAGTTTTTTTCGGACCTCCCCCCCCCCCCCGCGTGTGGACGTCATAAATGGATGACCCCTTATAACGTTTTTGGACAAACGTTCTGTTCTGTTTTTTACCTTTATTTTTAGTAAAAAAAAAAGTAGTGTAGCCACTGATGGGTCGTGTCTTATACTCGTCACTCACGTAACCTGATATCAGCTTTCTGGATCCTTTTTTGATGGTCCTGATGACGACACGGGTAAAAATACAAGCCCACGTCAAGCGAGTGGATGCTCGCGTGCCCCCAGCTGACGAGAAACCGGAACTGTCGTATTATGTTTGGCTACAAACATTTGCACTGACTGCCGGGTCAAACGTTTTCCAGGTCAACTGAGTCGAGAATGTTACATAAGTGTGGTGGTGGGGGGGGGGGGACGCTTGCTTGGGTTTTAATTAGGTCTAGTTTTGTGGTGTATACATATTGCTCGTTTGATTTGTTGCACGATTACTATGTGCTCCACGTGTATCTATAGTGTATATTCTTCCTTTTTAAGTCGGCTGGTTACAACATCACAGCCCTAGCTTTGGAGTTGGAAATCTAAAATAGAAAGGTCAAAGTTTAAACGTATATTTTTACCTGACTGGCCGTTGAATGAATCTGTAAACGTAAAACAAGCATTCTGAGGCCGATGTCTGACTGGTTCCACCGTCGCTACAGTCTGTTTTAGACCTGGGCCGATATCTGACTAGTTGTATGGTTGCTACAGTCTGTTTTAGACCAGGGCCGATGTCTGACATGTTGCACCGTCGCTACAGTCTGTTTTAGAACAGGGCCGATGTCTGACTAGTTGTACCGTCGCTACAGTCTGTTTTAGACCTGGGCCGATATCTGACTAGTTGTATGGTTGCTACAGTCTGTTTTAGACCAGGGCCGATATCTGACTAGTTGTACCGTCGCTACAGTCTGTTTTAGACCTGGGCCGATATCTGACTAGTTGTATGGTCGCTACAGTCTGTTTTAGACCAGGGCCGATATCTGACTAGTTGTATGGTCGCTACAGTGTTTTAGAACTGGGCCGATGTCTGACTAGTTGTATGGTCGCTACAGTGTTTTAGACCTGGGCCGATGTCTGACTAGTTGTACCGTCGCTACAGTCTGTTTTAGACCTGGGCCGATATCTGACTAGTTGTATGGTCGCTACAGTGTTTTAGACCTGGGCCGATGTCTGACTAGTTGTACCGTCGCTACAGTCTGTTTTAGACCAGGGCCGATATCTGACTAGTTGTATGGTCGCTACAGTCTGTTTTAGACCTGGGCCGATATTTGACATGTTGCATGTTGATTGGGGCTGAAATTTGGTCATGCTGAAGCTTTGACACTCTAATGACAGCATACAGAAATGTCATGTGATGATGTTTTGACATAGTACATAACACATCACGTGATCCAGGTGGAAAGATTGTGTTTAATAACAAACAAGAAGTTGTCAGGTTGTGGTTGTATTGATGTCTTATTACAATGTTTCCTGCTTCATTTAACAAAAATTAGAGCTTTTTTTTTTTCCTTTCTAGTTTTACTTACAAGATACGAAGAGCAGCAATGGCACATTTATCAACAATCAAAGGTTGTGTAAGGGAGGCGAGGAGAGTCCAGCCAGGGAGGTCTTCTCTGGCGATCTTATCCAGTTTGGTGTGGAGGTCATGGAGAACAACAGGCGGGGAGAAAAAAGTAAACACAACATTTTCTTTTCTATTGCTGGTTCTTAGTTTGGTTGGACCCAGTAGTTCATGTTTTTTGGACCCAGTAGTTCATGTTTGGTTGTCACTGTTTTGTTGGACCCAGTAGTTCATGTTTTGTTGGACCCAGTAGTTCATGTTTGGTGGTCACTGTTTTGTTGGACCCAGTAGTTCATGTTTTGTTGGACCCAGTAGTTCATGTTTGGTGGTCACTGTTTTGTTGGACCCAGTAGTTCATGTTTTGTTGGACCCAGTAGCTCATGTTTGGTGGTCACTGTTTTGTTGGACCCAGTAGTTCATGTTTTGTTGGACCCAGTAGTTCATGTTTGGTGGTCACTGTTTTGTTGGACCCAGTAGTTCATGTTTTGTTGGACCCAGTAGTTCATGTTTGGTGGTCACTGTTTTGTTGGACCCAGTAGTTCATGTTTTGTTGGACCCAGTAGCTCATGTTTGGTGGTCACTGTTTTGTTGGACCCAGTAGTTCATGTTTTGTTGGACCCAGTAGTTCATGTTTGGTGGTCACTGTTTTGTTGGACCCCGTAGTTCATGTTTTGTTGGACCTAGTAGTTCATGTTTGGTTGTCACTGTTTTGTTGGACCCAGTAGTTCATGTTTTGTTGGACCCAGTAGTTCATGTTTGGTGGTCACTGTTTTGTTGGACCCAGTAGTTCATGTTTTGTTGGACCCAGTAGTTCATGTTTGGTGGTCACTGTTTTGTTGGACCCAGTAGTTCATGTTTTGTTGGACCTAGTAGTTCATGTTTGGTGCTCACTGTTTTGTTGGACCTAGTAGTTCATGTTTGGTTGGACCTAGTAGTTCATGTTTTGTTGGACCTAGTAGTTCATGTTTTGTTGGACCCAGTAGTTCATGTTTGGTTGTCACTGTTTTGTTGGACCCAGTAGTTCATGTTTGGTGGTCACTGTTTTGTTGGACCTAGTAGTTCATGTTTTGTTGGACCTAGTAGTTCATGTTTTGTTGGACCCAGTAGTTCATGTTTGGTTGTCACTGTTTTGTTGGACCTAGTAGTTCATGTTTTGTTGGACCCAGTAGTTCATGTTTTGTTGGACCTAGTAGTTCATGTTTGGTTGGACCTAGTAGTTCATGTTTTTTTTGGACCTAGTAGTTCATGTTTTGTCATGCTTGTTAGTGACTTTGTACTGTGGTTTTATATGCTGTTAATTTGTATAAGAGTCCAGTCATAAGAGGGACACACCTTTGCATTTGAAAACATAATGTCAGAAACTGAATGTTTACCAGTTTTAATGTTTAAGATGTTTGTAACTTGCAATAAAAATTGATCAACATGCTGGACATGGACAGAGCTCAGCAAATATTTGAGAGAGAAATTGTTTTAAAAAACAAACAAAAGTGCTATTTGGGAAGGGGGGCATTGGAGGCTGTGGGGGTGGGGATGGTCTGAGACATTGGGAGGGAGGGGAGAAAAATTGTTCTAAAAACCCATGAGGTGGTTTAAGGGTGATCCTTGATATGGTGTTTTTAATACTTATCACTTGTAGGAAGGTGTTGTTGATTATGGTGTAGTTTTTTATGACAGTGTTATAGTTTGTATGAAGATGTTGACCTGTAGTTTATATGAAGTTGTTGTTGATTATATTTGTAGTTTTTATGAAGATGTTGATTTTACCTTTAGTTTGTGGTCCCAGTACCTTTCAAACCCCCCCCCCCCCCCCCCACTGAGAAAAAATGTCTGAATGAAACACTGCCCACCACTAGCCACCCAGTATAAAACCTCTCCACTACTAGTCCTACCAGGATAACACCTGAAACTGGACTCGAATATTAACCAAGTCGTCTGTCCTTGGAGATCCATTTTAAATAACCTCCCTTCCCACATCTGTCAGTGGAAATTTAGAGCTACTCACTGACTGACCTAAACACTGCGGCAACCCATTTACTTTCGTTACACAGTTCAGTAACACACGTCCATTTTAACCAGAGTTAAAACAAATAAAACGGCTGCCACCTAGTCCTAGACGTAAGGCTGATGTGTAATGAAAGGAAACCTAGCTGTGACGTCAGTGGGAGGGGCTGCGTGCAGGGGAGGGAATCGCTGGATACCCCGTGGAACACGGCTTGGATTGTTTAGTCCAGGAGGCTGGGCACGTGTTCCACAGAACTCATTTCTGTTTTCATGTTGCTCACACTTGTCATGACATGGTGGCCCACACATGTCATGTCATGGTAGCCCACACATGTCATGTCATGGTAGCCCACACATGTCATGTCATGGTAGCCCACACATGTCATGTCATGGTAGCCCACACATGTCATGTCATGGTAGCCCACACATGTCATGTCATGGTAGCCCACATGCCATGTCATGGTAGCCCACACATGTCATGTCATGGTAGCCCACACATGTCATGTCATGGTAGCCCACATGCCATGTCATGGTAGCCCACACATGTCATGTCATGGTAGCCCACACATGTCATGTCATGGTAGCCCACACATGTCATGTCATGGTAGCCCACACATGTCATGTCATGGTAGCCCACACATGTCATGTCATGGTAGCCCACACATGTCATGTCATGGTAGCCCACACATGTCATGTCATGGTAGCCCACACATGTCATGTCATGGTAGCCCACACATGTCATGTCATGGTAGCCCACATGCCATGTCATGGTAGCCCACACATGTCATGTCATGGTAGCCCACACATGTCATGTCATGGTAGCCCACATGCCATGTCATGGTAGCCCACACATGTCATGTCATGGTAGCCCACACATGTCATGTCATGGTAGCCCACACATGTCATGTCATGGTAGCCCACACATGTCATGGTAGCCCACACATGTCATGGTAGCCCACACATCCCATGTCTTGGCAGCCAACACACCCCATGTTATACTTATTTTACATAAGCCCACACAACTAACGTTACGCAAGCCCACACAACTCATGTCACGTAAGCCCACACAACTCATGTCACGTAAGCCCACACAACTTGTGTCATACAAGCCCACACAACTTGTGTCATACAAGCCCACACAACTCATGTCACGTAAGCCCACACAACTCATGTCACGTAAGCCCACACAACTCATGTCACGTAAGCCCACACAACTCATGTCACGTAAGCCCACACAACTAACGTCACGCAAGCCCACACAACTCATGTCACGTAAGCCCACACAACTCATGTCACGTAAGCCCACACAACTCATGTCACATAAGCCCACACAACTTGTGTCATACAAGCCCACACAACTCATGGCACATAAGCCCACACAACTCATGTCACATAAGCCCACACAACTTGTGTCATACAAGCCCACACAACTCATGGCACGTAAGCCCACACAACTCATATCACGTAAGCCCACACAACTTGTGTCATACAAGCCCACTGTAACCACGGAAGAAACTCTGGCTATTTGTTGGTTATGTGTCGTGTCTTCTAAAGGCTGCCAGTTTAAGGTGCCACTAAAAATGGCACTTGCTTTGTTTGTTTACATTTAGCCACGAACATAACTTTAACACAAACCCTGAATGAAATGATTGCATTGATTGTCTTGCAGTTACACATGGCTGTATCATAGGAACTATAACATTGTATCACCCAGATGGGAGGGAGGCCAAACCTGCGTGAGTACTTCTCTATACGTCCATGTTGTACAATCTCGTTCTTTCTCTCATGCAACTTCGTTGTGTTTTTTTGTGTTGTTAGGGTGTTCTATGTGTTTTGATATAGTCTTTGTCGCATCATTTCTTGTGTCAATAGTTGTGTCACTGACGTCTTTGTCACGTCATTTCTTTTGTGGCTGACATGTCAGGTCACTGGGTGAATGAACCAACCAGTTGCTACCACTACCAGCATAAGTTCACTACAACACTACCCGCTTGGGAGGCTCGTTGTGGCTGTGGGAATCATGCCAGGCTTGAGTATTGAGAAAAAACAAGAACCCACCCAGTAAATTGTCATTAATTAGTGTTGTAACTAATTAGGTGTAGGGTCCAGCATGCTGAGCACTGTGCCGTAGTTAGCCGTGGCGTGCAGTCGTTCTGTTGTTGTGTGCTGGGGGTGCTGGCCTGCTCACACACATGGGCTGTGCTTTCCTCAAGATTTGTCCGTCCGAGTGGACGGGTCAGGGCAGACAGACTCGGTGTCTTCAGACAGACAGGTGAGCTTCAGCCTTAGTTCTGGCCGCTGGTCACCACTTGGACCATTGATTTACTATACGGGCGGCGGAGACAGACCTTAATGAAGGTCTTGATGCTTTCAGGGCCTTGGAGATCGACAAAGGACTGTAACGGGGGGGGGGGGGGGGGGTAGTGACGTATGATAGGGATATCGACAAGGCACTACGGGTGGGGGGGGGGGGGTAGTGACCAATGACCCAGTGGCGTTGCGAGGTCGGGTGTCACCCGGTGCGGCACTTAATGGTGTCACCCCCCCCCCCCCGAGGCATAGAGACCCTTCCCAGGGACAAACTTTTAAATTTTTGATTTGCACCCCTCCCTCAAACTTTCGATTTGCACCCCCCCTCGAGTTTTCGACTTGCACCCCCCTCTCAAACTTTCGATTTGCACCCCCCCCCTCAAGTTTTCGATTTGCACCCCCCTCCCTCAAACTTTCGATTTGCACCCCCCCCCCCTCGAGTTTTTCTCTATATATTTTGCTATTTTTTTGCCTTGGTGTCACCCCCCTAAATGGTGTCACCCGGTGCGGTCCGCACCCCCGCCCCCCCCCTCGCTACGCCCCTGCAATGACCAATATGTGCACGTAGGGTAGGAATATCGACAAGGGACTGTAACGGTGTGTGTGTGGGGGGGGGGGGGGGGGTGACGTATGATAGGGATATCAACCAGGGACTACGGAGGCAATGACGGGTGGCAGAGTATGATCTCTATTAAACACATCTAGATTAGGCTTGTTGTGAGCACGTACCACAAACGCACGTATCTCTTCTAAAATTGGATCCCTTATTTCCTCTTCTCCCCCCCCCCCCCCCGTCACAGTACTGTGATGAATCAAACGTTGTAGCGAATTACTTAGGCTGGAGCCGGCAAACGCCAGCAAGGGAATCTGTTTACTGATTGTCTTTATGGGCATTAGGTATGCCAATCACGTTTCTCCGCTGACACAGCCCCACATATAGCTGTTGCTGGACCTAAATAGACGTTGTGGCCAATAAAAACCTCCCCACGTGGGAACGGTGTTAGTAAATAAATGGTGCCTAGTCTGTGTGACTGGGTGATATGACGTCATGTATCTTCCATTGATGTAGCAATGGAGCTTGTATGTTTGAATCCTTGAGACAGGTAAACACAGAATACCTGGCAAAATACTATAGGCACATCAGTTATGTAACTGTAGGTAGCTGTTTCGTTTGTCAATAATAAACAGTTAAACACGGAATAAATATGAGATACGTTTAGCAACACACCAATGTCGTGTATAGCAGTATCTTTCCTTCTGACGAGGGGTGGGGCACATGTATAGCTGGTGCAATACCCACAGACACAGCTGATACAATACCCACAAACACTCACAGCAAATACAATATACACTGCCTTTGCGTACTTTTATGTCATTCAAATAATTGAAAAAATGTATGTGAAGGCAATTTAAGGTTCTTTTTATTATGATCTACTCCCACTGTAATTTTTGGGTGACTGAATTCGGGATTTACTTTAAAAAATCAGTGAGACTAATGTTTTTAAGCAATTTCAAAAAGCTGTGCTTTGTTTTGTTTTTTTATTTCTTGCCATATCTAATTTTTAGATCGCATTGTCCGAGTACTTTTTAAAGCGTGTCAATATTGGTAAGGTTTATAATACTAGTTTTATTTTCATCTTAGTCAAGGTAGATAAACCAAGCAGTTTGCGTGGATCTGATTATTTTTAAATAAAAGTTTTGTTACCTCCCTTAAGTTGTTGGTCGCGCATTCCCTCTTGATTACGGTCTGTTCTCTGATGTAACAAATATGTGCCATTTATTATGGAACTTTTTGGTTCTATCAAAACTAATGCAAACCATGATCACATAATGCGGTCCATTCATAGCCAGCAATATCTAAGATCATAGATCATCTAGAGTATTCTAGAAATAGATAACATTTGAATCTAATGGTAAAGAAAAAAGCAGTTGCAAAAGACTGTCGTATTTATTAAACTTTTCACAATAGATCACAAAGCACGGACACATTCTAGGGTTTTGTTGAATAACATTTCTAGTATATCTCACTCTGACTGCAAGTCTTTATTTTTAATGGGCCACAGTTTTTCATTCATAAACATGTCTTTACGGAGCCCCGACAAATGAGTTGCATCACATTTTGAAACTATTTTTATACCTGCGAGCTGTAAGTTCTCTAATGATATCCCCGCCCACCTTTCTGCCTACCTATACCCCTGACGTCATCGTAACATCTTGAAGCTCTCCGCCACCCGGGAAATGGTACCGCCCCTATTTAGACCGTTAGAACTCACTTCTCGTAGGGATCCTCCCTGAACGTTACACCCGGTGGCTGCTCCCTCCTTGGGACCTGTCGGATTTGTTATCAGTCATGCTCTACACAAGACACGAGGATGCTAGTCTAAGTCATAAGTCATGTTTTATACCAGGCAGTCCGACTCTGATGGCGATATTTGATCAGCACATTATGTGAGTAGACCATCTTTACCTGTAGTAGGTTTCTGTCTTTTCATTGAGCGCGCTTCATACTAACTCGTGTGTACGCATATATTGTGTGCCGGTGCTAGGCCTGACGCGTATTATTTACAAACATTAAAGCACACGACCACAGCAGGACCTGTCTAAAACCTGGAACCTCACCAGCTGCTAGAATACTATACGGGGAAAACGGCTTATCACAAAGGTCCTTTTCTTAATGTTTACCCCCGTCCCAACCCTCCGATAATAAGGCAGAACAAATTTCTTTTCCAATTCTTGAAAGTCACGGCAAAGTTGAAATAGGTGACATTGTGGAAGTTGCTATTGACCGGCTAACAGCAATTCAAATGTCATTTTTACTAGCCAACAGCTTTACAAATACTGTAGCCAACAACCTTACACATTTAATATTGGGTTTTCCAAGTCTTTAGATAACAAATAATTTGGAATGCCATGTTTTCCGGGTCTCTAGCTAACAGCCATACAAATGCCATGCTCATTAGCATGTAGCCAATAGCCATAGTGTTACGTCTTTATTTGCTGTCGTCTGCGATTTTACCTTTGAACTATTGATTTGTGAAATTTTGTATCGCTTATAAAGTCTTGTATTAGGTCTTCAACCGTCTTTAAGGTAAGATACATTTCTAGTTTTTCTTAACCATTAACGTTAGGTGTAGTATGGTAGATTAAGTATATGAACGATCAACCGTATCTTTAACTTCGGCATTTTTGCTTCAAGTTACTAGATCCTAAACAGGATAGTATACATTATAATCCTTACAAAACACTGCTAGCCTTTACTTACTAGTACGCTGTCCCTAGCTCGATTCTTATATTATTTGAGAGTATCAAAGTGCTTGACTGCGACCCACAGTTGCGAAGAACTATCAGTTTGGTACCCCATAACGGAGTAGAACTGACCCTCGGCGCTATTGTTTCGAAGTCTGACCCTTGTACACTGGCACAATGTCCCATTACGATGTTGCTGTGTTTGTCGTCCTACCCCTGTACACTAGCACAATGTCTCATGTTGCTGTGGTGTCGTCCTACCCCTGTACACTAGCACAATGTCCCATGTTGCTGTGGTGTCGTCCTACCCCTGTACACTGGCACAATGTCCCATGTTGCTGTGGTGTCGTCCTTCCCCTGTATACTGGCACAATGTCCCGAGTTGCTGTGGTGTCGTCCTTCCCCTGTATACTGGCACAATGTCCCATGTTACTGTGGTGTCGTCCTACCCCTGTACACTAGCACAATGTCCCATGTTGCTGTGTCCTACCCCTGTACACTGGCACAATGTCCCATGTTACTGTGGTGTCGTCCTACCCCTGTACACTGGCACAATGTCCCATGTTGCTGTGGTGTCGTCCTACCCCTGTATACTGGCACAATGTCCCATGTTGCTGTGGTGTCGTCCTACCCTTGTACACTAGCACAATGTCCCATGTTACTGTGGTATCGTCCTACCCCTGTACACTAGCACAATGTCCCATGTTACTGTGGTGTCGTCCTACCCCTGTACACTGGCACAATGTCCCATGTTGCTGTGGTATCGTCCTACCCCTGTACACTAGCACAATGTCCCATGTTGCTGTGGTGTCGTCCTTCCCCTGTATACTGGCACAATGTCCCGAGTTGCTGTGGTGTCGTCCTACCCCTGTACACTAGCACAATGTCCCATGTTACTGTGGTGTCGTCCTACCCCTGTACACTAGCACAATGTCCCATGTTACTGTGGTGTCGTCCTACCCCTGTACACTGGCACAATGTCCCATGTGGTGTCGTCCTACCCCTGTACACTAGCACAATGTCCCATGTTACTGTGGTGTCGTCCTACCCCTGTACACTGGCACAATGTCCCATGTTGCTGTGTCCTACCCCTGTACACTAGCACAATGTCCCATGTTGCTGTGGTGTCGTCCTACCCCTGTACACTGGCACAATGTCTCATGTTACTGTGGTGTCGTCCTACCCCTGTACACTAGCACAATGTCCCATGTTACTGTGGTGTCGTCCTACCCCTGTACACTGGCACAATGTCCCATGTTGCTGTGTCCTACCCCTGTACACTAGCACAATGTCCCATGTTGCTGTGTCCTACCCCTGTACACTGGCACAATGTCCCATGTTGCTGTGGTGTCGTCCTACCCCTGTACACTAGCACAATGTCCCATGTTACTGTGGTGTCGTCCTACCCCTGTACACTGGCACAATGTCTCATGTTACTGTGGTGTCGTCCTACCCCTGTACACTAGCACAATGTCCCATGTTGCTGTGTCCTACCCCTGTACACTAGCACAATGTCCCATGTTACTGTGGTATCGTCCTACCCCTGTACACTAGCACAATGTCCCATGTTGCTGTGGTGTCGTCCTACCCCTGTACACTAGCACAATGTCCCATTACGATGTTACTGTGGTGTCCCTGAGTCACACATTTGGGTGGCGGTGGAGAGACATTTCCCCTACTTAACGCCTTGTGTTGCGGCAAGTGTGTACTGGCAAGCTGTTTTTTTTCTTTCTCTTCTCATTTCTCGGGGCTTATAAAGTTGTGAAGGTAGTTAGTGTTGATTCCCTTAGATATAATTAGGTGTGATATTTTTAACGCTATAGCAGACTTGTTATGTAAGCCTTAGCGTCGGTCCGTTGTTGCTGGAGTTGGTAAGTTTATTATAGCTCTGTGAGCCGGTCAGTGTTAGCTGGAGTTGGTAAGTTTATAGGTCATGATTTTCTGTATCTGGGTAAAGTTAGCTCTACTCTTAAGTCCCTCTTAAGCTTTTGAGAAGGGTAGATGTATGTCCTGTTGATATTAGGCTAACTGTTGGATCATCAAACGGTCGCTAGACATTAACACACACACTGTGAGGCCGATCATTTGGATATGAGGAAACGAGATTCTCATAGAAAAGATATCACAAGAAACTGTCCCATAAAATAGATTTGTGAGTCAGTGAACCCAAACAGCTAAGTCGGAGTGTTAAACTGTCTCAGGTTTAGTTTCTTCACTGTTTGTGGGGTTAAAACAAGTGTCAGGATTAGTTTCTTGACACCGTGTGTTCTTGATACCGTGTGTGCATGTTTGTGTGTGCGTGTTTGTGTGTTGTGTGCGTGTTTGTGTATTGTGTGTGCGTGTTTGTGTGTTGTGTGTGCGTGTTTGTGTATTGTGCGTGCGTGTTTGTGTATTGTGCGTGCGTGTTTGTGTGCGTGTTTGTGTGTTGCGTGTTTGTGTGTTGTGTGTGCGTGTGTGTGGTGCGTGTTTGTGTGTTGCGTGTTTGTGTGTGCGTGTTTGTGTGTGCGTGTTTGTGTGTTGTGTGTGCGTGTGTTGTGTGTGCGTGTTTGTGTGTTGTGTGTGCGTGTGTTGTGTGTGCGTGTTTGTGTGTTGTGTGTGCCAGTGGCTGCTGTAGACACACGGCCTCTGGTGGCTAGTACAGCGCCAGCCAGTGACGTATCTCCTCCTCCACAATTAGCCCTAACTCGCCGGCCTATCTTTAGCTATGTAAACACAGCACGTAAACAGCACATTTCTCATTTGACGGGACAGATTTTTTTTACATCTGCTACAATACGTAGGTCTAAGCATTGGGAAGTAGGGCCCCATACAGTACGTCACGGGAAAGTGGACCTTGTGTTTACATGAGGTGTCAGTACATTTGACTGCTGGCGTCAGTGCCAACAACACAAGTGATGAACATGGCACTGACTAGCCTAGTTACACCACACACTCAGTTGTTTTCATGTGCGGGAGTCCCATAAATGCTGTCAAGCAATTTCCGCTTATTCAATCCTACCCCTTTACTCTACATCGTTACATATTGTAAAAAGCCAGGCCCATTAAAAATCATGTTACAATGTTCGCCCCCCCCCCCCCCCCCCCCTTCCTTTAAATTAACAACTTTAAAGTACATTATTTTTGTGATCAAATAAAAAAATAATTGTATTTAACTTCCCTATTTAGCACAAGTAGCAATACAATTGTGACCCCACCCATACCCCTCCTTAGATATGTGAGGTTGTATGGATGGCTCAGTACCTTGTGTTGGTAGTTAATGTCAACAGCATGTCATAGATACCTCTCCTTGGATGTGTGAGATAGTATGAAAGTAGTTAGAGAAGAGACAGCTGATCACCAATAGAAGAATCTGAGGAAAACTACACACACCCTTCAACTATTCTAGCTTAATGATTTAACACTGGTCTAGTAAACCTATGCACATCCATTCCTACTTCCATAAACCTATGCACATCCATTCCTACTTCCATAAACCTATACACACCCATTCCTACTTCCATAAATCTATGCACATCCATTCCTACTTCAATGAGGAATGGGTTATATTTTTAAAAATTCTTTCATCTGTATGTGTATGGGGAGCACCAGCCTGGCATATTGTTGTTATATTCCCACTTTAAATGTTATATGACACAGGCAAAATGTATTGTTGTTATATTCCTACTTTAAATGTTATATGACCCAGACACAATGTATTGTTGTTATATTCCTACTTTAAATGTTATATGACACAGGCAAAATGTATTGTTGTTATATTCCTACTTTAAATGTTATATGACCCAGACACAATGTATTGTTGTTATATTCCCACTTTAAATGTTATATGACACAGGCAAAATGTATTGTTGTTATATTCCCACTTTAAATGTTATATGACACAGACAAAATGTATTGTTGTTATATTCCCACTTTAAATGTTATATGACACAGGCAAAATGTATTGTTGTTATATTCCCACTTTAAATGTTATATGACACAGACACAATGTATTGTTGTTATATTCCCACTTTAAATGTTATATGACACAGAAAAAATGTATTGTTGTTATATTCCCACTTTAAATGTTATATGACACAGGCAAAATGTATTGTTGTTATATTCCCACTTTAAATGTTATATGACACTTTGTTATTCTTCTCTAGCCCCTACTTGTCTGGGGAGAACCAGCCTGGAATATCTTTACAGACACAAGACTTGTACCAGCTGGCTCAATATTTACAGGTTAGTTTCTCATTTCTGTCTGCATGTCTGTCAGTACATTTGTCTGTCATTCTCTGTGTGCTTCTGTCTGTCTAGTACATTCGTCTGTCATTGTCTGTTTGCATCTGTCTGTCTAGTACATTCGTCTGTCATTGTCTGTTTGCATCTGTCTGTCTAGTACATTCGTCTGTCATTCTCTGTGTGCATCTGTCTGTCTAGTACATTCATCTGTCATTGTCTGTGTGCATCTGTCTGTCTAGTACATTCGTCTGTCATTCTCTGTGTGCATATGTCTGTCTAGTACATCTGTCTGTCTAGTACATCTGTCAGGCTAGTACATGTGTGTTTTCTCCATAAAAAGCCAATGAATTAGTAACTCTAATAGATAGCCCATCGAAAATGGGTGTATGGCATTCAAGCACTTGAGTCATTTTTGTATCACTATAACAATGATTTCATACGTGTCAATAAGAGTTTAGAGTTGAATGATGCATGTAATTGAACCAAAAAGCCAGCATCAATTGAGTTTCACTAAGCATTGACAGAGTACCAGGTACTCACATTTTTGTTGTTGATTTACTAGACAGCCAGACTAACAGTGTACATGGTGCAATTTTTCTTACCTAACATTTGACTAGTGCTATAAGCTACTGTTGATAAACTTTTCTTACCTTACAGTAGCTATTACTAATAGTTTGTTACATTAAGACAACTATTTACAACACAAATAACCACTTTCTTGAAAAAACCATTTTAGGAAGCTTTACATCGAGAGAAGATGTTGGAGCAAAAACTTTTAACCCTCCGACAACTGGTTCATAATACTCAGGAAGCATCAGAGAGTGGATGGCAGGTAGAGTAGCTCACCTTAGTTTTGTTTAGAGGGCTAGGGGTTCATGGGAGGTAGCATCAGAGAGTGGATGGCAGGTAGAGTAGCTCACCTTAGTTTTGTTTAGAGGGCTAGGGGTTCATGGGAGGTAGCATCAGAGAGTGGATGGCAGGTAGAGTAGCTCACCTTAGTTTTGTTTAGAGGGCTAGGGGTTCATGGGAGGTAGCATCAGAGAGTGGATGGCAGGTAGAGTAGCTCACCTTAGTTTTGTTTAGAGGGCTAGGGGTTCATGGGAGGTAGCATCAGAGAGTGGATGGCAGGTAGAGTAGCTCACCTTAGTTTTGTTTAGAGGGCTAAGGGTTCATGGGAGGTAGCATCAGAGAGTGGATGGCAGGTAGAGTAGCTCACCTTAGTTTTGTTTAGAGGGCTAGGGGTTCATGGGAGGTAGCATCAGAGAGTGGATGGCAGGTAGAGTAGCTCACCTTAGTTTTGTTTAGAGGGCTAGGGGTTCATGGCAGGTAGCATCAGAGAGTGGATGGCAGGTAGAGTAGCTCACCTTAGTTTTGTTTAGAGGGCTAGGGGTTCATGGGAGGTAGCATCAGAGAGTGGATGGCAGGTAGAGTAGCTCACCTTAGTTTTGTTTAGAGGGCTAGGGGTTCATGGCAGGTAGCATCAGAGAGTGGATGGCAGGTAGAGTAGCTCACCTTAGTTTTGTTTAGAGGGCTAGGGGTTCATGGGAGGTAGCATCAGAGAGTGGATGGCAGGTAGAGTAGCTCACCTTAGTTTTGTTTAGAGGGCTAGGGGTTCATGGGAGGTAGCATCAGAGAGTGGATGGCAGGTAGAGTAGCTCACCTTAGTTTTGTTTAGAGGGCTAGGGGTTCATGGGAGGTAGCATCAGAGAGTGGATGGCAGGTAGAGTAGCTCACCTTAGTTTTGTTTAGAGGGCTAGGGGTTCATGGGAGGTAACATCAGAGAGTGGATGGCAGGTAGAGTAGCTCACCTTAGTTTTGTTTAGAGGGCTAGGGGATCATGGGAGGTAGCATCAGAGAGTGGATGGCAGGTAGAGTAGCTCACCTTAGTTTTGTTTAGAGGGCTAGGGGTTCATGGGAGGTAGCATCAGAGAGTGGATGGCAGGTAAAGTAGCTCACCTTAGTTTTGTTTAGAGGGCTAGGGGTTCATGGGAGGTAGAGTAGCTCACCTTAGTTTTGTTTAGAGGCCTAGGGGTTCATGGGAGGTAGCATCAGAGAGTGGATGGCAGGTAGAGTAGCTCACCTTAGTTTTGTTTAGAGGGCTAAGGGTTCATGGGAGGTAACATCAGAGAGTGGATGGCAGGTAGAGTAGCTCACCTTAGTTTTGTTTAGAGGGCTAGGGGTTCATGGGAGGTAGAGTAGCTCACCTTAGTTTTGTTTAGAGGGCTAGGGGTTCATGGGAGGTAGCATCAGAGAGTGGATGGCAGGTAGAGTAGCTCACCTTAGTTTTGTTTAGAGGGCTAGGGGTTCATGGGAGGTAGCATCAGAGAGTGGATGGCAGGTAGAGTAGCTCACCTTAGTTTTGTTTAGAGGGCTAGGGGTTCATGGGAGGTAGCATCAGAGAGTGGATGGCAGGTAGAGTAGCTCACCTTAGTTTTGTTTAGAGGGCTAGGGGTTCATGGGAGGTAGCATCAGAGAGTGGATGGCAGGTAGAGTAGCTCACCTTAGTTTTGTTTAGAGGGCTAGGGGTTCATGGGAGGTAGCATCAGAGAGTGGATGGCAGGTAGAGTAGCTCACCTTAGTTTTGTTTAGAGGCCTAGGGGTTCATGGGAGGTAGCATCAGAGAGTGGATGGCAGGTAGAGTAGCTCACCTTAGTTTTGTTTAGAGGGCTAGGGGTTCATGGGAGGTAACATCAGTGAGTGGATGGCAGGTAGAGTAGCTCACCTTAGTTTTGTTTAGAGGGCTAGGGGTTCATGGGAGGTAGCATCAGAGAGTGGATGGCAGGTAGAGTAGCTCACCTTAGTTTTGTTTAGAGGGCTAGGGGTTCATGGGAGGTAGCATCAGAGAGTGGATGGCAGGTAGAGTAGCTCACCTTAGTTTTGTTTAGAGGGCTAGGGGTTCATGGGAGGTAACATCAGAGAGTGGATGGCAGGTAGAGTAGCTCACCTTAGTTTTGTTTAGAGGGCTAGGGGTTCATGGGAGGTAGAGTAGCTCACCTTAGTTTTGTTTAGAGGGCTAGGGGTTCATGGGAGGTAGCATCAGAGAGTGGATGGCAGGTAGAGTAGCTCACCTTAGTTTTGTTTAGAGGGCTAGGGGTTCATGGGAGGTAGCATCAGAGAGTGGATGGCAGGTAGAGTAGCTCACCTTAGTTTTGTTTAGAGGGCTAGGGGTTCATGGGAGGTAGCATCAGAGAGTGGATGGCAGGTAGAGTAGCTCACCTTAGTTTTGTTTAGAGGGCTAGGGGTTCATGGGAGGTAACATCAGAGAGTGGATGGCAGGTAGAGTAGCTCACCTTAGTTTTGTTTAGAGGGCTAGGGGTTCATGGGAGGTAGAGTAGCTCACCTTAGTTTTGTTTAGAGGGCTAGGGGTTCATGGGAGGTAGCATCAGAGAGTGGATGGCAGGTAGAGTAGCTCACCTTAGTTTTGTTTAGAGGGCTAGGGGTTCATGGGAGGTAGCATCAGAGAGTGGATGGCAGGTAGAGTAGCTCACCTTAGTTTTGTTTAGAGGGCTAGGGGTTCATGGGAGGTAGAGTAGCTCACCTTAGTTTTGTTTAGAGGGCTAGGGGTTCATGGGAGGTAGCATCAGAGAGTGGATGGCAGGTAGAGTAGCTCACCTTAGTTTTGTTTAGAGGGCTAGGGGTTCATGGGAGGTAGCATCAGAGAGTGGATGGCAGGTAGAGTAGCTCACCTTAGTTTTGTTTAGAGGGCTAGGGGTTCATGGGAGGTAGCATCAGAGAGTGGATGGCAGGTAGAGTAGCTCACCTTAGTTTTGTTTAGAGGGCTAGGGGTTCATGGGAGGTAGCATCAGAGAGTGGATGGCAGGTAGAGTAGCTCACCTTAGTTTTGTTTAGAGGGCTAGGGGTTCATGGGAGGTAACATCTGAGAGTGGATGGCAGGTAGAGTAGCTCACCTTAGTTTTGTTTAGAGGGCTAGGGGTTCATGGGAGGTAGCATCAGAGAGTGGATGGCAGGTAGAGTAGCTCACCTTAGTTTTGTTTAGAGGGCTAGGGGTTCATGGGAGGTAGCATCAGAGAGTGGATGGCAGGTAGAGTAGCTCACCTTAGTTTTGTTTAGAGGGCTAGGGGTTCATGGGAGGTAGCATCAGAGAGTGGATGGCAGGTAGAGTAGCTCACCTTAGTTTTGTTTAGAGGGCTAGGGGTTCATGGGAGGTAGCATCAGAGAGTGGATGGCAGGTAGAGTAGCTCACCTTAGTTTTGTTTAGAGGGCTAGGGGTTCATGGGAGGTAACATCAGAGAGTGGATGGCAGGTAGAGTAGCTCACCTTAGTTTTGTTTAGAGGGCTAGGGGTTCATGGGAGGTAGCATCAGAGAGTGGATGGCAGGTAGAGTAGCTCACCTTAGTTTTGTTTAGAGGGCTAGGGGTTCATGGGAGGTAACATCAGAGAGTGGATGGCAGGTAGAGTAGCTCACCTTAGTTTTGTTTAGAGGGCTAGGGGTTCATGGGAGGTAGCATCAGAGAGTGGATGGCAGGTAGAGTAGCTCACCTTAGTTTTGTTTAGAGGGCTAGGGGTTCATGGGAGGTAGCATCAGAGAGTGGATGGCAGGTAGAGTAGCTCACCTTAGTTTTGTTTAGAGGGCTAGGGGTTCATGGGAGGTAGCATCAGAGAGTGGATGGCAGGTAGAGTAGCTCACCTTAGTTTTGTTTAGAGGGCTAGGGGTTCATGGGAGGTAACATCAGAGAGTGGATGGCAGGTAGAGTAGCTCACCTTAGTTTTGTTTAGAGGGCTAGGGGTTCATGGGAGGTAACATCAGAGAGTGGATGGCAGGTAGAGTAGCTCACCTTAGTTTTGTTTAGAGGGCTAGGGGTTCATGGGAGGTAGAGTAGCTCACCTTAGTTTTGTTTAGAGGGCTAGGGGTTCATGGGAGGTAGCATCAGAGAGTGGATGGCAGGTAGAGTAGCTCACCTTAGTTTTGTTTAGAGGGCTAGGGGTTCATGGGAGGTAGCATCAGAGAGTGGATGGCAGGTAGAGTAGCTCACCTTAGTTTTGTTTAGAGGGCTAGGGGTTCATGGGAGGTAGCATCAGAGAGTGGATGGCAGGTAGAGTAGCTCACCTTAGTTTTGTTTAGAGGGCTAGGGGTTCATGGGAGGTAGCATCAGAGAGTGGATGGCAGGTAGAGTAGCTCACCTTAGTTTTGTTTAGAGGGCTAGGGGTTCATGGGAGGTAGCATCAGAGAGTGGATGGCAGGTAGAGTAGCTCACCTTAGTTTTGTTTAGAGGGCTAGGGGTTCATGGGAGGTAACATCTGAGAGTGGATGGCAGGTAGAGTAGCTCACCTTAGTTTTGTTTAGAGGGCTAGGGGTTCATGGGAGGTAGCATCAGAGAGTGGATGGCAGGTAGAGTAGCTCACCTTAGTTTTGTTTAGAGGGCTAGGGGTTCATGGGAGGTAGCATCAGAGAGTGGATGGCAGGTAGAGTAGCTCACCTTAGTTTTGTTTAGAGGGCTAGGGGTTCATGGGAGGTAGCATCAGAGAGTGGATGGCAGGTAGAGTAGCTCACCTTAGTTTTGTTTAGAGGGCTAGGGGTTCATGGGAGGTAGCATCAGAGAGTGGATGGCAGGTAGAGTAGCTCACCTTAGTTTTGTTTAGAGGGCTAGGGGTTCATGGGAGGTAACATCAGAGAGTGGATGGCAGGTAGAGTAGCTCACCTTAGTTTTGTTTAGAGGGCTAGGGGTTCATGGGAGGTAGCATCAGAGAGTGGATGGCAGGTAGAGTAGCTCACCTTAGTTTTGTTTAGAGGGCTAGGGGTTCATGGGAGGTAACATCAGAGAGTGGATGGCAGGTAGAGTAGCTCACCTTAGTTTTGTTTAGAGGGCTAGGGGTTCATGGGAGGTAGCATCAGAGAGTGGATGGCAGGTAGAGTAGCTCACCTTAGTTTTGTTTAGAGGGCTAGGGGTTCATGGGAGGTAGCATCAGAGAGTGGATGGCAGGTAGAGTAGCTCACCTTAGTTTTGTTTAGAGGGCTAGGGGTTCATGGGAGGTAGCATCAGAGAGTGGATGGCAGGTAGAGTAGCTCACCTTAGTTTTGTTTAGAGGGCTAGGGGTTCATGGGAGGTAGCATCAGAGAGTGGATGGCAGGTAGAGTAGCTCACCTTAGTTTTGTTTAGAGGGCTAGGGGTTCATGGGAGGTAACATCAGAGAGTGGATGGCAGGTAGAGTAGCTCACCTTAGTTTTGTTTAGAGGCCTAGGGGTTCATGGGAGGTAGCATCAGAGAGTGGATGGCAGGTAGAGTAGCTCACCTTAGTTTTGTTTAGAGGGCTAGGGGTTCATGGGAGGTAACATCAGAGAGTGGATGGCAGGTAGAGTAGCTCACCTTAGTTTTATTTAGAGGCCTAGGGGTTCATGGGAGGTAGCATCAGAGAGTGGGTGGCAGGTAGAGTAGCTCACCTTAGTTTTGTTTAGAGGGCTAGGGGTTCATGGGAGGTAACATCAGAGAGTGGATGGCAGGTAGAGTAGCTCACCTTAGTTTTGTTTAGAGGGCTAGGGGTTCATGGGAGGTAGCATCAGAGAGTGGATGGCAGGTAGAGTAGCTCACCTTAGTTTTGTTTAGAGGGCTAGGGGTTCATGGGAGGTAGCATCAGAGAGTGGATGGCAGGTAGAGTAGCTCACCTTAGTTTTGTTTAGAGGCCTAGGGGTTCATGGGAGGTAGCATCAGAGAGTGGATGGCAGGTAGAGTAGCTCACCTTAGTTTTGTTTAGAGGGCTTGGGGTTCATGGGAGGTAACATCAGAGAGTGGATGGCAGGTAGAGTAGCTCACCTTAGTTTTGTTTAGAGGGCTAGGGGTTCATGGGAGGTAGCATCAGAGAGTGGATGGCAGGTAGAGTAGCTCACCTTAGTTTTGTTTAGAGGGCTAGGGGTTCATGGGAGGTAACATCAGAGAGTGGATGGCAGGTAGAGTAGCTCACCTTAGTTTTGTTTAGAGGGCTAGGGGAGGTAATCACCAGCTGCACAGGTTCAGCCACTCCCTAGAGAGCAGGCATGCTGTATCAGCTGACACTGTAACAAGAAGCTCATGCCATTGTTTATGTAAGAAAGCCAGTGTTTACCTTAGAAGGTTATTTAGGACAATGTGCCACAATCTGCCATTGCTATTTCAAGCTAAGAAGGTATTGTCCTATCATTAAAAGACAGTTTTAGATTTCTATACTTGGGTACATAAAGATTTAAGTGCCCTGACTTGTGTTGCTTTCTAGACAAAAAATTATCTCTTTTTTTTTCCTCATACAAGGCACTGATAGATGAAGATAAGCTTCTATCAAGGCTAGAGATGTTAGAGAATCAACTACATATATATTCTAAAGTAGGTTCTTTAAAATATTTTTATATGTAAACTTTATGTTAAGGTGGAAAACATAATTCATAAAACATTAATTACACTTTCTGTTAACAGTATTTTTATTTTTTTAAACCAATACATATTACACATTTCTGCAAAAAGTATTTTCTTTGCATATTAAAAATCTTGCAAAAAAAATTCTTAACAAAATTCACAAATAACTCTGATACTTGTATGAACAATCTGTATTTTATTTCTTTAAATTTGAAATGTAAGAACCATAGTGAAGACACATTACGACAAGAACTACAGGCATTACAAGAAGACAAGAATAAATATGAAACTACTTCCAAAGTAAGTAATGCACCTTTCCAGATTTTTATTTTATTTTATTAAACAGGTAATGTAACTCGAGATTTAAAAAAAAATTCTTTATTAATTTAATTGGAATGATTGAAATGCTGTTCCATTGACATTTTCCAGGAATCTTTACGAAGAGTCCTACAAGAGAAGCTAGAAGCTGTGACAAAACTGTCTGACCTGGAGCAGTCACTGGGCAACATGAAAGAAGAATGTACCCACCTGAAGAGCATGTGTGAGTCCTCTCATGGGGAGCTCAGTCTGCTGGCGGAGAAGTACCAGGAGCAGCTCAAAGAAATTTCTGAGCTTCAAGAAAAGTTACAGGTAACTCTCCAGTCTCTGTCTGTTGTAAGAAAGTTACAGGTAACTCTCCATTCTCTGGCTGTTGTAAGAAAGTTACAGGTAACTCTCCATTCTCTGGCTGTTGTAAGAAAGTTACAGGTAACTCTCCATTCTCTGACTGTTGTAAGAAAGTTACAGGTAACTCTACATTCTCTGGTTGTTGTAAGAAAGTTACAGGTAACTCTCCATTCTCTGTCTGTTGTAAGAAAGTTACAGGTAACTCTCCATTCTCTGGCTGTTGTAAGAAAGTTACAGGTAACTCTCCATTCTCTGTCTGTTGTAAGAAAGTTACAAGTAACTCTCCATTCTCTGGCTGTTGTAAGAAAGTTACAGGTAACTCTCCATTCTCTGGCTGTTGTAAGAAAGTTACAGGTAACTTTCCATTCTCTTGTAAGAAAGTTACAGGTAACTCTCCATTCTCTGGCTGTTGTAAGAAAGTTACAGGTAACTTTCCATTCTCTTGTAAGAAAGTTACAGGTAACTCTACATTCTCTGTCTGTTGTAAGAAAGTTACAGGTAACTCTACACTCTCTGGCTGTTGTAAGAAAGTTACAGGTAACTTTCCATTCTCTTGTAAGAAAGTTACAGGTAACTCTACATTCTCTGTCTGTTGTAAGAAAGTTACAGGTAACTCTACACTCTCTGGCTGTTGTAAGAAAGTTACAGGTAACTTTCCATTCTCTTGTAAGAAAGTTACAGGTAACTCTCCATTCTCTGTCTGTTGTAAGAAAGTTACAGGTAACTCTCCATTCTCTGGCTGTTGTAAGAAAGTTACAGGTAACTCTCCATTCTCTGGCTGTTGTAAGAAAGTTACTGGTAACTCTCCATTCTATGGCTGCTGGCTGTTTGTAGCAGCCTATGCTAGTTAGCTGGTGGGTACATTATGTAACTTGTCGTCTTACATTTGTTCAGAATGTGCCCTATGTAACTTGTCGTCTTACCTTTGTTCAGAATGTGCCCTATGTAACTTGTCATCTTACCTTTGTTCAGAAAGTGCCCTATGTAACTTGTCGTCTTACCTTTGTTCAGAATGTGCCCTATGTAACTTGTCGTCTTACCTTTGTTCAGAATGTGCCCTATGTAACTTGTCGTCTTACCTTTGTTCAGAATGTGCCCTATATAACTTGTCGTCTTACCTTTATTCAGAATGTGCCCTATGTAACTTGTCGTCTTACCTTTGTTCAGAATGTGCCCTATATAACTTGTCGTCTTACCTTTATTCAGAATGTGCCCTATGTAACTTGTTGTCTTACCTTTGTTCAGAATGTGCCCTATGTAACTTGTCGTCTTACCTTTATTCAGAATGTGCCCTATGTAACTTGTCGTCTTACCTTTGTTCAGAATGTGCCCTATATAACTTGTCGTCTTACCTTTATTCAGAATGTGCCCTATGTAACTTGTCGTCTTACCTTTATTCAGAATGTGCCCTTTGTAACTTGTCGTCTTACCTTTGTTCAGAATGTGCCCTATATAACTTGTCGTCTTACCTTTATTCAGAATGTGCCCTATGTAACTTGTCGTCTTACCTTTATTCAGAATGTGCCCTATGTAACTTGTCGTCTTACCTTTGTTCAGAATGTGCCCTATATAACTTGTCGTCTTACCTTTATTCAGAATGTGCCCTATGTAACTTGTTGTCTTACCTTTGTTCAGAATGTGCCCTATGTAACTTGTCGTCTTACCTTTATTCAGAATGTGCCCTATGTAACTTGTCGTCTTACCTTTGTTCAGAATGTGCCCTATATAACTTGTCGTCTTACCTTTATTCAGAATGTGCCCTATGTAACTTGTCGTCTTACCTTTATTCAGAATGTGCCCTATGTAACTTGTCGTCTTACCTTTGTTCAGAATGTGCCCTATATAACTTGTCGTCTTACCTTTATTCAGAATGTGCCCTATGTAACTTGTCGTCTTACCTTTATTCAGAATGTGCCCTATGTAACTTGTCGTCTTACCTTTATTCAGAATGTGCCCTATGTAACTTGTCGTCTTACCCTTGTGCAGGAAGCAGAACAAAGCCACGCGTCAGAGCTTGAGAAGTCCAGGCTGGAAAAGGCTGAGCTGTCCCAGAAGCTGGAGGAGATGGTCCAGCAGGAAACATCTCTGTCTGCTAAAGTGAGGGAAAGCTGGTCCCATCCAACACACAGTGTAGATAGAGATAACATCCAACACACACAGTGTAGATAGAGATAACATCCCACACACACAACCATTGGAGATAGAGATAACATCCCACACACACAGTGTAGATAGAGATAACATCACACACACACAACCATTGTAGATAGAGATAACATCACACACACACAGTGTAGATAGAGATAACATCCAACACACACAGTGTAGATAGAGATAACATCACACACACAGTGTAGATAGAGATAACATCACACAGCACCATTGGAGATAGAGATAACATCCCACACACAGCACCATTGGAGATAGAGATAACATCCCACACACACAACCATTGTAGATAGAGATAACATCCCACACACAGCACCATTGGAGATAGAGATAACATCCCACACACACAACCATTGTAGATAGAGATAACATCCCACACACACAACCAATGTAGATAGAGATAACATCCCACACACACAACCATTGGAGATAGAGATAACATCCCACACACACAACCATTGTAGATAGAGATAACATCCCACACACACAACCATTTAAGATCTTTAACATACCAACTTACAATTCTCTTTGTATCTGCAGATTGAATCTTTAACAGCTGACAATGACTTCACCAAGGAGCAACTAGCATCAATGAAAGGTATTTTTTCCTTGTGTAGTTACTAGATCTTTGTTTTGATTCATCTGTTGATGCTTGTTGTAAATGTCAACAAATTGTTGGCTTTAACTCCATGTTATTTTGGACTGACTCTGTGTTTGTTTGTTGTCAGCAAAACTCGAGTCCATCAAGGAGTTCAATGAAGATGACCAAAAGTTGACAGAAAATAATGGTAAGTTTTTCTCTTGTCAACTTTTCTCTGAGCATCACTTGCATGTACAACTCATTGGCTCTGGTGCAATTTCAGGCTCCTCAACAGAAGTCATTCATATTATACCCCTGGCACCACCCAAAGAAGACGATGTTCCAGAAAATCTTGAAGGTAATAAGAAAGCTTATTATCTTTCTATTCAAGTTATTTTTGTTTGCTAGTTTGTCTGTTCTAGGTGTCTAACAAATATGTCTTTTTGAAATATTTCAGTAAAACTCAAAGATCTACAGAAGTTGATAGAAACTTATAAAAGTAAGTATGCTTGATTATTTTACAAATGTAGAGAAATAAAATAACATACAAGGTCAGAATTGATGAGCTGGGCTCGGTATTTGGGTCATTCTTAGAATTCAGCACTTGTATTTGGAACATAAAAGAAACAATGCCCAGCTATTTCTCCATCCACTTTGCTCTCATGAGAAGTTAAGTGCACCCTCAAAACAGCCAGCCACAATTACCCTTGTAAAATGACCCAGTCAAAAAAGCCCAACAATAGAGGACTCCCAAAGCACCTAGGACAAGGGCTTCCAACAAAAGGGGACACTACCCCCCCCCCCCCCCATCATCTGGTCCACGCAAAAAGACTACAAGCATATTGATGTTATATGTACTGTGTGGACATCTCCCCCACACCCTGTTTACATGCACCCAGTAAAGTTGACCACAGATCCCTTTTTAATGACGTCATAACTGGATGACAATGACTCTTAAATTTCAAAATATTTCATATACAAGATAAAATAATTTTTTATTATGACCAAGGGTCATACACGTTTTTTGTTGAAACATGTTGGCTTAGTTAAATCTGAAGTAAATTGATGTAGGGGTCCTACTGTGAACTAAAATAATGGGAGTCTATTAGCTGGGAGTTGTAATAATGGGGTCCATTTGTCACTGGTCCTAGACAGGGTGGGGCTTGATTAGACAGGGTTGGTTTGTCACTGGCCGTTTTGAGTATTTCATAATAATCAAAACTTGTGTTCTATAATTAAACCTAATTAACTTTGAGGTCAAGTATTTTTTTTCCATTCATTTGCAGGTAAAATTGAAACTTCTGACACAAAATTAGTAGAAAGCAACAACAGAATTGAACAGCTTCAAAGTAAGTCAGATTGTATAGATTAGAAGATTATTGTCAGTTTAAGCAGATTAATGTTATGTTGAAATATTTGGGTCAGTTCATATTGAATCAATTTTATAATTGGGATCATCTAATGTTAATCATTTCGTCATTTGGGTCAACCCATATTGAATCATTACTGTCTTTTGAATAACATGATACCCTTGTCTTTTCCATGATCTACAGAGGATCTTGAGGTTGCTGTGTCCAACTCTAAAGAATATCTCATTAAAATCTCCCATCTAGAAGGTGAGGTTTTTTCTTGCCTAGAGTCAGCTTATAATGTTAAGTTGCTTCAATGAGTTTGATTAAGCAGCTTGTTTTTTTTTCTGTTGATCAAAAAATACTTTGTTTATTTGTGCAATCACTTGTGTGTTTATTTTGTTTAAATAGAAGCATGATTTTTTTTCTTGTCGCAAACATTTATCAACACTTAGGCCGTATATCATGCACATTTTTATATGCAATTGTATAGCCATTTAGTAATAAATAAATTCTGAATCAGTAATAATGTTTTAATAAAGCAAAAAAAAAATTTTTAAGTTTCGGGAGGCAACTAATTTTTTTAAAAAGTGGCCTTTGTTTAAAAAAATGTAAAAGTAATCAATATATTTTATGCATAAATATGTAGATATATTTTTGGTTCTGGTGCTTATATTAGTGTTAGCAGTTAATTGCAGTTTTGTTATATTTCAAGCAAAAAAAAAAAACAGATACATTTTAAATGAAAGCGTAATAATGAGAAACAGATTGTATTTCAACTTGTAGCTTTCTCATGAAATGAATGAGTAATCTGTTATAAAACTTGAAGTGGCACCAGCTGATGTCCCAAGTTGGGGCTACTCACCCACCTTTTGATTTGCTTTGTGTATTGAATGTTCACCAAGCTGCCAGACAGGAACATTTTGGTGTTGTCCCTCACCCCATGTTTGAAGAAAAATTACATAACTGCAGCCACTGAGCACTATACATTTATTGTCACTTTTGGTCTTAGTGTGGGTTATTTTAAGTTGTTTTTGGTGTGAATTAGTTATTTTTGTGTGGGTTGTTTTGTGTGGTTTTAAGTTATTTCAATGAATTTTTTTGATGTGTGATTTAAGTTGTCTTAGTGTGGTTTATTTTGTGTGTTTTTGCTTTTGGTTTGTGTTCTCTTATTTGTAGCACTTGTAATCCTGTCAACCTAAACCATTTTGAACTGGCAGTGTTAAACTTTTGTCCCTATTGTTTCGTATGCACACACAGATAAGGTAAAGCTCTCGGATTTCCACATGAATGAAATGGTTGAGAATGCTCTACATAATTTAAAATGTAAGTTGAAAAACCAATTTTAAATTGGTTTTTAATGCAATTATTGTGTATAAAGTGTTTGCCTTTTTTTTTGTTTCCTACTAAAAGCAACAATTTGAAATCATTACCTAACCCTATTTTTTAGCTGTTTAATTACTTAAAGTTTACATGATCTTCTTTAGATGTAAACGTTATGTGAACTGCATGTTAGTTTCTTGTCTTGAAATTAGGGTGAAATACAGACACCTTGTCTCAGTCAGGGCTGTGCATGAAGTTAAATTTATCAATGGTTGCTATTGTTCATCTTTAATTACATCTAGATAAAAAAAATGTTGTTTGTTTACAAATTGTACATTGTGTAAGTGTGAAACAAGAAGTTGTAATCATTGTCTTTTTTCTATGTTGTGACTTAAATCTTGTCCTAGAGAGTATTTCTAGACACATTTAAATCTTGTCCTAGAGAGTATTTCTAGACACACTTAAATCTTGTCCCAGAGAGTATTTCTAGACACACTTAAATCTTGTCCCAGAGAGTATTTCTAGACACACTTAAATCTTGTCTTAGAGAGTATTTCTAGACACACTTAAATCTTGTCCCAGAGAGTATTTCTAGACACACTTAAATCTTGTCCCTGAGAGTATTTCTAGACACACTTAAATCTTGTCCCTGAGAGTATTTCTAGACACACCTAAATCTTGTCCTAGAGAGTATTTCTAGACACACTTAAATCTTGTCCCAGAGAGTAGTTCTAGACACATTTAAATCTTGTCCCTGAGAGTATTTCTAGACACACTTAAATCTTGTCCTAGAGAGTATTTCTAGACACACCTAAATCTTGTCCTAGAGAGTATTTCTAGACACACTTAAATCTTGTCCCAGAGAGTATTTCTAGACACACTTAAATCTTGTCCTAGAGAGTATTTCTAGACACACCTAAATCTTGTCCTAGAGAGTATTTCTAGACACACTTAAATCTTGTCCCAGAGAGTATTTCTAGACACACTTAAATCTTGTCCCAGAGAGTATTTCTAGACACACTTAAATCTTGTCCCAGAGAGTATTTCTAGACACACTTAAATCTTGTCTTAGAGAGTATTTCTAGACACACTTAAATCTTGTCCCAGAGAGTATTTCTAGACACACTTAAATCTTGTCCCTGAGAGTATTTCTAGACACACTTAAATCTTGTCCCTGAGAGTATTTCTAGACACACCTAAATCTTGTCCTAGAGAGTATTTCTAGACACACTTAAATCTTGTCCCAGAGAGTAGTTCTAGACACATTTAAATCTTGTCCCTGAGAGTATTTCTAGACACACTTAAATCTTGTCCTAGAGAGTATTTCTAGACACACCTAAACCTTGTCCCAGAGAGTATTTCTAGACACACTTAAATCTTGTCCCAGAGAGTATTTCTAGACACACTTAATCTTGTCCTAGAGAGTATTTCTAGACACACCTAAATCTTGTCCTAGAGAGTATTTCTAGACACACTTAAATCTTGTCCCAGAGAGTATTTCTAGACACACTTAAATCTTGTCTTAGAGAGTATTTCTAGACACACTTACATCTTGTCCCAGAGAGTAGTTCTAGACACATTTAAATCTTGTCCCTGAGAGTAGTTCTAGACACACTTAAATCTTGTCCCAGAGAGTATTTCTAGACACACCTAAATCTTGTCCTAGAGAGTATTTCTAGACACACTTAAATCTTGTCCCAGAGAGTATTTCTAGACACACTTAAATCTTGTCCTAGAGAGTATTTCTAGACACACCTAAATCTTGTCCTAGAGAGTATTTCTAGACACACTTAAATCTTGTCCCAGAGAGTATTTCTAGACACACTTAAATCTTGTCTTAGAGAGTATTTCTAGACACACTTAAATCTTGTCCCAGAGAGTAGTTCTAGGCATACTTAAATCTTGTCCCAGAGAGTATTTCTAGACACACTTAAATCTTGTCTTAGAGAGTATTTCTAGACACACTTAAATCTTGTCCCAGAGAGTAGTTCTAGACACATTTAAATCTTGTCCCTGAGAGTAGTTCTAGACACACTTAAATCTTGTCTTAGAGAGTATTTCTAGACACACTTAAATCTTGTCCCAGAGAGTAGTTCTAGACACATTTAAATCTTGTCCCAGAGAGTAGTTCTAGACACATTTAAATCTTGTCCCTGAGAGTAGTTCTAGACACATTTAAATCTTGTCCCTGAGAGTAGTTCTAGACACACTTAAATCTTGTCTTAGAGAGTAGTTCTAGACACACTTAAATCTTGTCCCTGAGAGTAGTTCTAGACACACCTAAATCTTGTCCCTGAGAGTATTTCTAGACACATTTAAATCTTGTCCCTGAGAGTATTTCTAGACACACTTAAATCTTGTCCCTGAGAGTATTTCTAGACACACTTAAATCTTGTCCCAGAGAGTAGTTCTAGACACACTTAAATCTTGTCCCTGAGAGTAGTTCTAGACACATTTAAATCTTGTCCCTGAGAGTAGTTCTAGACACACTTAAATCTTGTCCCATATATTATTTGTATACAAACTGTTTAACTTTGTCTCAGAGAGTATTTCTATACACATTTAAATATACTCAGCAAGCCAATATGTCATTATGAATATAGTTAGGCTATGAGACCATAATATTCCATTATGCTTGAAGCAAGTTGAAAAGTTAAGTAATCAATTAAACAAAAAATTGTTTATTAAGAAAAGTTTTAAAATTTCCCTTCTACCCCTTGTAGTGCAACTGAAGGAGTCAGCAAAGCAAAGTAACAGCAGCAATGATTGGATAGAAGCTATGAAAGGTAACTCATCTTTAATACGTTCTAGCACTTCTTGCCACTTTACCATGGAACAAGAGTGTAAACATTGAGAGTTGTATTGGGCTTTAGCTCTGTTTATAAACGAACACAGGTGTTGAGATCATTTGTTTGTAACTTGGTTTATTAGAACTCTTCAACTCCACTTGTTTTTGTTACAGTGATGGTTGATTAGAACTCTTCAACTCCACTTGTTTTTGTTACAGTGATGGTTGATTAGAACTCTTCAACTCCACTTGTTTTTGTTACAGTGATGGTTGATTAGAACTCTTCAACTCCACTTGTTTTTGTTACAGTGATGGTTGATTAGAACTCTTCAACTCCACTTGTTTTTGTTACAGTGATGGTTGATTAGAACTCTTCAACTCCACTTGTTTTTGTTACAGTGATGGTTGATTAGAACTCTTCAACTCCACTTGTTTTTGTTACAGTGATGGTTTATTAGAACTCTTCAACTCCACTTGTTTTTGTTACCGTGATGGTTGATTAGAACTCTTCAACTCCACTTGTTTTTGTTACAGTGATGGTTGATTAGAACTCTTCAACTCCACTTGTTTTTGTTACAGTGATGGTTGATTAGAACTCTTCAACTCCACTTGTTTTTGTTACAGTGATGGTTGATTAGAACTCTTCAACTCCACTTGTTTTTGTTACAGTGATGGTTGATTAGAACTCTTCAACTCCACTTGTTTTTGTTACAGTGATGGTTGATTAGAACTCTTCAACTCCACTTGTTTTTGTTACAGTGATGGTTGATTAGAACTCTTCAACTCCATTTGTTTTTGTTACAGTGATGGTTGATTAGAACTCTTCAACTCCACTTGTTTTTGTTACAGTGATGGTTTATTAGAACTCTTCAACTCCACTTGTTTTTGTTACAGTGATGGTTGATTAGAACTCTTCAACTCCACTTGTTTTTGTTACAGTGATGGTTGATTAGAACTCTTCAACTCCACTTGTTTTTGTTACAGTGATGGTTGATTAGAACTCTTCAACTCCACTTGTTTTTGTTACAGTGATGGTTGATTAGAACTCTTCAACTCCACTTGTTTTTGTTACAGTGATGGTTGATTAGAACTCTTCAACTCCACTTGTTTTTGTTACAGTGATAGTTGATTAGAACTCTTCAACTCCACTTGTTTTTGTTACAGTGATGGTTGATTAGAACTCTTCAACTCCACTTGTTTTTGTTACAGTGATGGTTGATTAGAACTCCAGCTGTTTTTGTTACAGTGTTGGTATTTTTTTGTCTCCAGACCATATCCACCTGATGGAGAAGGAACTAACCCTCCACACACCAGTCAACTCTGTGGTCAACTCAACTGAAAGCTTGGATGAAATGACCAGCCAGGCTGACTCCTCAATACTCTCCTCCCCTCCCCCACCCTCCTCTAGAGCCAGTTTGTCCAACACAACACTAGTAGGCAGCCCCCCGGACCTCCTGCATGACACTGTGGTCAATGGCAGTAAAGAGGACGGTCAAGAACAAGATGCAGACACAACAGTTATGGAGGTGGTCAAGGCCCCCAGTAACAATGGTTTAACTAATCTTGATGATGATGAAGATTTAAAAGGTGTGTTATCTCCCTTAAGTTAACAATTTTTTTTTTCCCATTAATGACATTGCCTGGATTCCAAGTGTTGCCCTTGAAGCTGGTTGTCTCCCCTCTGTTTAGCTATTGAATGAACTGATCTTTTCTTTCCTACAGCATTACTAGAAGAAGCCAGACAAGCACAAGAAAAGGCTGTAATAGAACTCAGGAAATATAAAGGTACTTGCTGGCCTTTGCTAATCTTACCTGCTTCAGCTAGTCAATTGAACTGAATGAATAAGTGCTTAACTCCTTCTTTTCTAAATATTTTGGTGATCTCTCTTGTCTGTCTAGCTGAAGCCAGCGACTCTGAATTGAAGCTAAAGAAATCATCAGATGAAGTGTTTAGTCTGAGAACCCAGCTAGTCGATGCCCAGCAGCAAGCCAAGGAAAAGTCTGATCTGGTCAAAGATTTACAAGGTAAACTCAATCAGCCATCTTGATCCTCATGTTAAACATTCTTTGGTTCATGAAAAGGTAAAAACTGATTTATTAATAGGAATAATTATGCTGATTAGTCTCATAAAATGTAATTAAAATAATTCCAGAGCAAGTAAAGAAAGCGGAATCTTTCACTCAGGATGTCAAACAACAGATCTTGGACTTGAGAGGTACATTTTCTAGTCTGTTGGTGTGGGCCTCTGTGTACATTTTTCAACATTGTTAATCACACACTTAAGGCCTCATTGGTTACATTGCATGATGGCCACACGTCTCATGTAAGGCCTAGCCATGAGCTGCATGAATTACACACAGACATCATATTCACTGCTTAGTTTTCACTTCCAGCATGTCAACGCATGCTAATCATTCACTGTAACATCTAAAACATTTTTATTCGTAGTTCATTATCAAAGTTAATTCTATGATGATAAAATTCTGATGGTTTAGATGCAAGTCAGATGGCCGTACAATTTGGTTAATGGTGTTAAAAAAAATTTGACTCTTCTACCTGTGCATGTACACAAGGTGCTAGAAGCTAATGACATAATTCTTACTTTCATATTTACCATTGACATTTTGTGTACACATTATATAAGATAGTGAGAGTTTGACGTGTACACATGGTAAGTTACTGACATGACATGATATGTTTTATCAGATCGGATAATTGAGGAGCAGGACAATGCCAGGACAAATCAAGAATCAATTTTACATCTCCACCGTGAGTTCCAGCTCACCTGCTTGTGTTGGGCTGCTGCTTTATAGACTGCTACAGGCTGGCATCATTCTTAGGGAACCTTTTAAACCACTCTCTGGAGGCTTAGTGCTTTGTTCTCTTCATGATAGCCAGTCTGTTGTCTCTTTTTTCTGGTGTTGGATTACGCTTTCTTCTAAGGAAACTGATCATGATAAGCTTTTTGGTTTAACACCTGCTTGCTAACCTTAGCCCTTATGGAACTTATGCTTAGCTAGCATGCCACACGACAAGCCGTCAGTCAGTTTAAAATGCTGTCACTTCAGACTGTTTGAATGCAGTAATTGTTTTAAATATAAATACAATTAATTAAGCCAGTAAAAATTTACTAAGAATATTAAACTTGACAATGTAACATTAACATCTCAATTTGCTTGATTAAAAAATGCTTAGTTCTTTTCTTTTCCAGGCAGTGCTATACATTTAGGTAGTCACAAACTATTTAGTGCATTAGGTTAGATTAGTATTGACAAATATAGAGATGATTATTAGAGACCTAGTCCCTTATGATTGATTTCAAGGGGTTAAAAGAAACTTTTTACTTGCTTAATAATTAGTAAAAAGAATCTTGTGCTTTTGCTAGATCTAACAAAAAATACGAAAAATAATTTTTTAATTTTTTTTATGTTTAGAATGTTATAAAATTATTTTTTATTTGTGGGCTATTGTCACATAAAATACAGTAAAATCTTCATTAGAAAAAAAAAATTGAAATAATTTCGATCTAAACAATCCACGTTTAACACTTTATTAATCTTTAATTGTCAATGTTAATTCCATCCACCTCTAATTTTAATGATGGCATTAGAAGTTGCATTGAAAGGCAAGTGGTTTAATGTGGACATCAAAGTACTAATGAAATGTTTTTGTTGTTGAGATTAGTTTGGTTAAAATGAAATGATTCTTCAACAGAGCAACTGGACAATGAGAGAAGCAAGACAAAAAGTTTGGAGAAAGAACTTGAGGAGGCCAAAAGTAAGATTTTTTGTTGTTTTTTTCTCTGCGGCAAAAAATGTAATCATTTAAAATAATGAGGAAAAAAGGCTCAGTTCTTATTTTTAGAGTTCCATGTAACATAATCATTCCTTGATTTCATATCTTACATCTTTCTGTTCTCTTTTATGAAAGATTTAATTAATTATTTTTATTAATCTTTTCAATTTCTGTTGTTTATTAGTAGTTTTAATGAATTAGTGCTTGCAAGAAAGTTAAACTTTATCTCCTGAAGAAGTTATAATGTGTATTAATTATTCATGGATTATTTGTTGATTTTTTTTTCTTGAGCTTAACATTTTTATCATAACATTTACTTCAGTGCAACTGGCAACCTCTCAACAGAATGCTAAACAAAACCACAATGAAACGGAGCATTTAAAAGGTAATAACTACACTCAAGTATTGCATGTAATTGAAATAACTTTTTTAACAGGTTATAATTGTCACAAAATGTGTATTTATATTAATAAAATACTAAGCATCTATCTTTCATGAAATGTAGACCTTAAGATAGTAAACACCTCACATGTACAAAATAACATTGAAAATGAAGTTTGCTGAGGCAGTTGTTTCCCTTTTATTAACCTCCACTGTTGCTTGCATGCATTTTTATCCTTCAATTCATTTTTCAAACTAAATGTGTTTCTTTGGTTGTTTTTTTTTAATATCCTTTTTTAAATGTTTTTTTTTTTTTGCTTGTTATTTAGTAGTAGTATTAAAAATAATCTTCTTTTTAAAAAATTGCATTTTAACACCTGTTAGATACACTGAGCTGTTTTTGTTTTTTAACTAAGTCTTCATTACTTTAGCTTTTTAATCTTTGTTGCTTTTGTTCTTTTACAATTATTCAAGGCATGAATGTTTTCCATTTTGTGCACTTTCTAAGTTACATTTTTTTATGATTGGTTGGTTGTTGCAAAGTTGACCAGTTGCTGCTAGCAACTGTTTGTGTTAGCTTTTCTTTCCTGCATCTCCTGGCATGGCTTGTTTGGTGCCTTGATGTTGTCGCATGGAGATTCTCATTCCAACTTATTTCAACAAGGGTTTGTCCTTTTTATTCAGACAAGTTGAAGCACTTGCAAGAAGAATTGGATTGTGAGAAAAATCGCAGGGACTCACCAAGGCATGGTGGTCTAACAGCTAAGAGTAAAGGTAAAGCAACAGCGAGTCCATGTCCAGTCTATGAACAGTGTTGAATGCCCGTTTCAATACTTGCCCTAATTGATTTTTAATTGTGTTCTTAATGTGCTGCAGTTTTGAAGCAAATTTGATTTTAATCTCAGTAGAGAAAAAAAACAACCCTTAGTGAAGGTTTGTCAGAAAATCTGCTTCTAACACTTTCAGCTACTGAAATCAATTGTGTGCTACAGTTCTGTTTTTCTATTATTATTTAGTCTGGGAAATTTGTTTTTTTTTCATTTGGTGGATTTGTATTTCTTATATGTCCTTACAATATTTGACACCTATGTGGGGAACATTTAAAAAGTTCTCTTTCATGTGGCAACATTTCAAATTGACTGTTAGTTAATTTTTAATTGAAGTAGATTTAATTTGACATGGTTGTTGTGGGGGATTCTTTCTCTATTATTACTTTCCTTCTTAAATAAGAATAAATTAGCCGTCTCCACACATGTAGCCTACATCTGCTATGAGGACGAGATTTTACGCAATTCCGTGCATACTAATAAAAACTCAAAGATCAGCTTTGGTACACAACATTTAATTATTATACTTATGATGATGGTATATAATGGTATTAACGTCACTACACAATATACTTGTTGCCTACACCTACAGTTCAATGTTCTCTACAACTATTGTCACTACACTACTGTTTTCTGACCCTATGTCTACGTCCTTTCTCTTCAAAGGCTCAACCCACAACTGCTAGCCTCTTTAGTAATCTCTACCAGTCTAGTCTTATTTATATCTATCTACTATATGACAATGGTAATAATTGGCACTGTAAATGTGTACACTGATCTATGTTGCAAATGTATAAGTACTGCTCAGGGATGTGACTTTTCCGAATTTTAGCGGAAATCAGATTTTTCCGTTTCAGTTGCGATTTTCCTCCGCTGATTTAATTTTCGCCGAATTTTTCCGCCGAGTTCCAATTTTTGTCGATTTTTTACGAAGTTTTAAAAATTCGAAAAAAAAAACGGAAATGTCTTACTTCTACGGAAAGAGCCGACTTGCTCATTCCACTTATTCGTATTTAAATCGACAATTACTGTACTTAGGTCAAACGGACACTCGAATATGCGCATTTCTTTTCGATTGGTCGATTGCGCTAGGTCTGACGGTGCTAGATCAAGATTAAATGTAGATTAAGAATAAGATTCGGAATTTCGGCGAAATTTTCAAAGCACACGGGAAAAGGTAATCTATAATAATAGTTTCGCTGTCTGTCAAGAACGCTCTGTCTGACAAGAACGCTCTAGAGAAAACACAAGCAAAATAAAAACATGCACAGTAATTCGAAAAACGAAATATGACGTCGACACATTTAGCGTAGAGTAGAACATAATCTCAAACCAGAGAGTGCACACAGTAATATGACGTCATTGATTATCGCGTAAACATTGAAAAAAAGGAAATGTTGTCTAATCTAAATGGTTTGCGTGAAGAGTTTCTTGCATACAATTCTTCGGGTAGGGGCGAAGCCCCACCCCCCGCGTAAGAACGTCTGAGCCCCCCCCCCCCCCCCCTCCCCAACTCAAAAGAAATTTCCTCATCGATACTCTATAATAAAATTACAGCCTAATTAATGTGTCTAATCTAAAAAGTGGTTTTCTTGCAATGGGAAGGTAGACATGTTTTTTTTGGGGGGGTTGGGGGGGGGAGGGGTGGAGGGGTGGGGGGGGGGGTGGTGTGTGGGGGGGGTGGGGGGTGGTGTGTGGGGGGGGTGGGTTGGTTTCAGTGTTTCTTTCAGACTTTTTCCTCCCCGGAGAGGGGTGGGGGTACTTGAAATTTTCGGGGGCGGGGGTAGAATATTCTGGGAGGGGGCGGACACTGGAAAAAGTATATAATTATATTTCGTTGAATGGGACGGTAGACATGTTTTTTTTGGGGGGGGTGGGGGGTGGGGGGGCGGTGTGTGGAGGGGGTGGTGTGTGGGGGTGAGGGGTTGGGGTGGGGGTGGTGTGTGGTGGGGGGTGGGGGTGGTGTGTGGGGGTGGGGGGTGGGGTGGGGGTGGTGTGTGGGGGTGGGTTGGTTTTAGTTTAGAGAAAAGAGACAGCACTATCAGCCTAGCGCCCGTTGTACCCTTCCTCAACGGGCCATTTATCTAGTCTAAAATAATGCAGTTATTCAAATGAAACTTACATCTCTTAAGCCTGCTAATCTAGCTATCGATATAGCCTAATTTACTTATCGGTATTTTAACCCGCCTAAATCTAGAGTTTCTCTCTGATTTTATTTTATTTCGCAATCTCAAATGAATATTGAAATCCTTGCAAAAGGTGACTATGAGGACTAGACTATTTTTAATAAGGGGTCTTCCATTAATAACGTCACACTGGTAAGATAGTGTAACGTCATATTTTTGTATTTTAAAAAAAGTAATGTTAGAAACAACTGCATTTTAGCCGCTATTAGAAAACTGTTGTAAAATATTGTAATAGAAATTGAATAAAATACCCTATGTTGGTTGACCTCAGTCAATATTTTAGAAAAAATCGATGTTTAAAAAAAAAATTTCGAGGAGGGGGGAGCATTTGTTGGCTGAGGTGTGACGTCATTATAGGGTGGGGGGAGTCTGGCTTTTGTAGGAGAGAGGGGAGGTAAATATCGTCAAAAAAAAACGTGGATGACTCCTAACAATTTACAGCTATTCCAAAATACATAAATATCGATGTGGCTTGGCTATCATAATGATTAACTTTGGTTCACACGTCAGACCCTTTCTAATTTTAGCTAACCTGGTCCATTGCATTTTTGCATCATATGAACCTAAAACTCAACTTGTAACTAATCTTAATCTAGGATCTTTACAGTTGAAGACAAATATTTTTACCAATCCAATCTTTAAAAGAATGGCATTAGGTCCCCTATTTAAAAATTGAAAACAGGAGTACATCTAGAATCTACACTAGATTAGTACAGTTTAAATTAGCTTAATGGTAAAATAAAACTTAATTGCTACTTTAGTTACATTGTAATTTTTATAAGGTAAACATTAAATTGCAATTAGACAAGACTTTCAGTGTTTTTTTAGAGTAACATAAACTTCTTGTATTTAAAATATTAACTTCATTGAACAATTAATTAGTACAGTAACAGCATGAAGCTCCTTAACTGCGATAAAAAGTAGATAAACATATTGAGATATTATCCGAAGAAAATTTCCTAATTTTTTTTCCTGGTCTGGTCACATCCCTGACTGCTGTTTGTTGTCAATACAAGTACATCTGGTTGTTTCACCTCCATTAATTGGTCATGTGGTGTACCAATCATGAATCTAAATAAATCTGAAATCCTCAAATATTCTGGCCCTTACTTAAAAACAGGGAAAGTCATAAATTAGCTCCCTTTGTCCAACAAAATCCTCTAGCAATTGTAGTTTCCCATGTCACAAGGCCCAGCATGAGTGTTAGTTGCCTCATACAGGAAAGTAAACATTTCATTTAGGTGAGCACCATATAAATGCTACCATTTTGTGCAGGATACTAACCAATAGAATTTTTTGTATCAACTCACTTTTTAACATTTGACAAAAATTATATGTTTTGAGTTCTCTCACTTTTTAATATTTGACAAAATTATCTGTGTTTTGAGCTATTTTTCACTTTTTACTGCAGCTTTACTCAGTTCAATGTTACTAAAGATTTGGGTACTTACTGTTGTACACCTTGTGTAGAATTAGTTGAACATTGGTTGACTTTCTATTCTCAGTGCTACACCATTGTACTGTTTGTCAAAGAGATTCTTTACATTCACAGAATACCAAGCACTGAAAGAGGAATGTGCCAATTTACGTAAACGAATCCAAGCTATTGAGGCAGAAATGAAAATGTAAGTTTAATAAAAATTACCCCCCAAGAAAATCATGATGGTTGATAGTTACTGTTGCTCACTGTATATTTATTTTCTCCTGTAGGTCTCGCAAGGAAAACCTTCACCTGTCCTCAGAGTATAACAAGCTCCAAGAATCTTATAAGCACTTGGAGTCCCTGAAACTGAAGCTGGAGACCAGTGAGGTATCTTGGAAGTGTAACCTGACTGATGCACAGAAGGATGCACATAATGTTCGCCAGGAGGTACGGGCTGTATCTTCAACTACGTCAACTGCGTCGACCTCAACGCGAAGTTCAAGCGACTTGGATTCTGGGCTGCCTCTGTCTCCACCCTCCTCCAATCTGTCACTCCTCTCTCCAGGCCAGATTTCATCAAAAGAGACGATGATAGCATCCTCTTCCCTTTCAGACCACACTCAAGTTTCGGATGTTTCATCTTTTCATCAGGGAGAAGCTGGGCCATTTTCTTCCTCAATGGCCTCCTCAGGATCCCTGATGAGAGGTCCCCTAGGCCCTCCCTCTCCCTCAGTCTCCTCCTCTCTTCTCAGCTCTCAGGTAGCTAAGGATTTGGTTTGGCCTTTGTGTTGTTTGATCAGTTCAACTTCTTTTGTTTTGTTCCATTCTTTTCACTTTGAATTATTCTTGAGTTTATGCACTAGATTCAGTACAGAAGTTGCTTTTTTTATGTTATATCTTAATATGTTCATTTCATTACCAAAACATATCTTGCACTGTTGTTTTGATAATCTTTTTCTTTAGAAAAATGTTGGTTTAAACTTTTAAAAATCAGAATAAAATGTTCACTTGTTTTAGCACTGGTTATTATTAAATAACTTAAAGATTCGTATCCAAATCTAATGAAAATTATTAGGAATTTCATTTGTATTAAACTAAAACCTAATTTTTAGTTAACTGATTTATGTGTAGTTTGTTTTAAAATGATTAAATAAATCTCTTAAAGTGCTAGACAGTAATGCTTGAATCATTAAGACTGACATGGGTCTATAGAATTACTATAAAACTACTGGTAGTTGCTTGTGGTTGTTAACATGTATCTATCTGTACAGTTGGAGGATGCTAGACAAGAATTGATACAACTGAGAAGTGCGTGTGAGGAGAAGTCAACTTTAATAGGCAGCTTACAAAAACAGATTACAGATATGACCAGTGAATATCAAGCACTTCAGAATCAAGCGCGGAGGGTAAGTGTGTGTGTTAAAAACTCGTATGCATAAGTTTAAAGATTGGATGTTGTAATGAAGCTCTACATTTTTGTTTTTCAGATTTCCCTTGGGTCAAGTATCCCGCTTCTCATGCTGCTTTTTGCCATCCTGATGATCATTTACCCAACACTGGAGGCCATCACATCTTCTTTATCATAGCACTTTGTTCCCCTTGTAGGTGTACAGTATAACAACTCTTGCTTTGTAATATACATCTGATGGAATGCAACTTTCTCTAGACTTGAGGACTTAGACTGTAAGATGACACAGTGAACTCTGTGGGTGGTCACATCTCCTGCATTTATTCAAAACATTTGTTAACAGAGGAAGCTGTGCTGTATGAGTGGCGGTGGTCAGTGGTGATTTAAGCTTCCTTGTTTTTTTTGTGATAAAATTGTGTATTACTACAATCAGTGGGTTTTTTAAAAGCAGATATCATCTTTTCCGCACGCACCAAAATTGTTAAATGCTTCCATTATTTCCAAACAAAGGATATAGAATTAACAGTCACATGAAATGTTAGCAATAAAAATCTTTTGTTGATGAAAGGGCCTGTATGTATATTTTGATCCTACAAAAACCCGTCTCATGTGTGATAGGACCAGTTATGTACATAATAGCAGCCTGTCAGTGTTGAGAGCTTGGTCATACGTGGAGCATGGTCATATGTACAGCATTATTTGCCGTTGGAATTTGTCTTGGCTTACATTTATTTTCAATATAATGATGAATCACATAAAAGTCATCTTTATAAAACATTAAAAAACCTACCTAGCTGTAGTGATAAAACTTGAATGAGGGGGAGACAGAACAAAAAGCTTAATCTGTCGCCATACATCTAAGAGCTTAGTCAGTCATTCTTTTATAATTTGATGCTGCACTAATTGCTTAGAGTAGAGTGAAATGAGACTAGGTTCATTTTCAGTTTTGGTCGTTTAAAGGATGGAGGGCAATTTTAATAACCTTATTAGTGTTGCTTTTATTTATTCTGTTCATTTATATAAAGACTAAATGGTGTAAAGAGGATATGGAGTGTATGTTAGTGTGGAATGATCGCTATCTTTTATGTCTAAGTTAAACCATTATGTAGTATACACGTATTGCCACATCTGTACATAACACTCCTTGTGTTCTTTTCATCAATTTAAAGCTAAGTGCAAACTAAACGAAAGCTTAGGGACCAACATATTGTCCTACAAAATAAAATAGATCAGACGGAGGCCTCGCATGCTACTAGTGTCTGCAATATTCAATAAACATTTTGATTACTCAAATTATTGTTAAATAAAATTGCTTATTGGATAGATTCTTGCACAATTATTTAACACTACTGCAACTAAAATCATATTGTCTTTAGAATGACCTAGCTTTCATTGTGTTTGACATTTTATTCAATATGCCAGTGATACATTGTCATTTCCCAAAGTTATTTATAAAATATGAAAACTAAAAATGTTTGAAATAAATCTCAAGAAATACAAGATATCTAATACTTCTCCCTTAACTGTGGGGGATTAAAAACAGTCAACACTCATGAGATTGTCTCCTACAAGCATAGTTTTCTTATGTAACATATAGTTTGTATGAGGCTTAGGGCAGCCTAGATTCTCCATGTGTTAAATTTGGTGCTGATTTTAATAAGTGTGCATTTTACCTCTTTTTCTCTGTACTAGTAAGTAAATTTATACAAATTTGAGACAGCAGTAATTGCTGCTTAGAAAAGCTTGTGAATTCAATTAGATTATTTAATCTGATTAAATACTGCCAATGTGTAGTACATGATCAGAACAACTGTTTGTAAAGTTATTGTTTTAACTATCTTGGTTTTATTTTACATCACTTTTGCTTTCATTCACATTTTTTAAAATTATTTGATCCTACTGAAATGCAAAGAATTGTTAGTTTTAACTTTGTCCAGCCAACCTTTCAGCACTGGCTGTTGTGTCACTGAAACATGTGTTTGGACCTGAGATACTGGTTAATAATTGAGAAGTTAAGATGATGAGGGGTTATTTTGTATGTTGATTGTCTTGTAGAAAGAAAATGGATATATCTATCTAGGTTGTCATGCTGCTTCTGGTGAAGAATTTGTAGCTTTTTTGTTTTTTTTCTTTCCAAACTGGCTGTTTGAAATGTTACCAGACTTGATTTGGTAAAAAAACTTATGGCAAAACTACTTAGCTAAATATGCCGTCTTTCCTTAAGTGAACTTTTGACTTTTTCGAATTTCTTTAGCTGTGTAGTAGATAAAATTGTGATCAAGATTCTGCTCACCAGGTAGCATGAAACAAGAGGGTTGCCTTTCGTTATTATCCTTAAGGAAGGACAAGGCAAACGTGTTATATATTTGTCTTAACAGCTTTTCATAAAAGCTTTGATCAGAACTTCAGAATCAAATGCCCATAGTTAAATGAAGTTATGTAGATTACTTGTATCTAGGTAAAAAAAAATGTGTAAATATGGAGAAAATCATGATTCACTATTAAAGTATGAAATGTTTGTATTTAATTCCATTTTATTTAGTTGTGTATAATCATATGTAGATAATCAAATTTTGCCAGTTCATTATCAAGTTGATCTGATTTTGAAAATAAAAACTTTTTGACATACACTACACAGTTTCATTTTTCATACACAATATTTTATTTACACAAATGTTTGATTAATGAAGTGACTATTTTAGTCAACTGGTCCATTATAATCCATTCTTCGAAACTTGTCCAAATTATAAAAACATGCTTTAACCACACGTCCACCAAAGAACCTGCCATTCAAGTCCACTAAAGCTGTTTAGAGCAGAAATTTTTTTAAAATTTATAAATGAATAGATCAAATCTATAGACCACTAAGATAAATAAAATTAATCACAAGAAATATGAAAATGAGAGTACCTTTAATTGCAGACTCCATTCTTTCAAACTCCACAAATATTCTTACACTCTCTTCTTCAGGATTTTCAGGGATCTTCAAAAACAAAGTTTTAACACATGATTCTTAACTTTCTAAGGTTTTCCAAAAAGATTATTTTAAATATTCTTATAGCAGTAAAGGTTTACCTCAAATATTACACATTTATTGACTTTTCCGTATTTAGTACATTCTTCAGCTGTTTCAGGCTCCAGTTCTTCATCTACTTCACCAGGCCCAACCATGTTCTGAAGCAGAGTTATAATACTTATGCTTGCATGTGCATTAACAAAATAAATTCAACACAATAACAATTTAGGTTATTATGTGATCACCCTGTAGCTTAACCAAAAGCATCTAAATTATAATTAACACAAACACTACCTGAAGTAAAATGACCTTTGAGGGATTCTTCATCAAGTTTGTATTTGAAGGTGGGGGCTCTGAAAAATGACAGTTTAAAGATATAATGTTAATTTGCTAACTTTTACATATTATCATATCAAATGTTTAAGTAGTTTAACTCTTTAAGAACTCATAAAAATCAATACTTATCATTAATTTTCCCAAAACAAGCATACCCCCTTCTAAACACTATTATTCTTCTTCAAAACTAACTTAATATTTATCTTCAATAAATAAATAATTAGTTAAAATTGATATCAGTGTTAGGGCAGTAATTATGATCTATGAACAAGATTTTAAATCAACAGTTAAGAAGATTTGTTTTGCAGCATAAGAACAGGAAAAAAATTATTCCGTAAAACATACAATAATTATGGGCTTAAACCGTCAATGAAAATATTCTTCACTAAGTAAATGTATGGTTTAGTTACATTTATAAAACTGGCATTAAACAGAGAAAGCCTTCTTCACTACACCCAACTTACCTTTAGGGATATCTTTCTCATGAATAATTTTTCCACCTCTTTTACTTGTCTTTTCTACATATAAAGCTGTACTCATTCCTTGTTCTGATTTACCCAGACCTTGCCCTTCTTTGTAACCATACTTTGCCATAATTTTTGAGGCTACAGATCCCCTGAAATTAATTCATACAAAATGGCGGTTCAAACATCAAGAAAGTTTGATACATAAAATATAATAGCTGACAGGTACTTACATCATGGCCATGCCCATGTTTGGTGATTTTGGACGTTCAATCACTGAAATTAACAAATAATAAGACAATAAGCAAAAACTGCATAAGTTGAATATTAGATACAGCTAGCAAAAATAGCTAATTTTCTATGCTTAGAACCATTAAGTAGCAGCTATCTCTTAAAGTTTTAGAATCTTACAATCAGGATTAACAGGTGGCTCCTCCAACAATGCGGTTGGTGGCGCTATGGCAGCTCCAGCTCCTAGATACAAAATTTACAGTTAGAATGTGGAAATTAAGTTCCCTGGATAATAGGTACAGCAACTTACAAAAGTAAAGTTCTTAGAGACAGCATGAAAAATCTTAATGCATTAAAAAATATTTTTTAAATGTCACGCACTTTAAAATATTTTGTGTTTTATAAAATAACTACACCAGTACAACAGAAAGTTTATAGAGAATAAAACATCTTTAAAATGAACTATATACGTTTGGAACGATCAATCTCCTCTTCCTCATCTTCAGCAGCTCTTCTTTTTCTCATCTTCTCAAACTCTGTTTCCTCCTCTTCTTCCATGCGTCGCTCTTGCCTTCGTCTATTTTTATAGATAAAAACAATTTATAGAGGAAAAAATTTCAACACCTTATTGTGTTAATGACCATGAAGATAAGAATTTGTTTAGAACAAGTTTGTTTTTAACTAATACATTTGAGTAATAATCTATAATTACAAATACAAAGCAATGAAAAATTTAAATTTAAGATTAAAATTTAATTTAAGATTTAAACCAGAGTTAAAACTGTTTATTAAGCAATCTCATATACTTATGAAATCAAACCTTTCTCTTTCCCTCTCTCTTTCTTCTCGTCTGTCTCTCTCTCGCTCTTGCCTATCTCTCCTATCTTCTCTTCTTCTGTCTTTCTCCCTTTCTTTTTCTTTGTCTTCTTTCATCCTTTTAACAACCTCATCATATTCATTAGGTCGGAATGGGTCATATTCATCAGCAACACCAGTTATAGAAGGTGTTGGTTCCATTTGTATGAATGGGGAAGTTGAGGAAGGGGTAATAGGTGCAACAGCAATGGAAGCTTGTGGCTGAATAGGTGGTGGGTTAACTCTCTCAAGCTTTATCAAAGATAAATTGATAAGTATAAGGATGAAGTATTGTTAATTGTTTTATATTGCTTCTATGAATATGATGCATAATTTATTAGCTTGCTTTAATCAATAGTGTCATGAGGTGGATGGGTGTGGTCTGCACAAAGTGACACCATTTAAGTGGTGTATTAACAAAATAGTTTTATTCAGCTAAAAGGATAAAATGGGAGGAGGGTGACACGAAAGTGAAAGTGCAAAGAATGAAGTGTTGGGGTTGCATAATGCCCAATCTAATGATGCGTTTAATAGTATTTTCATTTTTTGCTGAACTAAAGCTTCAAGGACATAGGAAACATTTTTAATGTTACCCACCTTTCCTGTTTGCATATTGAATTGCATTGGGCTATCAGGGTCAACATGTTTCTTGAGATCAACTACAGGTGCCAGGTGGCTTGTTCTGTTTCTCTAAATGAAGGGAAGAAAAACATTTTTTACAATCTATAATTTACAAAAATTGTTCACTTAGTAAAAGTTGTATTAGCTAGTTTTCACCAAGACAATTAGCTGTTTCTCATTTGTAAAAAATATATGAATGCATGATGAACTTAGCTTTACCTTTGGTTGTAAAGTTGTTGCCTTTTTAGCTTGCAGGGTTGATTGCAACAATTTGTAGCCTGGTGACCAACCAGCTAACAATAAGATAGAGTAATGTTATTAGCAGTTATATATTTAACAAAATGTTAGATAAAATAGAATGTGGAAAATCATGTTTCTCTTTTCTGATCTCCACTTTCTTGCACAATTATTTTTAAAAAATTTCTTGTCTGAATGAATACATTTATTTAGAATTTATTAAGTCTCCCAGTACTAACAAATTATACTGAATTACATAATAATTTTACCACTACAACAAAAGAGTGATTATTTACTCACAAACTACAGAGGATTTGGTAATTTTACCACTCCCAGCATCCTCTTTGATATCCAGATCATCATACAGTGACATGATTTATAGAAATTATTTTTGTTTTAACCAGTCAAAAATATTTTCAACTCATTCTGAAACATGGAAATTGAGTTTTAAGCTTATTAATTCAAAAAAATTATCTTATTTACTTCTAGTAGCTTACACTATATTCTATTCAAACTTTAGCCAACATTAACCATTGGGCAGCTATCACTATAAATATACACATGATAACATTGCTTCCAGGTAACTAGACCCTACTAGAGTGAGTACCTGACTGTTAGAAATAGTTACCAAGATGCTGCCTATGAGAACCTCAAAGTTAAATAAAACAAGTAAAAAAAATATTTATAATCATAAGATTTTAATAAAATACTGTACAGATACACAATATGTAAGCTTAGTATATTTATTACTTAAATTCAGATGATTAATAATTTTAATTGATCTGACTGCTCCACTGATAAACATATTTGCCTTTGAGCCTGATCAGTAAGTTTAAAAACATTTATCTGCCCATAGTGGAGTTAGTAATTGGTCCTCAAGTATAAAACCATCAGAGAATACAGCTAACTCACCCGACAGGTCGAGTATTGTTATTAACAACTTTTGTTATCTCCCCTTTTATTATTGAATATCATCACCTTTTCTCATTGGTGCCCGAGACACCTAAGTATACAGGGGGATTGTATGGTCAGCACTATGCTTAATCGCCTTTGTTTCCCTAATGTGAGTCAGGTACCCATCAGAGCTAGGTGGACACAGGGACATCGTACTAGCACTAAAAATATTAATTAAAAATTTAAATATTTTTATTAATGCTAATGCTAACTGTAGTATATTACTGTATAATGAAATTGTTATTACAATGAAATAGCTTTTGGATGATTATAGAATTTTTTATAGGCTAGATACAGGTGTCCGATAATGGAATCTTCTTTTAAAAAGGGGTGTTGGGTTGTTATTGTTAGTAGTGTAGTATTGTAATCTCGACTAATCTTATTGTTAGAAATTAGGGTTAGGCCTATGGTAGGACCAGGGTTGGGGGTTAGGGACAGGGTTAGCATTGAATAATAATTTAATATTAATAATTTTAATAATTTAATAACATAATTTAGGGTAAAGGAGGGCGTTAAGAGCCGTGTGGTATTAAGCCCCAATCAACACCCCACCCCCACAAAACCCCCAATAACACTGCTAATCTACTTCTGAGGTAACAACCACTGCTGTTCTTTGATAACAGAGAAACAGAGGATTCATTTTATGTAATTTATGACCCACTTGGTCCAATAGGGAGAGGATGAGACAGGATTGAATCCCACTGCTCTTTCCCTAAAATTTCTCATCTCCATAAAACCATTTTGTGAACTTTTTTTCCAAATAGACATATCTTGGGAAACTTCACTTTGTAATAAACCAAATAAGTTTTTCAAGCCCATTCTTTGTTTCTATATTAGAGCATTGGTTGTTGTACATTTTAACACTATTTTTATAGCTATGGCTAGAATAGTTTTATTTTGGTGAATTTTTTTTGCACAGTGATTATTGGTGCCAAAACAAAATGGCAGACATTTGTCCCATTTTACCATGCTATAAAGTTTTTATCATTATCAGAGTAAAACTTGACTGATCATTACCATAATGGTTTTATTTGTTAGATAATAACTAAATCTTCATGAATACATTAATTTTGTTCACTAGCTTGCCTGTTTAGAAAAGTTATAAGAGATACTATTATGTGGCTCTTGAAACCCTATGTGCGAGTTTCTCATTTATTAGACCACTGAATATGACACTGGTATACGAATAGTTAACACAAAATGTATTAATTGTTAAACAGACTTGTGTCTAAATGATAGAAATACAATTCTAACCTGCTAAAAAGTAAAAATTCAGCCATCTGATGTTAGCAATGTAATTTTTAAAATGGTACTTGTACTTATTACCCCTAAGGGGCAATACAGCCGACTCAGCCCCCACCTGTTTCTAACCAACCATAAAACTTCAAATCTCTTTGTAGGTAACAGGAATAAATGTTCTTAGGTCTCAGCCAATCTGGGGTGGTATGTTATGTAATTTATGACCCTCATGGTCCAGCAGGGAAGTAAACAGACACATTAATACCACTGCTCCCCCCTTACAATTTCTTACCCCCATGATACCCAGCCCCCACCAGTTTCTGGCCCACCATTAAACTTCATCTCTTTGTAGGTAACATGGATTACAGTTACAGATCTCAGACAATCTGGGGTGGCATGTTATGTAATATATGACCTTCATGGTCTAGCAGGGTGGAGACCAAAGAGGAATGAGTACCACTGCTCTCCCCTCACAATTTCTCACCTCCATGATAGTCAAACCCCACCTGTATCTAACCCACCATAAAACTTCATCTCTTTGTAGGTAACATGGACTAAGTTCTTAGATCTCAGCCAACCAGAGATAGCATATCCTTAAGTAATGTATGGCCCTCAGGGTCCAGCAAGGAGAAAAAAGGGAAAACCAGTACCACTGCTCTCCCCTCACAATTTCTCACCCCCATGATACCCAGCCCCCACCTGTATCTAACCCACCATAACACTTATCTCTTTGTAGGTAGCATGGACTTAGTTCTTAGATCTCAGCCAACCAGAGATAGCATCTCCTTATGTAATTTATGGCCCTCAGGGTCCAGCAAGGAGAACAAAGGGGAAACCAGTACCACTGCTCTCCCCTCAACATTTCTCACCTCCATGTCATGTTATGTAATGTATAGCACACATGGCTTATCAGGGGAAAGCATTAAGGCAGATTAGTTAGTACCACCCCTTTTTACATACAAGAATGTTAACTCTGGACAGCTACACACTAGTATACTAGCTACACACTAGGCATACTAACGTGCCTACTGTAAACTACTAGACTTTAGGCCCTATGTACACCTGCAATTGTATCAATTGTAGACTGGGCCCATTGGGGTCTAGTGATAGCTAGTATCAGTTAAAGTGTGTGTACACAGCATTAACTATTTTGGGGTTAGAAATTAATTATTTTTATTGCGGAGTTAGTCTAAACTAGGAGATAATACTTATTGCCCCACTGCCCGGCTCCTTTCACCCCAAATGCTGATTTTGGGGGTATGACAATAAATGTTCAATTAAACCCATTTAAAGTATATTTAATAGACTTTGTTATTATTTTTATATTGTGTAAGATATGTTAGAATAATTTTGCCATATTTTCAATACTAAAAAATTCTTAGATTAGTAGAAATCTTTAAAAATGTACAGGTGCTAAAAAGTGTGGCTCTTAACGCCCTCCTTTACCCTATAAATTTTTAACGAACCAATATAAAATCTAATAATTTAAAATATGAGTAGGAAGTGGCTAAAAGGAAAAGGAACTAGACCTAGATCTCGATAGATTGTATCTAGATCTAATTAAACGTTAAGTATCTCCAAATAAATGTGTGATCTATTAAAAAATCTTATATTTTTATACAATCACACCTTTCTGTCTTTTCAATTGTAGTTTTAACTTAATATAAACAGGAAGTTGAATATAGGCTAGATGTAAAACTAGACTAGGTCATTAGCAAAGGGTCTATTAAAATATGGACCTTTTTTTGCTATTATAGATTTTTAAAATTAATGCTAATAATTGACTTATTTTATGTTATTATATACCGATCTACTATTAAACTAAATCGTCTTCAGCAAATACAAAATGAATTCCAGAAAAAGTAAAGATATTTTAATTTTATATCACACTAAAAAAATATATTATATTTTATACAATTCTTTACCCACATTTATGTGTCCCATGTGGTCTAGTGGTTAGGATTCCTGGCTTTCACCCAGGCGGCCCGGGTTCGATTCCCGGCATGGGAACTCTTTTTTTTTATCCCCCCCCCTTATGTATTTAATTTTTATTTTAAATGTTCTACTTCAACTTTAAGGAGACCTGATTTTTAAGAAAAGAAATACTGAACATTTTTAGGGTTACGAAATTATATTGAAGCCACTGATAAACAAGGAGCTGCAGCTACACCATACTGCTATCTTTTTCCAGGAATGCTTAGCCTAAGTTTCTTTTACCCTTTTACTATTTTTTTTTAACCTTAATCAAAATTTGGTGTGTGACTGAAAATATTTTCGTGTGGAGTTACTAATACCATTACTATTTTAGTATTAACACAATATGGTTTTATATATATATATATATATATATATATATATATATATATATATATATATATATATATATATATATATATATATATATATATATATATATACAGGGTTCATGCTCAAAAGTTCAAATAAAATTCCAGGAGTTTTCCAGGACTTTTCCAGGAGTTTAAAAAAAAATTCAAGGAGATTTTAAAAACAAAAAAGAAACCCTATTTGTACATTTTTTTAAAAAGCGTACTTAATAATACATTTAATTAGCTAAGCCAAAGCAAAAATTTAATTTCAGTAAAAGTAAAACAATATATTTGTTACATATTAGGATAGAGGCTATCAATCTGACTACAGACCAGTTTGAATTTTCAAAATCTGACCATAAACAAAAAAGTTATGATTTTTTTTTTGTCATTAAAAAAACAGCAGTTTTTTTAAAGAACCTGGATAGACCCTGAAAGAGGATAAATACTGGGAGGGTATGGACCAAATTTTAAAGAGTTTTTCACTATACAAGTATTAAAAGAGGTATAAATGCAAGCAGACTTCACCAATTAATATCATTTCGTGATATTTTATTGATTTGTGGATGCCAAATCCAATGATGCTAGGCTAGTCGGCCAACCCGATGAACGTGTGAGATGAATATTATGTAATTTCAGAGACAAAAGTCTGGCAAGATTTCTTCATCTATGCCCAAGGATTAGTAACATCAACTCCACAAAGTGAAGGGGGAAGGGAGGTGGGGTATGAAACCACCGTACGAGTGTTACACAACATCAAAGGCGACGATCGTCGGGCTTGTCGCGTCACGGCACGGAGTAGTGGGGGCGGGTTGAGGCTATGGATGTTACGTTGGGTGTTACATACCGTGTAGGATGGTCAGTGTCTTCCCCCACCCACCCCAGCCCGTTTTGGTCGATTTGGCAAGCTAGTATTAAGCGTATTAACATTTTTAGTCAACCGAAAAAAAGAGCCACTGGAAAAATTTAGTTTATTTTCTATAGCCATTTTTACGAAAATTTAATGTATAAAATAAAATAATGAAACGTTACGCGAATCATCATTGTTTGATCGGGTCGCAGCTTTCCGGGTTTTCTAAAGAAGATTAATTTTGACGATTAGTCCTGAGCCGTAAATACTACTACAACTTGTTTTTGCTGTTTCAATAGTTTAAGACAAAGTTATGAAACATGCCTGTCTACTTTAAAAATCCAATAGCCGACAAGTCAAACACGGGAACACATGTAGGCCTATCTATCTTTAGAAATTGTTTATAGTATCATCCAATCTGGTCAATCGCCTAGCGTCACGTGACCACACACTCGGCTGTGCCACACGATGTGTAGATCACGGCAGTGCGATTCATTCGGACGACGGCCGATGCGTTTATTTTTATTTTCGTCCCATTTAAAAACTACTATTCAATTGTTGGCGGAACAAACTCAAATAATTTCGGTCGGGTTTTGCGCCGCGGGTTAATAAAATTTCATGCGATTTCAGGAAAAATTTAAAAATTTCAGGAGAATTCCAGGAGGTTTTTATATTTTTTCAAATTCCAGGAGAATTCCAGGAGATTTTTACGTTTTTTAAGATTCCAGGAGTTTTCCAGGACCTCCTGGAATTTCAGGAGGCCGCACGAACCCTGTATATATATATATATATATATATATATATATATATATACATTTATATAGCCATCTACTATGTTCATTAAGGGATATAATTAAGCATTTATCTGTTGTAAAACATCTTTCCTACAAATGCTTTAACTAATTTAAAACAAATGTCCCAACAAATAGTATTAGACCATCACTACATACTGACATGTTGAAACATTGGTTAGGGGAGGGTTAATCTAAACAGCACTAACAACAAGAAATATATTTTGTCTTTTATTACAAAATAATCAATAGGTAGATCTGCTATGTTCATGAAAGTAAACAATAAACATGCTGCCAGACATATTGATACAAATACAGGGAAATAATCAGAATACAGGGGAGATAAACAATGGATCAGATGCTTTTTAATTATAATATACACAACTTACATTCAAACATGCTCTTTTCTTACAAGAGAAAAATATCTATTTCTAATATACAGAAATTTCTTAAATTTAAAATAGCTTAACTTTAAATTTAAATGAGTAGTATAGTCATATGCTGTGTAGGTCATATAAAACACGTGAGATACTATTTTATTTTCTACTTTATCATGATTATGATGGCCTTTCTATTTTAGACATAGGGAAACTAGACACCAACACAACAGTTTGAAAGCTGATCATCATCAATCAGAATAAACACTTGTCTAACAACATTAGAATATTTCTATTAGAACAGAAATCTTTCTCATGGATATACATCCAGAGGAATATTTACAGCTGATATATAAAATTTCATAGAGAAAATTTAAATGAGAAAAAGTAAATCATTCAAGAAATCGAGATGGTATTTTCTGAACTCTAGCAGGGCGACTGCCACTTCTGGAAGGTGTAAGATTATCTGCTGGTACATTATGTGGCTTATGGGAGACTTTTGGAGTAGACACTTTAGATTTGGTTGAGTTATTCATCTTGGTGTCTTCAGTGATTTTCCTTTTTGATGCAGATTTTGGAGTGGATTTACTCTGTGTCTTAGAACTTGAGACAGGTTTTTCTGTATCATCCATGGAATCTGTATTATCCTGCCTGATGTCCTCCGCTTCCATTTTAACTTCATGATCTTGTGACTTCCCTTGCTCTTGTTTATTTTTAGCATTAGTCTTCTTGGCACTATCTTCAATGTCACCATGTGAGTCTAAATGCTTCATCAGCAGATCAAAGTCAATAAATTTACGCCTACAGGACAGACATGCATAGCCTCCTGCAGTTTTCTTGTATCTTGAATCCTTGACATCTTCAACATTTGCTTCATCATCAAAAATATCATCCTTGCAAACCTCTACCTTTTTCTTCCTTACTGAGGTTGGCTGAAAAATGGTTATAGTTTTTTCTTTCTCTTCTTTATCTGATACATTCTGCACTGGCTGCTTAACATTATCATTCTCTTGTACAAAAGATTCATCAAGAAAGGTTATGCTGCCACTTTTGTCAACAGAGACAATATTGTCGTGCTTACGAATATGGACCATTAGATTGTGCTTCAGGCTTGCCACCTTGTTGCAGATTTTACATTTGTAACCTTTTCCTTCTGGAAGCCGCATCATCACTTTACATTCCTCAGCACATTTCTTTTCATGATTCATTTTGATGACAAGCCTGTCAAATGGAGCCCCACAAATGGAACATGGAAAGTTTTGTACTTCTGAGAAAGAATCGTTGACATCTAATTCAACTTCTTTTTCCTTGTAAGTATGCATTTTTACTTTGTGAACATCCATGAAAATTTTCCTGGTAAAGGTTTCTCCACACTGACTACAAACAAAAGGCTTGACATGGATCTTTTTGTGCTTGAGTAGCATGTACTGGCTGCTGAAGCACTTGTTACATGTTGGGCACTCAAATGGTCTTTTATTTACGTGTGATCTTACGTGGCTCATCATGCGATATTTATTGGGAAGCTTCTTGCTGCAGTGCTTACAGTAGTATGACAACTTGTCTTCAGTCAGCCCATAATCTGTGGTTTCTTCATCTTTTTCACTTTGATAATGTTTCCTTTGGTGTGCGTCCAAGAAAAGTTTGCGTGAAAAAGCTAAAGGACATTTTTCACACTTAAATGGTTTAGTATGTATTTGCAAATGTCTCTTTAATGCAGCAGCACATGAGAACCACCTGTCACAGTCAGCACACTGGTAGGGTTTCTCTTTGGTGTGCACCTTCACATGTTGGTAGACACTGGCCTTCAAAGCAAATGACTTGGAGCAGTAACCACATACAAAGAGTCTACGATTTGAATCATAATAGTATGGGGCTTCTGGTCTCTTGCCAGATTTCAGAAGGTTCACTTTCCTTGCATCATTCCACATTGGTTTCCTATGGCTTATGCTGTGAGTTCTAACATGCTTGATCATGTTGCCCAACCTCTTCATCTCAATACGACAGATGTCGCATTTGTAGGTTTTACCATCTTCCATGATGGTGTAATTTAGAGCATCTGTATTGCCTAAACATGCACTCTGCAAATGTTTCAACAACTGTGCATTGTGTGCAAAAGCTCCATGACACAGCTGGCACCTGTAAGGTTTAGAATGTGTTTTCTTGTGCTTAACTAGTTCTCCTTTATCAACAAACTGCTTGGGGCACTCGTCACATCTAAAAGGCTTGTCTGTTAAGTGGTGGATCAAATGTCGCATCATATTGCCTCGCTGAACTGTCCGCTTGCCACAATGTCCACATTGATAAACCTTGACAAATTCTTCAGGAACATCTGGGATTTTCAAATCTGGCATGTCATCCACTGCTACCTCATCAATAGAGCTAGACTCAGATTTTCTGAACACATTTTCCTGGCTGCTTTCAGGAGCGGAAGGTTGTTCCACAACAGTTTCTTGTAATCCATTCATTGTCACCATGAATATAGTCTTCTGGCTAGATGGTTTTTGATCAGTGTTTTCTTCAGTATTTTCCTCAGACACCACAGTTTCAGTGATTTCTGGCTCTGTGGTTGTACCAGCATCTGCTTGAGCTCTTTTCTCAGCTTCTATTTCTTTCTTTACCTGTCTGTCAATTTCTCCAGGGTCAGCTTTGACTATACGCTGCTTATACTCAAAGGTTTGGCCACCCAAAGCTGCCATGCACATTTCCTCAACTCTAGTTCCATCTTCATCAACAAATGTTCTGATCGTCACCTCTTTCATACTGTTACCAGACTTGACAAGTGTAGTTCGAGCTTCATGACGACGTAAATGAAGAGCTAACAGAGATTTTCGCAAAAAAGATTTTTTGCACAAATAGCATGGGAAAATTCGCTTATGTATCATTGCATGCTTTTTTAAGTTACAGATATCCTTGAAACCCTTGTTACAAATCTCACACACAAAAGGCCTTTCAGCACTGTGATACATTTTATGTCTAATCAGATTTGTGGAGCTGGACAACACTTTTCCGCAAATGTCACAATTGTTTTTGTTTGAAGCTACTACTCGGTTAGCCCCCTTGGCATCATTGCCAAGTTCAAGCATCAAATCACCTGCACCTTCAGACCTGATAATTTGGATATGTTGCATTTCATCATTTGGCCCTTTGAGTGCAAAACTTAAAAAGCCATCATTGTTCTCAGCCATTTCTGACACTTCTGAAGTACTTTCTGCTGCATCTTTTAGTGTGGGCTGCTTTACAACAACTTGAACCTCTGGAGGACTCACAACAGAGGTAAACACATCTTGAATGAGGTCAACTTCAGGCTGTCCCTGCTGTGTTTGAGCAGCATTAGTAACAACACTGCTGCTTCTGGCAATAGGCTGTGTAACTCTTTTTGGTATCATTACTTCGGGCTTGGGCTGCTCAAGTTTGATGACACCTGCTTCTTCTAGTTCTCTCAGTGGGGAAACTTGATTCAGTGTTAGATTATGAGTAGGCTGCAAGAGATGGCATTGATTTTAAAATAGCACATCATTAAAAAGTAATTTATTAACATGCTTAGACAACAAAATTTTTTATTAATAAACCGACCAATAAGTGATGATTAAATGAGGGTTTACTTTCCCTTACCTGAAGTACTTGTTTGATAGAACCATCCTCTCCTAGTTGTAAGATATCTCTTGTCACAGTGACGCCCCCTGGTGTCTCAGGAGGAAGTGTTATGCTCATCACTATCTGAGAACTTGGTCTTTCTTGTTTTATTTGTTCCAGGTGGGAAAACATATGTTTCTAAAACATCAGAGTCAAACTCAAAATCAAATATAAAACTAAAACAAATTAATTCAGATGTAACTATTATCAAAATTAATTCCAGTTGGAGTTGTCATAACTGACACTTCATATACCTTAAACACAGCTTTCTCCAGAAACTCAAGATCACATAAGCCACACTTGTAAGGATTGACTAAATGAATCACAATATCATTGGGACCAACTTCTGGAATTTCCTCCTCAGTCATCATAGTGATTGTTTGCTCCATTTTATTTTTCAATGATAGTATCAACAAAGAAATTCTTTATATTCTCCTTTTTTTTTTTTGCATTCATTCCTGGAAATGTATAAGTACAGTAAGTTGTAAAATCCACTGAAATGTTTAAAAATCTATAACATGAAATAGGAATTAAACTATTAACTGCATATGACAAGTCAGAAACATCACACTCTATATAATAATATATATTTGTAGATTGTTGTATCAATTCTTAAAAGATTAGTGGTTTGTTTTTATATAAAAAGTAAGAGTGGCTGGTGGTAAAAAAAAATTATGGACATAAGACAGTTTTACTGAAGATAAACCTAAAGAGACTGATTAAGGTGTTGTGATTTGTGTAATCTTACATAGTAAAACAAATTAACACATTTATACCTAGTCAAAGTCAAAGTAACTAGGCCTATATTGAAAATAAGATCATTAGGCTTTAGTCTTTCTTTAGACTGAAGGTTTTTTTTATATTGAAAACAATACAATAGGCTGAACCTATATCCTTTAGTTGGGCTTCACACTTCAAGCCTGAAGTTGTGGCTTTTGTGAAATATCCTGGCTTTTCATGTATATACAATTATACAATACTGGAAAAGATATACTTGAACCAAATGTATGTATCTGACATTAGAACACACTGTGGACGTGGTCATACTCGACAACTTTATCTTTAGAACTAAATGTTTTGGGACCTGCAAACTAAAGTTATATAATTACTAAAAACTGTAGGCATAGGGGCCTACTCTTCTTTTTGATAATTAGTAGCCTAAACATTCAAACCATAATTTTTAATCTAGTTTACAATAAAGATAGTACTTAGATGGCTTCTAGGAATCTATGTAAAAATTATTAAATTAAACTTGGAAATTAATAACCCACTTCCCCATAGGTATAGATCTAGTACAATTGAGTGGACTGTAGTAAACTTTAGTAAACTTCAAAGAGGGGTAAGGTAAGGGATATCTGGGTGATATAATATAGGCCCTAAGTAAGTGGGCCTATAATAAATAATAATAGTTTAAGTCTAGGCCTAAGTATTTTATTTTAGGTGTAGGGAGCAGGGTGTTTCGTGGCTAAATACTAAACATTAAAATTTAGGGCTTTAGGACTAGGACACTTTGACTTTAGGTCCTAAGTCCTAACTAAACAAATCATTTTAATGGTAATCTATCGTTTTGGGTACGTAAAATCGCCCGCGACTTGTAATGTGAAAACCAGGTGACTCCTTAAATTTTAATAATTATTTCACATTTTGAGGAGGATTTATATTTTTTAAAATACAAAAATGTTTCCTTGTTTCATTTATGTACCTGTTTTTAAAGAATTGAATTAAAACTTTTCAGTAATAAATGAAGACTAGCGATGTTTCCAACAGATGCAACCATGCTCATTTACTATAGCAGCCATCTTGTTTAAGTTTTATTTTATAAGCTTTTAGCGCGAGATCAGGGGGAAGCCACTCTATTTTACAAATGGCTGCTGTTTATATAGCAAATCTTGCTCGCAAACACTGCTGTTTAAAGTTTATTTCTGGCCTATATCGATATATTTAGCCATTGATTTAGGTTTATTATTCATTTATCTATAATATTTGACACAAACATATGACAATATACTTCTATTAAAGCCTTGACAATGAGGTAACGTTTTCGTACATTAATAGCCGCGGGCGATTTTACGTACCCAAAACGATAGATTACCATTTTAATAGACTAGTGACTAGTCTAGTATAATTAATTAGGCCTAGACAATTCTTGCAATAATCTTTTACTTAGCATATCCAATTTATTTTAAAATTTAATTAATTAGGCCTACTGATATTTAATTTAAAAACAGTTGGCCTAAATAATTAAATTATTAATTTATAATTAGATTCTATAAAAATCAAATAGTCAAATAGCAAAGGGCGAATATTTTATAAGATCACGATCGCGATTCAACGACGTAGTAAATCGGTTTCGCATGCTATCGTTTCTCTGGATAATGATGGCGGCCTCTGCGTAACATTTTCGAACCAAGAAGACGCTACCTGCAAACCTTCGTGTCATTAAAAAAACGAGATTATTCAAAATACTATGCAATATATAAACCCTCACTTACAAAATTTGAATTATAGATATGTTATGAACTTTCCCAATGTAAAATTAAGCAAATGAATTCCATATATAAGACAATTTATAAAATTATAATGAGAATCACAAAAATGCAAATGTAGAAAGGACGCATAATCTTGTTACTTCCCTTTGCCACAAGAGTAGGAGCATAGTAAAAGTATAGACTTTATAAACAGAACAATTTATATTTTTAGGTTTATGGCTACCCTATGACCTATATAAATATTAAATATAGTGTATATTATATAACCTAAGTATTATTTATTTATATTGTATAGCCATAGACCTATACTTTACTACATTAAACATTATGTTACACTAATTATAATGTAATAAGGGTAATAGTAATTAGCCTAAATAAAATTATAAAGCATTCAACTATTCATAGGCTGTCTAATCTAATACTAATACTAATACATAGGGAGTATAGGTGGGACTATAAATACAACTACATAGACTAGATCTAGATATTTGACATTATGTTATTTCACAATGTGTAACTGTAGTCATTGCACAATACTACTAATTCAACGTACTCGCAGTCTTCTCCTCGTAAATTCTTTCGGTGTAGGTCTTGCTTTTTGCTTAAAGCCAACTTGATAAAATGGATGATAACATCCATACTTCCAGGCATCTATCCCCCGCCCCTCCCGAACGAAATGGAATAGAATACATGTACTTTTTCCCATGTCCGCTCACCCCCCCCCCCCCCCCCCGAAAATATCAAGTGCCTCCCCCCTCCCCCGCCCCCGAGAAAAACACTGGTGTCGAGTGCACACAAAAAAGCGCTAGCTTCTATATAACTATACAGATCTCTAGGCCTATAAAATAGAAAGAATGTATGTCTTGTGTATCTATCTGTATGTATGTTGTTAAATATTGTTGAACGCATCTTTGTTGGGGCACGTTGTAGTGAGTGGGGGAAGGCATGGTCGGATATTAGAGGTTTCAACTGCTATCCCGAAAGGCTCGTGTTCGGATACCGGGCTTGAGTCTGTACTATGTTCCCGAGTCCACCCAGCTCTGATGGGTACCTGCGACTCACGTTAGGGAAACCAAGGCGGCTTGGCATGGGGCTGACCACACTATCTCCCTGTATGTCGAGGTCTTTGAAACAGAGGAACTCCACTTCATCCGCTACATGTGTCTTGGGCACAATCAGGACACGATTATGAGTAATGAATCGGAATTCGGCGAAGACAACCAATAATTATGAACCCGACAACAATTTCTAATTGGCTAACAATAGCAGAGACATCTTACACATACGATGTGAAACCCCGCAACATCACACGTGAGCAGATATTGTGGGCCTATATCAATGTTTTCGATTTGTAAAAAAAATGTGTTAATAGCTTAGCCACTGGATGAAAATTCAATAAAATCTGTTTTAAAGTCAGCCTTTTCAAGTTCCAATCACGGTATTTCAAGCATAAAATTATAAAAGTAAATAAAACGTTTTCAGTCTCGGTTACTTTTTTTTCTCGTCTGTCTGGATTTGTCGCAGCAAATTGATTTTTCAGCTCAGTTTCGACGACCTGGATTGAGCTGGTGACACTCACAATTTATAGCCAACAGCATATTAAAAAAATATGGGACAATTTTAATTTTTCTGTCATTCATTGACCAATACACGTCGACTTCAAGATATGCACCTTCGCCCACCAACAGTTTAGGGCAGATGCCGACCTTAAGCAAGGGCAGCTAAAGAACATCTGGGCTTCCAGTCAGCTCTCCCTGACCACCATGGTACAAACAAAAACAGAATGATTCCAGACATTTATAAACGGCTGTCTCAGAAGATTACACAAGATCCGCTGGCCCGACACCATACACAACTATGGCAAACAACAGGACAACTTGCAGCTGAAGAAGAATTAAGGAACAGAAGATGGGGTTGTATAGGACACACTGTGCAGACCACCAGCCAATATCATCTGACAGGCTTTGAGATGGAACCCTCAGGGAAAGCGGAAAAGAGGTCGGTCAAAAAACAACTGGAGACGGGACCTTGAGGCTGAAACCATAAAGATGGGTTGCACCTGGAGTAAGGTTGAAAAAATGGCACAGGACAGAGGACTCTGGACTGGAGACGGGACCTTGAGGCTGAAACCATAAAGATGGGTTACACCCGGAGTAAGGTTGAAAAAATGGCACAGGACAGAGGACTCTGGAGATCTTTGGTTGGCAGCCCATACCCCAGCAGGGGTGACGGTCAGTGATGATGACCTCAAGATAGGCACAGAGCAGTGGTGACGGGCAGTGATGATGACCTCAAGATAGGCACAGAGCAGTGGTGACGGGCAGTGATGATGACCTCAAGATAGGCACAGAGCAGTGGTGACGGGCAGTGATGATGACCTCAAGATAGGCACAGAGCAGTGGTGACGGTCAGTGATGATGACCTCAAGATAGGCACAGAGCAGTGGTGACGGGCAGTGATGATGACCTCAAGATAGGCACAGAGCAGTGGTGACGGTCAGTGATGATGACCTCAAGACAAGCACCTTCGTTAAACAACAGTTGCTACAGACATCGATACCAAAGTAGATGCTTCCATGTAAATTTTATTTTTTTAATTAGGGATCATCCATAGATGACGTCACGCTTTTTGACTATTTTTACCTCCATCCGTCACAAAAAGGTAGACACCCCCTTAAATGACGTCACACCTCAGCCTACAACCCCCCCCCCCCCCCCCCCTCAAAATTGCAGTTGAATTTTTCTTAAAATACGAAATTTTTCCAAAATCTTGTCAACATAGAGTATTTCAATCAATTCCTATTATAATTTATTAAAAGTTTTCTAAAACGCGAAACAAAGGCTAAAATTCGTTTTCTAACATTGCTTTTTTATAAAGCAAAAGTGTGACGTCACACCATCTGAGCGCCCCCCCCCCCCCCCCTTTACGAGAGCGACATCTTTTATGGACGACTCCTTATTCGTCACTGACTGTTCTTGTTCGTTTTAATTAACTTGTATTTCCCAAAAGAGGCACCATTGTTCTTCAAAAATAGCTTGTTATAATTAATTTTTTGTTTCCCTAAAAAGGCACCATTGTCATAAAAATGCCCACGACACTGAACATTACACAATACGCCCATAAAATAAATAGGAGATCCAGTAGTATTATCTGGGCATATAAAATTTAATCTAATAACATAGGAGACCTTAATGTTGGGCATTTTTTATAAATGTTCCATATCCAAACATGAAACCATACTGCTATCTTTTTTTTAAACTGCGTATTTTCTCCCCACAATATAAAATATTGTAAAGAGCCTTGTATGTAAAGAAAGATGTACTTGTTTCATACCAACTAGTCGTGAATTTCCTCTCCCAGTTTTATGGTTTGAACAATTTAATTCAAACAGATCTTGTTACAATACTGATAGAAAACTGTATACAAATACAACGAAGAGTTTTGTAGGACTGACTTGGTCATATAACTAAAAACTGAAGAGCAGTATTGGAATTACATGGTTTATTGTATAGAATGTACATCTATTATTTAAAGAGCAAAGTATTATTATACACATTATAGTATAAAGTGTATTATTTAGTGCAGTACATTTTTTTTTAATCATAAGTATTCATTAGGCACAAGTAGCTTCATTCTTGTTAGCTGTACACAGGAACTTTTTTATTACCATTTTAAAATAATCATTCAAAGTAACATGGAATATTAGCTTACTGCAATCTAGACTAAACCATGAAGTGTAACCATTACAGCACATGTAACAATCATTGAAATGTTACACACTTTAATGCCACTGGTGGCACAGTGGGATGTCACAGTAAAAACAATGTTGCAATGTATGACAAAGGAATCATAAATATGAAACATGAGCACCATGGTATTTTAATATAACTAGATAATCTATACAGGTTTCTATCTAGGTTAGAATTACACCTGGTTAATTTAGGAGAATATGCTTTATTTTTAGAAAAATCGAGTTGGTTAATTCACGGGAAAAAAAACAACAACAAAATCTTTATTTCACATCACAGATATGAGAAAACAACACAGCCATTATTTGATTTTTACTGAAATACAATAACAAGAAGGAATGGTAGGATATGATTCACATTATGGATTTGTGTGAGATCCACAAAACAGCATGCCATGTATGAGATCCATCATTTATCAATAAGGGATTTATTTCAATAGTAAGAAAAAATTGCAACAAGCTGGTTAGTCTATAGTAGCCCACAAGAATGTGACCTAAACTACCAATAAACCAAAGTTGCATTTCCCTTGACTAAACCTACTTCACAAATGTATGTACAATTTTACAGTTTTTTCCTTGAAATAAAAATGATAAATAATACATTTGCAACAAATTATGGATAGTGCAATAATCAATAACAATGTACATGTCAATCAATAAGATTAAGAGACATTAAAACTGCAAATAAAATTTTGGCAAACAATTATAATTTTTAAACTTCTGATTTCTAAATAACGTACAGTAAGTATGATACACAAATTGTTGGTGTCTGTTGTGCATTCATAAATATTTAGGTCTAGAGTTGTCTTACCCTGAATCTTATGTTTATGCACAAGTAATAGTACTTCTCATGTTGTGTATAAAGGTTGCAAGAATGCATTAAAATTTCAAAATGTGAAGTAAATAGGAAGTTATTCCATTAAACATTTTTGTTCCCCATTCATCTTAAAAATGTGACAGTTGCAACAATTGATGTGTATTATTCTAGTTCCTCAAAAAAATACTTAACCACCATTATTTTTAATTATTATTGTCATGTTATTAACAATTTAAGTATGAGGATTCACTACTCATGGGTAAGTGGTAACTAATTTTATGTTTTCTGATCCGATCACAGTGTTTTACAGCGATCTTAGATAAACTAGTTGCTCTTATAAAACTATACACTGAGCAAAGAGAATCATTGGTGTGTTGTGTATGGATGATACAGCTGGTCAAACTCCATTATCTAGTCCACTGGTGATGTATCATAGAATCAATGATACTGTATCTAAACAACTGTCTTCAAATTACACACACAACTATATGTTCAACAAAAAGTCTATTATGAAACAAAAAATGAGATTGATTGCACATAAAAGCACCTGACTAGATTAGAAGAGTGTGAAATACCAACCACATTATTACATAAATCATTATGTGAGGTTAACCAAGGGAAGGAATGTATCTCATCTCTAGACAGATCTGATGACTGTGACACCTGCATCACACCTTGATATGGCCATACTTTTACTCATGTTCTTCCAGGTACTGTGAGAAGGGTCGTAGACCTCAAGAGTGTCCAATAGAGTTTTACCATCATAGCTGAAAGGAAAGAATGAATGCAATGGAGCACTTTTTGGTAAAGTGTATGCTTTGTCTGTGAAGTCCAACAGAATAAAGCCCCTATCAAATATTAACAAATCCAAAAAACAACAGGATGAACAGATGATAGAAAAGTTGTCAACATCAAAAGCTCAGCTCATATTTAGAGACAGTGAAATAAATAAGGTCCTACTGCCTGAATATCATAAAGATAAGCCACACCAGGAAGTATTGATTAAAGTTTCTACTTTATCATTTGACTTGACAGACTACAAAATATATAGAGAGTGTTCTAGTAAAGTCTTACCCTGCTACAACCATCAGTTTTCCTTGGAATACACAAGCTCCTACATAGCAGCGAGGAACCTGCATGTTTGTTATGGAGGCCCAGTAGTTTGCTCTTGTATTAAAACATTCAACACTAGAAAGGTGGTCAGTACCATCATAACCACCACAGACATAAATTACATTGTTCAAAACTGCAACACCTGCACCTAGAAGTATTTTAATCAAAACTATATCAATTGGCTCAAGTGTAAGTGGATATTACCGTAGTGTATTAAAAGATGTAAATATATTTTCAAAAGGATTAAAATGTGATTAAACTTTGTGTTTTAAATATTGTACCCAACATTTGTATTTATTAAGACTTCACAATGGACACCCTTACCAGATCTCTGAGTTGTCATAGGTGGAATATTGCTCCATTGATCCATTTGTGGATCATAGCACTCCGCAGTGGATAATAGATTAGTACCATCATATCCACCTATACAGTAGATCATATCACTGGCCACAACTAGCCCAGCACCTTCTCTGCCTGTTGCCATGGAGCTCAGCATTGTCCACTGCTCAGAGATGGGGTTAAAACGTTCAAGACTGGAGTGCCTAGAATACCCATCAAAGCCGCCACAGACATACAGTTGGTCTGGAAGGTCAAATTTTATTTTAGTGTTGGCCTCTAGATTGTGTCATCAAGTACAGGTACATAGTGTACAACTCAAATCACATTTTTAAAGTCTGGTCTTAAATTCTTATTAAATTAAATGTGAGCATAATGCTATTAACCCTTTTTTCCTGATGTTGCAAACAGTGCTTATACTTATACTGATTAATTGCTGATGTCTCAACACTGTTTTTTTTTTTTTAAATTTATGTCATAGCATTGCTGCTTTCACTTTTGTATAACCATTTATTTCATTTAAAATTCTGGTTTTATCAAATTTTTAGCTATTGGTAACATGTAAGTTAGCTGCATGAGATTTTGAAAAATTGCAATAAGATTCACACTTTTGCCTTAACAGCTACAGCCATTATCATAGATGCTTTTGGCAACGGCACTGTTGAACAGTTGATACCTTGGCACAAGCTATTTATGACCATACCTTTGTAAACACATATGCCAGCCAAACCTCTGCGTTGGTGCATAGAAGTAACAGGCTCCCACTGCAGTTTCTCCTGTGTAAAATCTAGTTTTTCCACTAAACTCAGTCTGGACTGCCCGTCATACCCTCCAACCACATAGAGCTTATTGGCTACCGAAGCTGCTGATACATAGCGCCTCTTTCGAGTTAAATTCTGAAAAACAAATGTTTGCATTTTATTATCTATTCTAGCAAAAATGTTATTTAAGTAGTGAACGTCAAGGGAAACTAGCGACAGTTAAGACCAGTATGAATGTAGTTTGTCCTAATGAGCTGTTGAGAAACAGTTTGTAACCAGCTATTTACATGTATGTATATGCAGGTATGGCTTAGCTTTCTTTAGAAAAATAAAACAGAATTTACATTGTAAAACATTTTTAAAAACAAATCTGTATTAAAATAATTCAGCAGGCCTATCAGTAAACAATAAACACAAGTTTTAAAATTCTTCTCTTGGATTTATAAAAAAAAATTAATTAGCACCATACTATATGGAATTTAAGATCAAATGTATGAAGGCCATACAGTATTAAAGTGTGCACATAGAGTGCAAGGTAGCCTTACTTACAGGAAGTTTGGTCCATGAATCAGTTTTTGAACAAAAACTTTCAACTGTATCGACTAAGTTTTGATGAGAACCAAAGCCTCCAAGAACAACTAAGACACTGTCCGTTCCTTTAAAATAGATATAGAAAATTGTATGCAAGAAAGAGTATTACAGTAGTCTTATAAGATCAAACAGGCAGTATGTATTCATTATGAGAGGTAGAATTTTTAATGAAATGCATGTACCTGCTCTAGGTGTAGTTTTAGGTCCGCTCATTTTATCTCTGAGATCTGGGCGAAGGTGAAAACGCTTTGCTTCATCTACAAGATCTCGACAAGCATGACTTGTTTTTATTAATATCTAAAAAGTTACAAAAAAAAAATGACATCATGAAAATAAATACTGATGTTCTTGACTTCAACTCTATTTAACTTTCATAATGCTGGATAGTTGGTAATATCAAACAGTTTTAAACAGCGAGACAAGAAATGAGCAGATTTACCTCATTGTCCAGAACATCTGTGATAAAATTTACTGAGAGTAAAGGCAAGCGAGACAAGAAATGAGCAGAGTTACCTCATTGTCCAGAACATCTGTGATAAAATTTACTGAGAGTAAAGGCAATCTAACATGGCCTAGCAGCCGTGGCATGTACTTGAGTCTTGCAGGCTCATCACTTTTAACCCAGGTAACCACACCTTGATAAACTGTTTCTTCACTTTTTACCTTAACAAAAATGTGGATCTCATAACTTTTGGTTTATTCAAAAAGGAATTAGACCAGGAAAGAGATTTATCCCTAAACATTCATTTAAAATGAAAATCTACAAATTTAGAAAAAAAAATTTAAACTGTCAACATCAATTAGAAGCTAAGCATCCATAAATAGGTTCAGCTTAATGCTGCTGTTTTTTACATTCTAACTTGTTAGACTTAAAATTATAAAGTGATGTAATCCCAACCTTTAGCTGAGTGGTAATCCATAAAGTTATTAGCCCCCCCCCCCCCCCCCACCCCATTTCACCATTGGCACAAAAAAATCAGATCCAGTCCCCAAATGACCCTAAAACCTCTCCTAAAATGCACTTTTTTTTAAAACAGTAAATTCCTTCTACAATATCAACTGACCTTAGTTATCATTCATTAAATAATAGAGATCCATTTTATTACAATTAGCACCAAAACAGTATCTAAAAATTTTTTAGTATTGAAATTTTTAGGTCACCCTTTCTTAACACCTTTCCCTTCCCCTGGTCACTAAATGGACAACCCTTTTTCAATAGGAGCGCACATTTTTTATTAGATTTCAAAACAGTGTCATTGTCTCCAAATTACCATGAGTGATTTTGTTTTTATTAGCAAGCAAAACAGGATGCAAGAAATAATGTCAACATTATAGATAAAATACACTAGATAACCAAGAGTAAAGATACGCCTACAGTAATTAGATCTCTCCATAAAGCATTTTTACCTGCAAATCCTCACTTGCCACTAATGACTCCACCTCTTCAAAATGCATTATTTTAAATTCTTCATGCTCTATGACAGAATTAAAATGTCTAAGTGCAAATCTTTCTGCAGCATGAAATAATGACTGACAACAGTGATTTTCTGCAAACACCTTAATGCCCAAGCAGTTACTTGCATCAAGCTGACGTTCCAAAAATCTGCAGCAAGCATTCTTCACACCTACTCAACAAGTCAAACATCACATATCATTTCAGTATTTAATTCAAAGCAAAATCATCAATATAATAACTTAAAATGTAGATTAAAGTAAGCCTACTTTTTGTGCTCATGTTTTCTGACAAAGTGCTTTGAAATATTGGTCAGTGTTGTGGAGTGAATGAAGTCAGCTGTGTCAAAACTGAGTTGTACGTTCTTTGTGTTTTTAGATTGTGTCTAGCAGAATCAAACCTGTCAGCTGTAGTAAGCAAGCAGCAGGCAGAAGTTCCTGTACATTTTCTACAGTCACCTCGACTGTCTCTGTGTAAACAAAGTCTAACAGGATTTCCATGACAATGGCGGGTATCTCATGAAGATCTATTACAGATTTGTCTTTTTCCTTCATCTTAAAAAAATAAAAGTTATGAGTATTTCAGAACATAATTAAATATAAAGTAATATTCAGACACATTATTTAAATGTAACAAAAGAAATATCACAACTTTTTGTAAAAGCTAAAAACTAATTATGACATTATTACTCTAATAATCTAATATTTATTAATCAGCTTAAGAATATTAGTACCTGATTATTGAGATGTGAGGTTTATGGAAAATATTCCTTATGTGACATTATGTTTACTTATGAGTAAAGTTATTTTTTATTATTATGGAATTTCAAGTCATTATAAAGTAATAAAGACCAGGCATCCAAATCACATAGGCTTACTTACTACTAACAACAGCTACTCTTAACCAACATTACCATAACTTTTTATAAAATGGTACATGAAAATGAAAGCCAAATTTAAAAAATAGATACTTCTTATAGAAAACAGAAAGTGAACAAAACAATTACCAAATTCAAAACTTTATAAACATTAGGATTAGTACTACATTATTGACAACAAATTTACCTCATTTGTAAACATTGCATTGAAGTAATCGCTACTTGCTGCAAGCACTATACGATGTGCAGGAAAACATTTGTTCTCTACTCTTAGAATAACATCACACAGTTTATTTGCCTTGCGTAAAGCATTCATTGTTGAAAGTATTTCTTTAGAATGGACGTCTGTGAACATCTGACAATCTTCCATCTTGTAAGTTAATATTCTTTTAAAAACAATAGAATTATAAATGAATAAAAAATGCACACGTTAAGGATATAAGAAAATTATCAATCCACAAAGTTTGGACAAATACAATACAATTGTAACTAGGCAGATTATAACCTAATAAACTAAAGAGAATATTGTAATGTATCACATATTGCCTATAATTATAATAAAGACCTACTATACTACAAACAAGCTAATTAGGCTTAGGCCTAAATATTTATAAAGGCAATTAGCCACTGTTGTAAATATAGATCTAGTGGCTAATACATACTTATGCTAAGGCCTGTACGGGCGTATAAATACTATGTAGTAATGCATAGGCCTGTATGTTTTTTTTTATATTTGGCCTTTTTTGGGGATGTTTTAAATTTATGTTGCTACCCATAGTATGACTACTACTGCTAGTATTTAGTACACTAGTACTAGACTCTAGACCTGTACTTACTGCTGCTCTACTGTAAGTAAGTTACTGTAACTCTTACTCTTCTTAGGCTTCTAGTTTTACTTTACTATCAGCACCTGATGACACAATTAAGAGGGTGAAACCAAATGAAAAAATAGTAAATTTTCTGTCAAAACAATCAATTATCCAAAAATGCAAAATTGTAGGGGGAGAGGGGGGGGGGGGGCGTGTGTGTGTGTGGGACACCTGACCATTTGATACCACTGCTGTTTGTGTTTGCCAGCCTATCTCCCTGTGCCCTGTATGTAGGCCTGTAAGTCTTGAATCCAGGTCAAGTCTGTATAAAGTCTCCAATACAGTCCACCCAGACTGATGGATACCTAACTCATGTAATGTTATGATGCAGTGTTGGGGAAAGTAAAGTGTGTGTAAACTTTACTTTTACAGTGTAAAGTAAAAAAAGAAAAGGCAAAGGGCAGAAAGGCGGCTGTGAAAGTGCTGACCGTAAACTAGATCTAATTAATTTTACTGCCTATGCCTAAACTTAATAAAAAAAATTTACATCTTTTTAACCTTTAAAATTTTTGGATCCAAATTTAATTTATTTACGGAATGTAGACTAGATCTAGACTTCTAGATCTAGATCTAGATTTATGAATAAATTCTTAAAAAGAATTCTTAAGAGTTCGCCATTTTGAAAGATCATCAACACTACCAGTACAAACTAATGATAAAATTAATGTATTAGATATAGATCAGTGGTTCTTAACCTTTTGGATGTACCGAACCCCACCTGCTTCATTGTTGCATTCACAGAACCCTTAATAGTTAATACTAGAATCGAATAGGAATGATTGAATGTTGTTTTTTTTTCAAATTTAAAACATAGATAGATCTATATATTTTACTGGTGCACAAAATGAACCGTGCATCAACACCACGCTCAAAGAACACTAGGGGTCATCCATAAATGACGTCACGCTTTTTTTGACGATTTTTACCTCCCCCCCTCCCCTCCGTCACACGTCGTCACAAAAAGCCAGACCCCCCCCTAAAATGACGTCACACCTCAACCTACAACCCCCCTCAAAATTGCAGTTGAATTTTTTTTTAAACATCGATATTTTTCCAAAATCTTGTCTAAACTATTACAGTTTATTAAAACAGTTATCTAAAACGCGAAATAACGTCTAAAATTCGTTTTATAACATTGCTTTTTTAAAATGCAAAAATGTGACGTCGCAACATCTGACCCCCCCCCTCCCCCTCATCACACATCGTCACAAAATTACGGACCCCCCCCCCCCCCCCCCTCCCCCCTACGAGTGTGACGTCATTTATGGATGACCCCCTAGATTAGAATTGCTCAACTTAGTATTGCAAATCATGCAGTTATTATTTTTTTTTCTTGATAGTCTAGTTCGCGTGAAAGAATTATAATAATAAGACAGACATCATACGATAACGTATAATAAAAAGTATGCTCGTCACAGCACGTAAATAAACGCTAAACGCTCGCCTGTATAGGTGGCTTTGACACTATTCGTGACGTCAAGGGCTTCATTATGTAGAAATATCACGAAACCAAAACGTATTATCTCGAGGACGCACTTTATTACTAGATCTGTGTCATGCTGTCGCTTTGGTATTTGGACTCAAATCATAAGCCGCTAGTTTTATCGTTCGCACTGACAAAATTTGATCGTACATCCTATAAAAGTCATGAGTGTGTTGTGACCTCCATCGAACCCCTGAAACAGACTCAGCGAACCCTAGAGGTTCGATCAAACCCAAGTTAGGACTTCAACAAACTACCCTAATACTGGCAATTGTAGGCTGTATTTTTCACGATCACAACATCTCTAAATCTAAACTAATCAGTTAAGTAATTAAATCTAGAGATCTAAGTATAAAGTTTTGGAGATAGCATATTGATAACATGTTACTATAGTTATGAGACTGGATCTTCTAACACGCGGACACGGTTCTTCTTTTTCGATCCAGGTTCGTGCAGTGTAAAGTGGAGGTGGGGTTGCATTGACGCCAAAATCAAAATATAAGGGCGAGTTTGGGGAGGGGGACATTATTAATGTCAAAATAATAATAATAATATCAGCCAAGTATAGCTGGGGAGGGGACGTTGTCAGTGTCATAATATCAGTCCAGTATAGCTGGGGAGGGGACGTTGTCAGTGTCATAATATCAGTCCAGTTTAGCTGGGGAGGGGACGTTGTCAGTGTCATAATATCAGCCAAGTATAGCTGGGGAGGGGACGTTGTCAGTGTCATAATATCAGTCCAGTTTAGCTGGGGAGGGGACGTTGTCAGTGTCATAATATCAGTCCAGTTTAGCTGGGGAGGGGACGTTGTCAGTGTCATAATATCAGTCCAGTTTAGCTGGGGAGGGGACGTTGTCAGTGTCATAATATCAGTCCAGTTTAGCTGGGGAGGGGATGTAGTCAACGTCATAATATCAGCCAAGTATAGCAGCTTTACGTTTGGTTCTTTAATGTAATAGAGGCCTCTCTGTACTTTGATGCAGCCTTTGTTGTAGGAAATAAACATGGTATCAATGTTTCAGCTCTAGTCTAAAAAAATACTTTTTAAAACTTTAAAAAAACCCACGTTTTTCTTGTGGACTAAAAAGTAGAAAATAAATTTTTCTTCCGACCCTAGGGGATCTACCAATGACTGCTCGTAGATTTTGTGCTTCCTCGAGCTGTGCAGGTTCTTGTGATGACTGTTCATACATTTGATGACAAAAAACGTGGGTACGTTTTCGCTTTAATCATAAATCTGCCCGACCCACGTTTTTTGTCATCAAAAAAAAAAGTTGAAATTTAAAAATTAAAGACCACCTTAATATATATATATATTCAAAGCATATACAAGACATAAGTGCCGCCCTTGATCTAACCGAATGGACAACAACAAAAACAAGGGACACGGTCCACTGAACAATGAAGTGAGTTGCCAGTGCGTTGTTTGTGCTCAAACCCTCCCCCGCCCCCCCCCCCCCCTCCCTCAAGTCAAGGGACCACCCTTGAACTCGCCCCACGCATGATACTGTCTCAAGTACATGAATAAATAAATCTTGCCGTCTCAAGCTGTTGTGAGCTTTACCGGGGCAAGCGGTAACGGCCCCAATCAATAGGTCAGAGTTTGATCAGTGTCAGGTTTCCCTCAATTATTTAACCACCTTTCTCACACAGGGTTATATAACCACACAAACATCCACTTTCTGTTTAAATGACAAGTATTTTGAGTTTATTTTATCAATTGTATATCTTGTGGTGGATATCGAAAGATTTTTGCCATCTGTGCCTCACATTTTTCATCTGTCTCATGCCTGGTGCTTGGTACCGCGGGCCTGTTAATGTCATAGCGCTCAGCTAATAACACACACAAACAAACGGACGCCACTGTTGACTTACAATTTTAATGGCTAGCAAGTGGAGAGGGAGATAACTCCCATATAAGGGACACAACCTGCGTGAATGTTCTGACAAGCTCTTCTGGTGCTTGTTCTTCTCTGGTAATTCACGTGAGCGTGCTAAAAATAGTGCTATAATTTCTCGAAGGATGTCTTCACTTTTCTTTTTTCTCTTGTTACAATTAAACGTGTGAGTTGACCGTAGGTATATTGTTTAGTGTCTCGTCAACGGATTCAGGTACCCAAGTCGTGTTGATTTAGTAGGTTAGTTAGGATTGACTTCAGTCATAGTGATTTAGTAGGTTTGTGAGGTTTGACTTCAGTCATATTTATTTAGTAGGTTTGTGAAGTTTGACTTTAGTCAAATTTATTTAGTAGGTTTGTGAGGTTTGACTTTAGTCAAATTTATTTAGTAGGTTTGTGAAGTTTGACTTTAGCCCGATGATTGAGTAGGTTGGTGACACTAACGTCACGTAGATTAAGAAAATTTGTGACACTAACTGAGACATTGCAATAAAAGAAAAAGAAAACAACACTTCATCGGGCATTTGGGAGGGAGCCTTCATTGATGGCACCCCCACTTTTATAACACCCTTCTTTACGGCGCCCTCCTTCATAAAACGAGGCAGCGATGAATACCGCAGTTTTTGATCAGCTCCGTCAAGTAGCAAGCAGACGATCTACCAACAGGTCAGTGATAGAATTTTTAGAACACAATGGTTGACACAAGATGGCGCTTTGTCCAGACTGACCATGAGCCCCAGTAAACATAAGTACCAGTCCGTAATTTACTCACCATCCCAGTAAACACATGCATCCAGGGGCGTAGCGAGGGGGGGGGCGGGGGGTGCGGACCGCACCGGGTGACACCATTTAGGGGGTGACACCAAGGCAAAAAATAGCAAAATATATAGAGAAAAACTTGAGGGGGGGGGGGGGTGCAAATCGAAAGTTCGAGGGGGGGGGGGGTGCAAATCGAAAGTTCGAGGGGGGTGCAAATCGAAAATTTGAAAGTTTGTCCCCGGGAAGGGTCGACACGGCTCTGTGGGGTGGGGGGGGTGGGGGTGACACCATTAAGTGCCGCACCGTCTGACACCCGACCTCGCTACGCCACTGCATGCATCAATCCATAATTAATTATTTACCCCAATCCCAGTACACACATGCATAAGTCTATAATTATCATATGACCCCAGTAAACACATGCACCAGTTCATAATTTACCCACGGCAAAAATCTTTAAATGTAGATATATGAAGGTTGAAAAGATCTACAAGATCATCCTAAAATACTTTTAGTCTATCAATAAATAAACGGTCATAAAAACGTACCTCTCAATCCTCACCACTACCAATAAGGCGTTTGTGCATGTGTGTATGTGAGTGTGTGTGTGGGCGGGAGTGTATGTGCATGTGTGTCTCCTATCTAAAACAAAGTTTTTGTATGTATGTGAGTGTGTGTGTATGTGTGTATGTGTACTTGTCGATTGTAGGAAAAAAGTCACAGGGAAAAAAAAACACAGGAAAAAAAAAAACACAGAAAAAAAGTCACAGGAAAAAAAGTCACAGGAAAAAAGTCACAAATATATATGTGCATGATATTTGTTAATACTTTTATGTATTTTATTAAATATTTAGAGAGTGCAAATTAACTTAGGATTAATTAAATGTAATGTAATGTGTGTAGGCTGTATACGCATAGGAATTTTTATAATTCATCTAAAAATATTTATTATTTAAGTATGTAGATTGTAATTATTTTAAACTTAAGATTAGTAGCATTTAATAGAAAGCTCCAAAGTCCACGGAGCCTAAATTTCTTTTATAATTAACTTTTCTACCGCGTATTTAACTAAATACGTAACAAAGGTTGAGATTGTTGTGTTAATTATCTTAGAGTATTTTTACTTACAATTGTTATAAATCATAATGCTTTTAACGTCTATAAATAATTTATGCTATAAAAAAATACAACCCACAACAATAAACATTACAATTCTTAACAAATTAATAAAAATATTTATAAAAAGATTTTTGTGACTTTTTTTCTGTGAATTTATTTCTGTGACTTTTTTTCCGATAAAATGTTTCCATTGTGACTTTTTTTCTGTGACTTTTTTTCCTAGCAAAAACTTTGACTTTTTTCTGTGTTTTTTTCCCTGTGACTTTTTTTCCGTTCACCGTACTTATCAACCCTCTTTCAGCAGCGTGTATGTTTGTGTATAAGTATGTGTCGCCTCTCTAAAACAAACAGTGTGTATGTGAGTATGTCT